CTTATTATCATTGGCAAGACAAATTTAGACAAGCATTGAATAAGCAGTTGTATGTAACCACTCATGTGTAACGGCGACACCTATTCCTTTTACGTAATCTAGATGCCATTCTATGAGAGAATGGTTTGATATATGTGAAGTGTTTACAGTAACAGTTTCTTTTCCTAATAACAGGGTTGCTTATAGGAGATTTGGGGGTGGTTGAAGGGGGGGGGGGATTTACAGGCGGCTCTTGTGAATAGGGCGCAGAGGGGTAGGGGGGGAGTTGAGAGCTTATTAGATTTATGAAAATCTGTAGCTCTGTATTTGAAGAACGTAGGAGGGGGTGTGAACGTCTCTTTTTAAAAATGTGATATGAGGTAAAATGAATTCGGCCTCAGGGCAATTAATGGCGTGGGTGTGTCTGACGGTCATTTGACAGTTGGCGAATAGGTCTTCTGTAAATATGACGCCACTGTGATTTTTTTATGAATAGGCCATATATATATATATATATATATATATATATATATATATATATATATATATATATATATATATATATATATATATACACCCCAGACGCGCCCTTAATCTGACTATAATGTTTGTCAACCATAGTTGTAAAGTTGTGCGTATTTCTCAATGGTAGTTGTAAGCCAATGTTTTGTTTATCAACGATTAGGTAAGCCGACGTCCAGTGGGTCATTCATCAATCAAACTCTGCTCACCCGTCAACATTCGACCCGGTTAGATGTGACATGTGTGTGTTTCGTCTCAATACGTCAAAATACCTGGTCTTCTTCGTGTGGCAGTGGAAGTTCAGTGGGTCCATATGTGGAGGTGTAGGGGTCAATATGTGGAGGCGTAGGGGTCAATATGTGGTGGTGGAGGGGTCTATATGTGGAGGTGGAGGGGTCTATTTGCGGAGGTGGAGGGATCTATATGTTTAGGTGTATTGGTCGATATGTATATTTGTTAATGGTCGTTGTGTAAGTCTTGAAGTGGATAAGTGTACAAATTGGTATTAGAATGTGACATCATCACACACCAATGGCACTTACAACACCGTGTAATCTCTGATGGTCTCCAAACCAAACAAACACGTATGTTCGTGTCGTGGATCGTACTTGGTCGTCTTGTGGTGTATTCGTCAAAACACCACAACTAGGCAGCTTAAACAGCTGCGGACGTGTTGTAATCCGTTGTTGTGTTTGACTTGGTCGATCAATATGTGAGCTGTCAATTGATATTTCAATTAACAGACGTTCTTTGACTTCATATACCAATACAAGAGTTGGGTTGTGATTTGTTTAAATTTAGGAGTGATATTACATGGTGTATTGGTTCTTATGAAGAAAAAAACAACAACCCTCACGCCAATACTGTTTTGCATTGAGGTGTTTTTCACTGTATCGCTGTTAGGATCACGACGAGGCTAGGGTGAACAATACTAGTAAGTACGTAAATAGTTTCGGTACACACTCGCGTGTAGGCAATATATCAATATAGTCATGTCACTTGGTATATTTGTGTTTTGAGTCTTGCTATGTGGACGGTGACAAAAAGAGAATGTAGTAGGCTATTCACAGAAGTATAATGAAAACGTTGCACAGTTATCTGGCCCTACTCCGTTCATGGAAATGAAGAATGTAGTTCCCGACCTTACTTTGATGTAAACAAAGATTGTAGAACATTAATCCGAGCCTACTTTTATGTAAACAAAGAATGTAGCATATTAATCCGACTTCTTCCAATTTCAGAAACCAATGAAGGAGTTAATTAATTGTATTTCCAATTTCCTGTTGTAAATTAATTTTTTAGCATGAAATTCTATGGATCAATGAGCCATTAAAGAAATAATAAATAACCAGTTACATTCACCAGTTCTCTTTAGCGTGCAAACCTACCGCCTTCATATAGGCCACTACAATAATAAGAAAAGCAAATAGGCCTGTGTATTTATAGCATATAATTTTTTAATTTTTTTTTGTTTTGAATCAACAGAACTTAATTATTTTAGAATTTTAAAAAGTTCAGAAATGACTGGCTAAAGGAGAGGGCTAGATAGCGTATATGTGGCACAAGGTTGATGGGGATGAGGTAAAGAAACTAAACGTAGCTTATGTTTTGTATGTCATAATGATGAAAATAAAATGGTAACTCGATAGAAATGTGATTTTTTAGTGGTGGGAAGAACTTTGAAGTTATTTAAACGGAGGGGTGGCGTTTTGTGATGTGTAATGATAGTTGTTAGTGATCTAAATTTGACGTTGTTAAAATACGCCCACCCCCCCATTCCTTCTCTCAATATGGTTTATCCAACGAATATGCAAATATTAATAAACATTATACTTATAAGCCTGGATTATATTAACTTATTTTTTTGCTAATCCAAAAATTTAATAGACATTTTTCGGCTCAATACTGGACGAACTTGTATGAAGTAATAATGTACGGTATTCAATAAAACTACGGAAAACGGTCATTTAATATTAGACGGATTTCTCCTAAGCTGCAGGGCATACTTTTTACTGTGAATGTTCAAAGGATTTAATGGGCCGTAACTTCAGGATTTGCGTAAATGCATCATAAAAAATACTCAAAAGATTTTTTTTTCAACCCAAAGCCTTCTTCAGCCATTGCACTTTGATAATAAAATAACTGTCAAATTTGTATGAGCTATGTCAGGCTTCAAAACATCGATAGTGAGAATTTATAATTGATTTATAATTAGAAAACCACAGTAATTTTTAAAATCTTATTTTAATTCGGAAGCTTTTAAATACAATATTAGGACTTCTGTCTAGACGCTTAATTAGACAGTAAATATAAAACTTGGAAAAAACATTTCAGATGCAGATGTTTAAGCGACATAAAACTAAATTGTTGACATGGTTTTTCATGTAATAACGATTTAAAAAAAAAACACGTAAGAAATGTACCTATTGTCAGGTGAAATTATTCTAAACGTGCAAGGAAAGCAGTGGGTTTCTCGGAGGTGGGAAGTATTTTATTGATTTTGTAAGACCATTCTGTTATGCTAATAAAAGAGACACAGATATCATCAACAAATTAAGCCAATATCAGCATCGATTTAAGCTAATATCAGCATCAATTTAAGCTAAATTTTCAACGATTTAAGCGAAGTCAGCAACAGTTTAAGCTAAATCAGCAACAGTTTAAGTTAATCAGCAACAGTTTAAGCTAAATCAACAACAATTTAAGCTAAATCAGCAACAGTTTAAGCTAAATCAGCAACAATTTAAGCTAAATCAGCAACAGTTTAAGCTAAATCAACAACAATTTAAGCTAAATCAGCAACAGTTTAAGCTAAATCAGCAAAGCTGTACCAAACCAACTTGCACTCTCCACCACCTGAAGCCATAAGCCACATAGCGAGCTCTAGCACGATGTCCCGTTGTTACTGTGGACGTTTCTGTTGTTGTAGATATTTTGTTGGTCAAACATTACTTGCAGCGTTGGTTCACATCATGTCCTAACCTGCCACCATCACGTCCTAACCTGCCAACATCATGTCCTAACCTGCCACCACCAACATGTCCTAACCTGCCACCAACATGTCCTAACCTGCCATCATCATGTCCTAACCTGCCACCTACACCATGTCCTAACCTGCCACCACCATGTCCTAACCTGCCATCATCATGTCCTAACCTGCCACCTACACCATGTCCTAACCTGCCACCACCATGTCCTAACCTGCCGCCATCATGTCTAACCTGCCACCAACATGTCCTAACCTGCCACCATCATATCCTAACCTGCCACCACTAACATGTTCTAACCTGCCACCAACATCATGTCCTAACCTGCCGCCATCATGTCCTAACCTGCCACCATCATGTCCTAACCTGCCACCACCACCATGTCCTAACCTGCCACCAACATGTCCTAACCTGCCACCAACATGTCCTAACCTGCCACCATCATGTCCTAACCTGCCACCACCATGTCCTAACCTGCCACCACCACCATGTCCTAACCTGCCATCATCATGTCCTAACCTGCCACCTACACCATGTCCTAACCTGCCACCACCATGTCCTAACCTGCCGCCATCATGTCTAACCTGCCACCAACATGTCCTAACCTGCCACCATCATATCCTAACCTGCCACCACTAACATGTTCTAACCTGCCACCATCATGTCCTAACCTGCCACCATCATGTCCTAACCTGCCACCACCACCATGTCCTAACCTGCCACCAACATGTCCTAACCTGCCACCAACATGTCCTAACCTGCCACCATCATGTCCTAACCTGCCACCACCACCATGTCCTAACCTGCCACCACCATGTCCTAACCTGCCACCACCACCATGTCCTAACCTGCCACCAACATGTCCTAACCTGCCACCACCACCATGTCCTAACCTGCCACCATCATGTCCTAACCTGCCACCAACATGTCCTAACCTGCCACCAACATGTCCTAACCTGCCACCACCACCATGTCCTAACCTGCCACCATCATGTCCTAACCTGCAACCAACATGTCCTAACCTTCCACCAACATGTCCTAACCTGCCACCATCATGTCCTAACCTGCCACCAACATCATATTCTAACCTGCCACCATGTCCTAACCTGCCACCACCACCATGTCCTAACCTGCCACCATCATGTCCTCACCTGCCACTAACATGTCCTAACCTGCCACCAACATCATGTCCTAACCTGCCACCAACATCATGTCCTAACCTGCCACCAACATGTCCTAACCTGCAACCAACATGTCCTAACCTGCCACCATCATGTCTAACCTGCCACCACCATGTCCTAACCTGCCGCCATCATGTCCTAACCTGCCACCATCATGTCCTAACCTGCCACCACCACCATGTCCTAACCTGCCACCAACATCATGTCCTAACCTTCCGCCATCATGTCCTAACCTGCCACCACCATGTCCTAACCTGCAACCAACATGTCCTAACCTGCCACCACCACCATGTCCTAACCTGCAACCAACATGTCCTAACCTGCCACCATCATGTCTAACCTGCCACCAACATGTCCTAACCTGCCACCACCATGTCCTAACCTGCCGCCATCATGTCCTAACCTGCCACCATCATGTCCTAACCTGCCACCACCACCATGTCCTAACCTGCCACCAACATCATGTCCTAACCTGCCGCCATCATGTCCTAACCTGCCACCACCATGTCCTAACCTGCAACCAACATGTCCTAACCTGCCACCACCACCATGTCCTAACCTGCCACCAACATGTCCTAACCTGCCACCACCACCATGTCCTAACCTGCCACCATCATGTCCTAACCTGCCACCACCATGTCCTAACCTGCCACCAACATGTCCTAACCTGCCACCATGTCCTAACCTGCCACCACCACCATGTCCTAACCTGACGCCATCATGTCCTAACCTGCCACCATCATATCCTAACCTGCCACCACCACCATGTCCTAACCTGCCACCAACATGTCCTAACCTGCCACCATGTCCTAACCTGCCACCACCACCATGTCCTAACCTGCCGCCATCATGTCCTAACCTGCCACCATCATATCCTAACCTGCCACCACCACCATGTCCTAACCTGCCACCACCATGTCCTAACCTGCCACCATCATGTCCTAACCTGCCACCACCACCATGTCCTAACCTGCCACCACCATGTCCTAACCTGCCACCAACATGTTCTAACCTGCCAATCAGCCTGTTATAAGTATCTAATCTTTACACTTAGAAATGCATTTGATTTAAATAACTATACCAGACTGTTTAAAATCAGCATAACTCAACCACTAGGGGCGGGGGGAAGCCACTAACAGCTGGAGCTTAAGGTGCAAAGCTAAGATTGATCGATAGTTATATTTTTAAAATCAATTATTTGATGGATTATTCTGCCAAGTGCATAAGATTTAATTATAGTCCACTCACACAATTACTTTTAATTAACTCAGTGTGTTGTTTTATTTTTTAATAGACCTCTTTTCCTTCCTCTTCCAATTATTGATCCCATACACTCCTCTAAACCTACCGCAGTGCTGGGGTTTTCTGGTTTTAGTTAGGTATAAAAACAGATTTTCTTTATATAGTATCTACAGCTACCTGTAACAACAACCATACAAGCTACCTGTAACAACAACAACCATACAAGCTACCTGTAACAACAACCATACAAGCTACCTGTAACAACAACAACCATACAAGCTACCTGTAACAACAACCATACAAGCTACCTGTAACAACAACAACCATACAAGCTACCTGTAACAACAACCATACAAGCTACCTGTAACAACAACAACCATACAAGCTACCTGTAACAACAACAACCATACAAGCTACCTGTAACAACAACAACAACCATGTAAGCTACCTGTAACAACAACAACCATACAATCTACCTGTAACAACAACAACCATACAAGCTACATGTAACAACAACCATGCAAGCTACCTGTAACAACAACAACCATACAATCTACCTGTAACAACAACAACCATACAAGCTACCTGTAACAACAACAACCATACAAGCTACCTGTAACAACAACAACAACCATATAAGCTACCTGTAACAACAACAACCATACAATCTACCTGTAACAACAACAACCATACAAGCTACATGTAACAACAACCATGCAAGCTACCTGTAACAACAACAACCATACAAGCTACCTGTGACAACAACAACCATACAAGCTACCTGTAACAACAACAACCATACAAGCTACATGTAACAAAAACCATGCAAGCTACCTGTAACAACAACAACCATACAAACTACCTGTGACAACAACAACAACCATACAATCTACCTGTGACAACAACAACCATACAATCTACCTGTAACAACAACAACCATACAAGCTACATGTAACAACAACCATGCAAGCTACCTGTAACAACAACAACCATACAAGCTACCTGTGACAACAACAACCATACAAGCTACCTGTAACAACAACAACCATACAAGCTACATGTAACAACAACCATGCAAGCTACCTGTAACAACAACAACCATACAAACTACCTGTGACAACAACAACAACCATACAAGCTACCTGTAACAACAACAACCATACAAGCTACCTGTAACAACAACAACCATACAATCTACCTGTAACAACAACAACCATGCAAGCTACCTGTAACAACAACAACCATACAAGCTACCTGTGACAACAACAACCATACAATCTACCTGTAACAACAACAACCATACAAGCTACCTGTAACAACAACAAACATACAAGCTACCTGTAACAACAATAATACATTCTATTTGCAATAACAATACCATTTTTACTTCCAGGTAACCCACAATCAGCTGAGGTCACGGACTGGGTTTGTTTACCTGTGGATATATCAGACTGTTTGCACCAAATTCAAACTTAGTCATCTATCTTATCTTGGTGTGGGGGCCGCATTTTTCTTTAATCAACAGATTAAATTACATTGTATCTGTATCCACCCCACATCCCCCTGTTTGTAGGCACATACAACCCCTATTCCATTTCCATATACCCCAGCTCTGTGTCCCTACACCTCAGATCTCATTGACTATTAACGTTGAAGCCCACATTATCCATACACCTCCCCCCCCCACACCCCAATTTAGACTTGTCCATGTGCCACTGTAATATGTAAGCTCAGTGTTCTATGTGACAAGAAAAAAACCTACATATGACAAGGAGTCGTAACAAAAACTGATTAGTCAGAAGCATTCTGGCTTTTAAAGACATTGGGCTGTGAATCAAAACTTGGTGTGACAAAATGAACAAAAGATTTATCTCTGGACACTGGTGCTGACACACCTACCATCATGAAGGGCACCCTAGCAGGAGGGGAGGAGGGGCAGGATAACACCGCAGGAACTGTATTCATTCGTATTGCTGTACCAGAACTTAAAGTACAGGTTAGTTTCAAGTTTTTTTTACATGCAGAAAAATGCAGTTAGTCATGGGCAGTAGAGTTTATTCAGTGGTGTCACTAGGTTGGGTGTCACCTGGTGTAATAATGGAGGGTGTCACCTGGTGTAATAATGGAGGGTGTCACCCCCACCCACAGTCTTCAACAGTTATGAAATTTTGATTTTTTTTTCAACCCTCTCCCCTTCTATTTTATTATTTTAACTGAATAAAACATTGTTTTAACAGTAAATTTTATCATTTTTTATATTTGATGTCACCCCCAAAATAAAATGGTGTCACATGGTGAAGACCACACCCTCCATCTGGTGAGGTTACTGAGTTTATTTGTATTTTGATCTGGGAAAAACTATCTTGCTGGACTGGGAAGTTAAGCACCATTTAGAACTCTCAAATCCATAGGACAGGCTGAGTTGTCTGCCTGTTACTGTGGCCATGTTAACCTAATTTAATCCTTGACCAGCCAGCTTTAGGATACTCTAGGGGTTTGATGAGACTAGTATAGAAACCCAAAACTTTTTGACCACCCCATCTAAATATATTGTGGAATGTTATTGAAAATTGTGCTGTCTTTTTACTTTTAGACTTCCACAGGCTACTAAGATCAAATGAGCAATGTAAGATTTTTTTTCTCTTCAGAAATGTTTGCAGTTTCAGCTAGAACATACAGTGTGGCAAGCAAAACAGAGGGTTCTTACAGCATTTGCTAAGGTAATACTTCTAATATTTATCATTATCAATTTACTGCTAAAAACATCTAAACTTGGAACCCACATACAACAAAATGCAGGTTTTATTTTCTGTATAAGCTAATGGCATTGTCCATCTGCTTCTGTCCACTCATGTAATTACAATAACTTTGACTGACCCCCACAGGACTTGAAAGACCCTTTGAATTATGGGATGTACATGCCTCCAGTCAATGGCAAAGCTGGGAAGTTTATGGAAGAAGAGCGTCTGCTCAGTGAATATCCAATCCAAGGCCCAATAGGCTTTTTAGAGGTTTGTGTTTTATCATTTCTGAAATAAATATTGACAGATGCTTGTTGTGAGTTTTGTATTAAATTTTCATATGAAAATTGAGTGAAGTTAAATTGTTACAATATAATAAATCATCTGAAATTGCTTATTTTTTTAGTTCAAATATAAGAGACGTGTGTACAAACTGATGCAGATCAATGAGAGAAAACTGAAACAAATTCACTCTAAAGTAAGTTCTGTGTGAGATGAATGTAGCCTCATATTCATCTGTCTCAGATGAATATAACTTCAGGTTCACCTGTGTCAATTGAGAGTAGCCTCATGTTCCTAAGGGTTAGAGAATATAGATTCATGTTCATCTGATGATATCTAAAAGTTTCCTAGACAATAAGCTGTAGTGTTCTGTGTTCTCAGTCCAGGCTACATGTTGTGTCAATTTAGCTTGTAATGAATCTAAAAGTTATTTTGTTCAAGCAATGATCTCTGTTGTCTTCTGTCCTCAGTCCAAGCTGAAATTGTTTCTGGACCTTGTAAGAGCAGGCAACACTGAGAAAATCAACAAGATGACCCTCAAGGGCCTTGACCCAAATTTTCATGATCAAGACAATGGGGGTAAAAATATCTTTTTTTTTGTTTATAATAAAATTTTAGGTAAATATTCTTGGTTCTTGCGTGTTAGAGCAGAACCACAATGTGCTATCTGTTTTAAATATGCCAAAAATCAAATAATTACTTCAAAACTTCTAGCTCCAAGTAGTGGCTATGTTGTATTATATACATTTGGAATGGAAGAAAGGGGGGTGACTATGAGTTATTGGAACTTAATGCCATTAAATGACACCAGACTTATAGATGCCAGAGTATCCCAAAGTGTCAAAGACAAGGACTCAACCAAATTCACTTTGTTCTAAAAATATTTTTTATATTATTATTATAAAGGCTGTTTTTCTTTTTATAGAAACTCCATTAACCATAGCAGTGACCCTTGGTAAGTCTAAGTGCCGTGAGGTGATAATAGCGTTAGTGAGTGGCGGTTCTCATCTTGACTTCAGAAACAAACAAGGCCTAACTGCTCTCCATCGTGCAGCCATTGTTGGGAACACAGAAGCCATAAGGGTTGGTTAAACTTAATTCACACTTCGTGTTTTTATGTTGGTCTTTGAATTACAGTTGATGAAAACTGTAAGTAAAATCAGAATGGAGATCTCAATTGTTGTATTGTGTTGACAGACTATGCTTGATCTGGGCGCATCACCAGACAGCAAAGACTCCCATGAGCTGACTCCGTTGTATTACAGCGTGTCAAATGATGACATGGTTCAAGACTGCACTTTCATGCTCCTGCAGGAGAGGGCACGTGTTGGGATTTGTGATGAGCATGGCTGGTATGAAATACACCAGGTAAATTGGGCTTTTTTTTTTGGGTGTACTTCATTATATGTTTGATAAGATAGTACTGGTAAATGAAACTCTAAGTAAATAGCCCTGTCAGTTTGTTAGCAGACAGACGATATTTGTCTACTAAACTACTAGATCTACCATTATTGTTGTTTTAAAAAGCTCTTATGATTTTGCTTCACTAGAACAATACGTCTTACTCCATTGTGTTTTGTTTATAAACCATTATGCTCTTCTATATCCACCAAGGCATCATAATAAAAAAATGGATAGTGATATTTTTCACCATCATTAAACATTTTAATTTCACTAAGTGCAATGTTTAGGCAAATATAACTCTAAGGCCTTGTTGAGAACTTGTTAAAAACTGTAATAAGGAACAGTCTAGTTCTGGGGAAACAGTTTATTACCCTATACGTAGTTTGTAAATTTTACTTTTCTCTACTGCAGGCATGTAAACATGGTCGCGTGCAACATTTGGAACACCTCTTGTTCTATGGTGCAGAAATGGATGTTAGAAATTCCTGCGGCAACACACCTCTGCACATCTGTGCACTGAATAATCAAGAAACGTGTGCGCGGGTGCTACTGTTCCGAGGCGCTGACCCAACACTTGTTAACTACAGCCATCAGACAGCTGACCAAGTGGCAGCCATGGCTGGGAACACGGCTATAGCTGAGATGATTCAATCCCACAATCCTGATGATGTTGGTCAGTATTGCTAGATGAAGAAAAACAAAATTTTAATCTTTAAAAAAATCAGATTGATTTTGTTGAGGCATTTTTCTTGTTGCTTTGGTATTTGTAAGAATTACATCAGGTTTCATCAATGCAATTACTTATGCTGTGTTTATGCTATAATGGCGACCCTTAGCTATGACCCTAACCTGATTCTAGCTCTTGCCCTGACATAATAATCTTAACCATATTCCTGACTCTAACCTAATCCTGAATATATTCTGAAACTAGCCATGCATTTGACCAAAACAAATGAGCAAAAAAACTAGAAAACAACCTGAGTGTAAATATTGTACCAACTTGTTAGCATTTTATAAGAACCATTACTTGGAGCGTATGTTGATTTTATCTTTCACTTCTCAGTTCCATTTAGAGAGATACCACAGTATAGCAACCGGCGTAAAGGGGGCTCAATGACTCCTTCAATACGAGCCTTGTTACGAACACGTAGTGATCCAAGGATAAATTTTGCTGGCCTGGAGGATATGATGTCTCCCTCGTCTTCTTCCTCACCCATTGGGGGTATGTCCAGGCGCTACAATGGAGGAGGATTTAGAATGATGGACTCAGACTCTGCCTGCTCATTAAGTGTCTCCAGTGCTGGATCAAGTAGGTCTTAGCAGCAATTTTTTTACTGCTAGCTCTTGCCTCTGAGCAGCAATTTTTTACTGCTAGCTCTTGCCTCTGAGCAGCAATTTTTTACTGCTAGCTCTTGCCTCTGAGCAGCAATTTTTTACTGCTAGCTCTTGCCTCTGAGCAGCAATTTTTTACTGCTAGCTCTTGCCTCTGAGCAGCAATTTTTTTACTGCTAGCTCTTGCCTCTGAGTAGCAATTTTTTACTGCTAGCTCTTGCCTCTGAGCAGCAATTTTTTTACTGCTAGCTCTTGCCTCTGAGCAGCAATTTTTTACTGCTAGCTCTTGCCTCTGAGCAGCAATTTTTTACTGCTAGCTCTTGCCTCTGAGCAGCAATTTTTTACTGCTAGCTCTTGCCTCTGAGCAGCAATTTTTTTACTGCTAGCTCTTGCCTCTGAGTAGCAATTTTTACTGCTAGCTCTTGCTTTTTTTCAAGTTTTCATAATTACTGAAATCATATTTTGCTTTAATTTATTATTCAAAAGCATTGTCACTTTCGTGTAATTGTTTTTATTAATTCTTTTGGGGGCTCTGTTTTGAGAGATGTCTGGCAAAATTTATATATATATATATATATATATATATATATATATATATATATATATATATATATATATATATATATATATATATATATATATATATATATATATATAAATTAATAATTCACTTAATTGATTCACAAAAATCAAACATGTGTCACATTTTTACATCAGGATAACTTAGCTTGTGACACTGAAATATTTACATCAACATGGGATCGTTTGTCATTTATAGTATATATATCAACCAGTTATAAGCGGGTGATAATATGTAGTGTATGAGTCTATAACTAATTAATTTAGATCACAACATATGGAATTATTCACTACTCTTCTGTTGTGTTCCCTTTTAGCATTGAAATTGTGAAAAAAGCAAGGCCAAAAGAGAACAATTGATTTATTACCATCATCATGCAAGCATAAGATGAATTAGATTCACCTTGTGACAGAGCAAACATATACATTCCGAAAATGTAATAAATTACAATATTGAATCAAACGGGTCTAAATTTCACATCATTTTCTTTCTTTAAAATAAAAAGACAGCCATGCAGGTGAAAACCAGTCCTCGTTCAATTATCTCCTATTACATGTAACTGTTCACAGATAGGAAAAACTAATTGACTGGTGAATTAGTTAAGCTTAGCTTTTATAACAATACATTTATTAAAAAAAAATCATATACTGTTTTAAAATTCAGAGCATAAGGTTTGAAAAATAAATTCACAATTAGTTAATGAGAATCATATAAGTACATAGTATCATCAAATTCTGTTAAATATATAAACAGATTACTACATAATATCAAATTTGGTAAATCAGAATCAAATAACTACATTATATCAAAGCTTGTAAATGAGAATCAAGTAACTACTTAAGCCTGGTATCAAAATTTGTAATGAGAATCAAATTATTACACAATAACATGAAAAAACATCTAACATGCCAACAGTCACCATGGAATGAATAACCAAAACAAATGTTGCTCTATTTTAGTCTCAGGCATAACAGATGACGGCAGGAATATGGCTGGGGAGAAAGGCTATAGTGGACAATTCTCTCAGGGAAATGTTCGAAGAGGTCAGTTGCATTTAATACACTTTTTAAATCGCTTGATATGCTGTGCTTTTGCTTTTAAGAACATTTAAATTATGAATATTGAAATGACCCAGGGAGGGTTTTTTAAGCTTTTTAATGAAAGGTTTGAATTGGAACCAGAATATTTTTATTTTATTTTAAAAATATTTTTTCCAGCTGGATCCATGGGGGATGTAACAAGGGAGAGCAACCAAAGAAATACATTAGCCACTCTAATGCAAGCAGACAGGTAAGATTTGTCTTCCCTTACTTGACGCCATTAACACGAACCAACAGTGCTAATGGATTACATCTGATTCTGTCCTGGCATGTCAAACTATTAGACTGTCCTGACATAAGTTAATTCAGTTTATTCAAGATTATATCAACTTTGACATTCTAAAACATTAGACTATTATGTCACCCCTTTCAAACCTAAATATATTAGGCTGATCTGTCTCTGACAAGTTAAAAAAAGTTACACTTGAGTATTTTTTGTTTGAAATCTGTCAAGCCCATTATTTCTGTCTGTCCTGAAGGAATCTTGCATTTAGTTTGATTTTTACTCCCTTTGACAAAAATATGTTCATACAGGGAACATGGTTATAGGCTCAGTGGCATAGACAGGTGGGGTGAGGGGGAGGCTTTAGAATCCCCACCTCCCATGGCCCCACAAAATGACAGCTGTCACTGGTTAACTTAAGCTGTTAGCAAAGGCATTTTTGTGTTGCTCTCAATACAAATAATTTTTCATATTTGAATGTCATAAAACATTTTTTTTTGTATTTAAAATTTTCAATCTTTAAGTTTTTTGTTTATTACCTAAATATATGAAAATACATAAACTTAAACATTTGTGTATATATATATAGGCTTATGCAGGGGCGTAGCGAGGGGGGGGGGGGCGGGGGTGCGGACCGCACCGGGTGACACCATTTAGGGGGGTGACACCAAGGCAAAAAATAGCAAAATATATAGAGAAAAACTTGAGGGGGATGGGTGCAAATCGAAAACTTGAGGAGGGGGGTGCAAATCGAAAGTTTGAGGGGGGGGGTGCAAATTGAAAACTTGAAAGTTTGTCCCCGGGAAGGGTCGCAACGCCTCTGGGGGGGGGGGGGGGTGACACCATTAAGTGCCGCACCGGGTGACACCCGACCTCGCTACGCCACTGGGCCTATGTGTGGGCCTATATAGTAGGCTACAAAAAAATGGCACAACTTTCTCAATGATGAAATCAGGTCACTTCTAAAGGTTTGATGACAATCTATTTTTATTTACAAAATAATATAAATTAGTTGTTCATGTAAATATTTTAAACTCAGAGACGTAGCGAGGGGGGCTGGGGGTGCGGACCGCACCGGGTGACACCATTTAGGGGGGGGGGGTGACACCAAGGCAAAAAATAGCAAAATATATAGAGAAAAACTTGAGGGGGATGGGTGCAAATCGAAAATTTGAGGGGGGGGGTGCAAATCGAAAATTTTAAGTTTGTCCCCGGGAAGGGTTGCTACGCCACTAGGGGATTGACACCATTAAGTGCCGCACCAGGTTACACCCGACCTCGCTACGCCACTGTTTAAACTAACTATGGTTAATTAAAGTATAAAAATATTGCCATTAGTGTGATATCCTCTGTATTTTCTGGTGACCTCTTTTGTTTTTAATTATCAAAGTGTCTTAAAATTGTGTAAAATTGTGTATAGATCAATGTTTTAAAGGAATTGTTGGTAATGTTCTGTACCTAGTTTAATTTCTTAATTATTCTTATGGTTAATTAAAACTGACGTACACACTTAAGTCAAGACACACGCACACACTAAAACGTCACACACATGCCCACAAACTTTACGCCCCATTCATTCACTGTGTGACAAAACTCGTCATATAAAGTCAACTTTTTCCGAGGAAAAAAAGTGTGGAGGAAGTTAACTAGGGGAGCCGAATATAATTGTGCATTCCGTGGTTGAAATCAGCGCCTTCACTGAGCGTGTTTGGCCCAAGCCGTGTTTGTTTTGACGTTTGTCAACATATCTGTGTGCGGGCAGTCCGGCCTCTGTGGGATGCTGTTTGTTAGCGGTCGTTGAAGGCGACACACTTTGTGGCCAGTTGTTGAGGGCGACACACCTGTCTTGGCCAGTCGACGACACACTTGCCTTTGACCGTCGTTAAAGGCGACACACTTTCGTTGGCCAGTCGTTGAAGATGACACAATCGTTGGCCAGTTGCTGAAGGCGACACACTTTTGTTGGCCAGTCATTGAAGGTGACACACTTAGGTTGGCCAATCGTTGAAGGTGACACACTTAGGTTGGCCAATCGTAAAAGGCGACACACTTGCCTTGGCCAGTCGTTGAAGGCGACACACTTGCCTTTGCTAGTCAACGACACATTTGTGTTGGCCAGTCGTTGGAGGCAACACGATTGCCTTGACCAGTAGTTGAAGGCGACACACTTTGTGGCCAGTTGTTGAGACGACACACCTGTCTTGGCCAGTTGTTGAAAGCGACACACTTTCGTTGACCAGTCGTTAAAGATGACACTCAATCGTTGGTTAGTCGTTGAAGGCGACGCATCTGTCTTAGCCAGTTGTTGAAGGCGACACTTTCGTTGGCCATTCGTTGAAGATGACACTCAATCCTTGACCAGTCGACGACACATTTGTGTTTGTCAGTCGTTGAAGGCGACACAGGGCCTACACTTTGTTTCAAATCCACTTCTCATCATGTTAAAAACTCTCACACTAAAGTCGAACGGCGCATTTCTCAATATCTACGCCAGTACCATGTATGTTATCGTCCAGAACCTCCAACAATTGAAGCATGTTGTCAGTTGCTGCTTTTATAATTCCACTAATAGCTATCATTTAAGTAATAATAGCCCGTAAAACGTACACATCGTTTGTAAGTCTAACTAATTTTTCTAGAATTTTTAACTTGCCGTAAAAGCCAAATTTAATCCATTCGTTGCACCTAGTTTATGGGCGTAGGTGTATCTGGTTTTACATACACACACGTACATGTAGTATATGGTATATAGCCTCTCTCTCTCTTTATATATATATATATATATATATATATATATATATATATATATATATATATATATATATATAAAACCCCCATCCCCAATACGCTCTGTATTGTACACAACCATTTTGTAAAATGACTTTTATTCAGTTTTCATTACTAAGCTAATCAATTAGCAACCATGACCAATAGAAAAAAAAACATGTTTAATCTGGTCTTGTGATATAACCATCTTGCCTGAGTGGACACGGTTCGATTATATTTCCTCTCAAGTCACGAGACCTATAAGCTCGTGTGAGCGAGGGGATGGATTGATCGGTCCGAAAAATCAAACCCGTGTAGACATCTGGCGATGTTGACTATTATGTTAGTCTAGGTTTGGGTTTAGAGAAGCGGACACATTGCTCAGTACGCGTCTAGTGACAGATTGCTGCGATGTGATTGTGGATTGTTGTGTCTATTTTACTTTCTGACTTGTTGTTACTAAAGGGTTAACCTCCGAAATTGTAGCGATTTTCTTGTGAAAGATCATCAGGCAATTTGTGTGTGTGTAACATTATCATGAAATTTTCTTGGGAAATTTTCCTGTCACCGAAGTCTAGCTTTTTATTGGTGAAAAAAAGATCGTTTTCCTTGTAATAAACCTATAAATGTTCATGTACACATCACTGGTCCATAAAGTGATACGTAACATTTACCTGCTATCTTTAGATGTGCCAACATTGTGATATAACATCTACCTGTGATATTAGCCATTTGATATATTCAGCAGTTTGTAGCGACACATGTTCATTACGTACTCAATGTGATCCATTGAATTCCCTAATGTTACAAGAATTTACCTTAATGCAACATTAGTTACCGCGAATTACATTTAGACTATCAATACTTTTTTCTATCAATATTCTAGAAGATTGTAAATAGTATTAGATACATTTGAAGTTTTTTTTTACACCCAAATAAATTGTGCGTGACACAACTTGGAATGTAATCAATATCTGTAAGACAAGGTGTTACCATCCAATGACGTGGATGTTCAAGATGTCTGTGTGCATGTATGTGTGTTGTCATGTTGCCGGACTAGACACATTCGGCCATTGAATCTGCGGAATGACGCGGGATCGTGTTCGTATATCGAGACGTGTGTATAGGGCATATCTGAGACACGGACTACGCAGTCTTCGGTATGAAATATGAGCGGCCCGTTTCACAGGGTACGTAAATCACACAGCATAAAGAAACCAGACACCGCTCCGCTGCGTGTGGGTCAAGGTCGATTCAGATTCATGGAAGACTCACAGCATTCAGCGCACCACCCTCACATGCAGGTTCTGAGCCGGTCAGCATCTACTCGACTTCAGGAAGGTCAGGCCCGCGGCCGACCACAGATCCGGCTGGAGAATGGTCTGGACTTGGCTGAGCGCAGTCGAAGCCAGACGGCCCATCGCTCCAATAGCGACGCCTTCTTTCTCGAAAGTTCCAGGCCTGTGCTCATCCGTCAGAGTAATCTCCCTTCCTCGTCCGGTCTAAATTTAGCACCGCCGTTACGCAGGAGCAGTTCCGTGGAGTTTGGACGAGTCAAAGAGTGGCTGCGTCGAAATGATTTCAGTCAGGGGTTGGATGGTGGTGTTGACACCGGAAGTAGCTCTTCAGGAAGGACATCTAAGGTCCATAGCAGGAACAAGAACGTCCCTCCTCCTGCTCCGCCTCCCCCACCCCCTCCTACTGTGCACATCAAACGAGAGAAGCTCAAAGACGCAGACCCCGTCAGGCTGGTTAGTGAAACAAAAAAGGAGGAATTCTCGGGTGGGAAATCTTTTCTGGAGGAGTTAAAAACAAAGTTAAAGGCCAGGGAAGTCGGTGACGTCAGCAGTAGAGGTCATGCGGTGCCTACAACAGCCGACCTTCGAACTTTGCCGTCGAATCACAGCATGAATCATGTTCTACACTCGAGTGACTCAATAAGTGATCCAAAGAATGTAACAGGTGATCCGTACCATTTAAATGGTGGTACAAACACTAAGGATGACACGGACAGTATTCAAGTGATCACGGGTAACATTAAAGGTTTTAGAGGGACAGTTGAAGGTGATGCGGACAATAAAATTGGTGATACAGACACTACAAAACACGATACGGTCCATATCAAGGGTGACGCCGATAAGGGAGCGGGTGACACAGTGCAGATAAGAGGTGACTGGGTCGAGCGTACCACGGACAAGGTCCAGGGGAAAACGGACCCTGGTCACGTGACAGTCCCCACCAACAGCCAGCCCGCGGTGGGGGGTGAATCGGAACGTCACGGGATCGGTGACAAACATGCCCGTGTACATGCCGACCCTACCACGGGGGCCGACACTGGTGGACGGGCCATACGTGAATGTTTAGTCGAGCGTGGAGGGCAGGACCTCAATCAGCTGCCATTCTCCCCGCCCGTCGGGCTGATTACACCGGGGGAACAATTGGCTCATCAAAACATACCGCCACTTGCCGGCGACACAGGTGAAAGGGGCGACACACACGCGAGGTATGTGGTCACATTAACACACGCGGCGGCGGACAGGGCCGTGTCCCGTGGTGATAGTCGGCGCGTTCCTTGCACAGGCGGTTGTGATTGTGACCAGCGCTGTTCCAACTCGGGATATTCGCAGGGGAGTTTGTGTTTACAGGAGCCCAGTCAGGTAGAGCAAGAAGTAAGTCAAGTGAAGCCAGATTTAAGTCAAGTGAAGCCAGATTTAAGTCAAGTGAAGCCAGATTTAAGTCAAGTGAAGCCAGATTTAAGTCAAGTGAAGCCAGATTTAAGTCAAGTGAAGCCAGATTTAAGTCAAGTGAAGCCAGATTTAAGTCAAGTGAAACCAGATTTAAGTCAAGTGAACCAAGAATCAACTGAATTTGATGAAGAAAAACAAAACGAGGATAATGCTGATGTGACCAATCACGGTAAGTCTTCAAAGGATTATGTTCGTTTCGCGGATTTGGACGATTCCAGTAGCTCATCTTCTGATTCGGATTATCGAACTTACCGTTCGCCGTCTTTAAGTTATATATTTTCTCACGATGCCAGCCTGCGTACAAGAGCGAACCGGGCTTTGACGGGGAGTCATCAGAACCTCGCCTCTCCGCCTAAGTTTCAGAGCTCTAGAAAAAATCGTGCCGGGACCCGTTCGGCACCCAGCAGTTCTAGACAAAGCCACCAGCCATCGGGCGTGCGCAGGTTGTTGTCTGGTCTCTTCCCCGGCGAGATCTCCAGCACCAGCTATGAGATCACGGAGACGAGATTCGTCAACGCCCAGGCGGGCGTGACGTCATTGAATGGACCAAGTGACCAGACCACAAATTCCAGCACCATGCTCAGCAGCCACAACCATGACCACGAGATTCTCCCTCCCTCTGCTGCCTCCAAGAACAGCAGAAAGGGCAGCAATCCTTACGCCGCCCCCGGCTCCCTGTCGAGGTCGCGGTCCTTGTTCTCGAGCACCCCGTCGCTCTTCTCCAGGTCCACGCCGGAGGAAAAGTTTTGGAAGAAGGAGATGAAGAGGCAAAAAGAGGAGAACAAGCGTTTAGAGGAGGAGAGAAAAAAACGAGAGAAGGAGGAGAAACGGCAGGAGAAGAAGAAACTGAAAACGCTGAAAAAGTCTGGCACCCTGCCGTCACGTGACTGGCGGCCACCGGAAGCGCTGAGGATGAGGGCGGTGCCGATTGATTACCAGGACGATCCCCGTATCCCGCCCCCTCACCAGCCTCCGCCGCCCCCGCCCCAGGGACACTATGCCACCCCTGTGGTCAACCTGAAGGGGGGCTACACCCTGTACGCCCCAGACATGGTGAGGGTCGAGCAGGTGTACGGCACCACCACCCGACGCCCTCACCCCAACAGCGCCCAATACGCTTCTCCTTATGGATACATCCAGAACAGGTTAGTTCTACTTTATACCTCGTCGTATTTGCTATGGTATGGCGTCACATTCTTTGAAGCTGTAAATGGCCTTTTTATGCTATACACCAAACAGGTTTTTTATTGAATCTAACGGTATTTGTATATAGACTTAACCGTGTTTGCTTTTGTATACTTTTGCAAAAATTCCTACAGTATTTTTTTCTGTACCATTTCGAGTATTCAATTTTAAGACCAGCCACAAGGCTATTTCTACCACATCAACTTTTGATCTACTTTGTAATGTTTTGGCCATAGCCCCCACTTATGTGATAGTTCAATAATTTATAGCTCCAATTTATAGACATATTTTGTCCACTTTTATGACGTTGTGACCATCTTATCCACGTTGATGACAAGTTTTGGCCAGTGTGTCTACTTTTATGCCATATTTCAGTCATCTTGTCTAATTTAATACCATGTTTCAACCATCTTGTTCTCTTAAATGACATGTTGTAGCCAATTTGTCTACCTGAATGACATGTTTTAGACATCTTGTCTTCTTTAATGCCATATTTTAGCTATTTTGTCCACTGTAATACCATGTTTTAGTCATCTTGTCCACTAAAATGCCATGTTTAGCCATCTTGTAATGCCATGTTTTGGCCATCTTGTAAAGCCATGTTTTGGCCACTTTGTCTACTATAATACCATGTTTTAGCCATCTTGTCCACTAAAATGCCATGTTTAGCCATCTTGTAATGCCATGTTTTGGCCATTTTGTCTACTATAATACCATGTTTTAGCCATCTTGTCCACTAAAATGCCATGTTTAGCCATCTTGTAATGCCATGTTTTGGCCATTTTGTCTACTATAATACCATGTTTTAGCCATCTCGCCCACTACAATACCATGTTTTGGCCATCTTGTAACGCCATGTTTTGGCGATCTTGTCTACTATAATACCATGTTTTAGCCATCTCGCCCTCCTCTGTCGTTATTTCGCCACTTTATTTACAATTGTTTTCCTCCTAGTCCACTAGACTACCCCACCGAATTGTTCTACTTTGCATTATGTGTTGGCCCACAATACCCTCCCCCCTATCTGTTGTAGTTAATCTACTGCGTCGAATCCAGTGTGACGGTGACACCGTGTTTGTCTGCTGGGCCATTTGTGCTGGTGTGTTGGGGCATGTGTACAATAGGCGACCCCTCCCATTGTCGTCACTGTGTTGTATGTGCTCGGCGTCACAATGTGTCGTAATTTTAGCCCCGTCTTCAACCGGGGCTGGGTCTGTTTTAATCCGATCTCTGTCAATGTTAGCCAGCAGTAAAAAAAATAAATAAATAGAACGACGTCCTTTGACGCTGGTCTATTCTGATAGTCAATGCTGCAGGTGGTGGACTGGAAGGTTTGTGTCAATACTCCAACACCACGGGCATTGTTTCATGTCTTTCACTGCTGTATTGTGATGCTGTCTGGTAGACTACAATGTAGGTTTACACGTCGGTTGTGGTGATGACTTGGTAGACAACAATGTAGGTTTACACGTCGGTTGTAGTGCTGACTTGGTAGACAACAATGTAGGTTTACACGTCGGTTGTGGTGATGACTTGGTAGACAACAATGTAGGTTTAGCCTACATACATATCGCTGTATCGTCCAATGCGACAATGGGTTGACGCTTGTAGGTCATTCGGTCAAGCACTGGCGTTACACTATCTTTAACATGGAGTAGTAGGTTCTACCTGGGGGAGGAGAGGGGGGGTTGACAAGGGAAGCTAACAACGAGGGGGGGGGGGGGAGAGAAAAAGAGGTGACAGGCAAAGGTAAATCAATCTCCGGTAAAGGTCACACTGCTGACAAGGGGGACAATCTCAAGCGAAAATCTCACAGGAATATCACAGCATAAAAGTGTGTTTGTTGGGGGGGGGGGGGGGTAAAACTCGGACATAAAGACATTATTTAAAATACTCTCATAAACCACATTCGTAGTAAAACAATAGGTCTTATTAATATTTTTGTCACGGTCCATATCATCATTATCAAATTTGGCTTGTAATTCATAGACATTCTCTGGCCGTAGATAAAACAGTGTTCCCGGCGCTGTTTAGTCCAGACTTGCTAAAAATCCTGGCAGTGAATGTATTTGGAAGCCAAATCTGGGCCTAAGTGATCGTGTTGTTGGCATTTTAATTTACAACCCTTTGGGAGCCCCGCGTTCCCTCACGGATTGTGACCCACGCCTTTGAATGTAATTTACATAAATTATAGACTATCTATAGGCCTATGTAGCTACCAAAGAAAGAAAAAACAATTCACCCTGAACCCCAAAAACCACGCCCTTGATATTATCTGCTGAATAATATTTTTGTTGACTTTAAATTTATTTTTTATAAATAAACGACTATTAAACGAATTAATTATCAAGGAAAAATTATGCATGCCAATAGCCACAAGTCTGATGAACACTTTATGGTACAGACTTTGAGTTGTTTGTATTAGACTATTTAAACTTTTTTAAAAGCATGATGATTTTAGTATTTTTAGACTCTCTAGATCTATAGATCTACTAGGCCTAGATCTAGAAGCTGAAACAATGGGTTTTTTAAATCACATAAAACGGTTTAAAGCCCAGGATACAAATGGGTTTATCGTGTGTGTTATCTTATCCACGATTAAACTACTATGTTCAATAATCAATGACTCTGGCTATAGGCTCTACCAAATTATCAACGTGTTGAAATTTAAACATTTGCATTTAACAAAAAACAACACAGGCAATTTATTTTTTGTATGTTTATTTCTTCCCGTTTGGGAAGGACCGTGTCAAAGGCAAAGGTGAAGGTTGGGTGAAAATTAGGGGCAGGGAATGATGTGACAATGGCCCTGAAAGATATTGATGGGCAGAGAGTTACCTTCCTTGTATTGTTGTTTATACCCGCGGGGAACGACCAATGTTTACAGTAGCACTGACTCATATCAAGATAAAACCGTATCTACACTTTGTAAACGTTTGATTGATGTGGCGTAAAAAGCAGAGAACAAGATTTTAAGAAAGTTACAGGAATAACTGTCGGTACATAGGTTTTAAACTGTCAGCTAGGAGCTACCAAATGACAGGCAGATTTAACTTCTGCTACTGGCGGTAGCCCGGGCTCGCCAATGAATGACAGTTTGAGTTGTGCGTTTGAGTTTGCTAACAAAGAAATGACAAGTAGAATCTAGTAAAATGCCAGGTAGTTGGCTATGCGATGCTTGAATATTTTTTGTGGAATTACCATAAATCAGATTTAAACATCTTACTTCCTTATTTAATTATTTAGTTTTAAGGCTTAAGGCCATATGCTATGTTTTTTTCTATTTTTTACAGTTTAAGATCTAAAGCCTTTTGAATACTTTTATCATATTTGGCATATAAAAGTAAGTTTTAAACAGCAAAAAAAAAGGTCGAAAACAAGTTTGGTTGTCATGGAAACCCAAAAAACCTCCGCCATTTTGAATTTTTTGATACTTTTAAAAATACTGAGGCTTTTTTATTTATGCACCTATAGCAATCAAATTTAAACTGCTTATATTTCAGTATATATTAAAACTTTTGTCACGACAACTTTTTGAAATAATTACTAGTAAGAATTTTACAAGGTCTAAAAAATCGTACCCTTTTTAGTATTCAAAAGTTTCAAAGTGTGCATATTAATTACCAAATACTTTTTTTCTATGAAAGCAATCACAATTCTGTCGTGACAAAAGTTGTATTTTCGTATCAAGAACATTTACTGAAAATATGGTTGGAATTGTTTAATAAATAAAAAAGTAGTAGGCTTTTTAGTGTTAAAAACCTGCGAACTGAGAAAAACAGCCAAAAGTAACGAAAACTAGGTCAGGAAAGTACTATATCTGTGTAAACTGTAAAGCCGATTGTAAGCTTTAGGTGTTTCCGAGATGTAGGAAATTAACTTTATTAAATACATGAGAAATCCAGCTTTCCAATGATGTTAAATACAATATAATGACGGATATAAAACTTTTCATAGAGAGCTTGTAAGATTGGGAAAAATTGATTATTTTTTAATTAATAGGGTCATAAAAATCGTAATTCAAACACATAAAATATTTTTTAGCGCAATTTCCATTCTGGAGAATTGCGTTTATTAACCCGTCATTTCTGGATGTATGAATGGATGGATGGATGGATGGATGTGTGTCCGCAGCTTTAAGTCGTATCTCCTCCTCAACGAAGCAATATCGATGACTAGTTCCAAAAGCAATTATGTTAAGCAAGTTACGAGGATGAACATAGGCCTACTGCCTTCTACTTTACTGACATTGTAGTATTAACCTACAGTCCAACACTTGTGTCGACTCTTAACTTCATTCTGACCCCCGAAACATTGTGTCAGCAGACAATTGATTCTTATTAGACCTCCAGTCATAAATAAGTATGCCACAGACTATTGACTCTTAATCAGACAAATGAGTAGACCATGTTTCCACATGAACATTTCTTAGTTGTTAAACTTGGTTGAGACTAGAGACTTTATTTGTTGGAATTATCAAGCACTGAAAAAAAAGTCTTGCTGCTGCTGATTAAAAAAAATGTTTTTACAATTTTTCAGAGATCAACATCCAAGGGTTGTACTCCTGCACCGCAGTGCTGAGGGCTATGGATTTGTTTTACGTGGAGCCAAATGTAAGTTACACTGCTGAGGCTTTTGCTGGGAAATTTAAATCAAATTATAAATAGCCTCATGCACTGAAACTCATACAATTGAAGATGACAGAGAATAAGCCATTTTACAATTGTACAAAACAACTGAAATGCTATAAAAATAGAAGAATTTAAAAAGTATTTTACAAAAACAAAGTTGTTTACAAATACATATTAGTTATTTTTAAAAAACATGTAATAACATAATTTTACTAACTTGGCATAGTTTTGAACATAGCACCCCAGAGTAAATTAAATGAACTTAATTTATTTTTATTGCAGCCAAAATCCCAACAGGGGGATTTAATAACTTTACCCCAACAACAGAGTACCCTGCCCTTCAGTATCTGGACAGTGTTGATGCTGGATCACAGGCTGACAGGGCAGGTCTTAAGGCTGGGGACTTTATACTGGAGGTAAGGCCATTATTAAATCATAGGTTAACAGGGCAGGTCTTAAGGCTGGGGGCTTTATACTGGAGGTAAGGCCATTATTAAATCATAGGTTAAAAGGGCAGGTCTTAAGGCTGGGGGCTTTATACTGGAGGTAAGGCCATTATTTAATCATAGGTTAACAGGGCAGGTCTTAAGGCTGGGGGCTTTATACTGGAGGTAAGGCCATTATTAAATCATAGGTTAACAGGGCAGGTCTTAAGGCTGGGGACTTTATACTGGAGGTATGGCCATTATTAAATCATAGGTGTGACAATTAGGACTCTATTGGGGTGTGGTAATTAGTTTTTTAAATGGAGGTGTGGAAATAAATTTTGTGTGGCATAATGTTTTTTATGTGTAATAACTAGTTCTCTATGGAGGTGTAGGAATTAGTTTATTTTGAAATTATAGTTCTCTACTGTAAATATAGTTATCGTTTCTCTGATAAGGGCATAACAATATTAAAATGATGAGTTCTCTTTTAGTTATTCATAGATTAGACTATTGTTTTCTTGAGACAACCCCCTGTTCACTACAGTTAGTTAAAAAAAAATGTAAAATAATTTTTACTAAAATTCAACTGTCCTTCTCTGATGAACAGATCAATGGTGAAAATGTGGTGCGAGCCTCCCACGAGCATGTGGTACACCTCATCAGGTCGTCCAGTGATGTGCTCACCCTCAAGGTGGTCACTGTTGTACACGGTGACCGCAACGACTGGCTGATGCATGCTGATGGGGCCATGACATTGCCAGCCAGAAAAAAACAAGGTAGGAGGCACAGACTGCATCAGCTAGTGGTTTAGAATGAGATTAGAGCTTTTCATGTATTTAAATGTTATATGATAAGCTGTCAGAAACATTACAGAGTTCATAAACATTTTGATCAACTTAATCAGAGCCTACAATTGAGAAATAATTTTGGTTGTAAAGAATTGTGCTTCTTCTCCTTAATTATAATTGAAAATTGTCTTTAAAAAAGAGGATTGCCTGAAAGGTTTAAAGATAATTTAGCTTTTATATCAAGTTTCTGTTTATTTCAGCTGCTCCCCTCCCACCTGAGAGAGACCCACACACATCCCTGTCTTACAGCAAAGCTAGTTCCAAGTCAATGACAGAAGGGCTGGCAGAGATTGGTGAGTGGTACTTTAGGAATACCATGTTTAGTTACCTAGTTTATTATGGTCCAATCTAATACCTAATCTAGTTACCTAGTATTACGGAAATTGTGTTTGAATAGTAGTGATTGCTCACTTGAGTAATGTTATTTAATCCCTTTAAACTCTCTCTATATATTATACCCTAAAAAGTCTGGGAAAGAAAAGGTCGTATGGTATTTATTTCTAGCGAAACAATTCCTCTTGTGCATTTAGATAAACTCTGCTGTTTCATTTATCATATTATCATTTAGCATATTTTAAGGCAAGCTGTTTGAAGTAGAAATATTGACAGTGACTATAGAGTTTAATAAAAATCATACTTAGTATTTTATCAGTGTGAACACATGCTTGAATGAAACCACTCCATCTGACAGAGAAACTGGATGCGGCCATAGCAGAATTTGATGGTCAAGAATCACTCCGACGTCATTCACTGCATGGGTCAGATGATCCAAAGATTGCCTCTATTAGAGGTTCTCACACAGTCAAGCGTGTCTCTGTGGTGGACTACCAGAGTCTCATCTCAGGGGAGCCGCCTGGTGCTAAAGACCACATGAGCCCAGCAGAGGCCAGGATTAAGAAATACCACAAAAAGACTCCTTCACAGGTTGGTGTTTTCAATTTGGCTCTGATAATCTAACATTAGCATGGTACACTAGAAAACTTGTAACTGGATTATGTTTAATAAAATATACTGGCTTCAATAAAGTCATTGGTGTCAGCATGGTAGGGTCAGTTACATCATTGTTACTAAACATAAAAGTCCCTAGTTCAAACCCTCGATAGTTGGGGACATCAACAACCCATCTAGGAGTGAAAACTCTAAAATCAAACCAGTGCCTTGTTCTTAGATGGACAAAGTTGACGTATAATACTTTATTGTTTTGGAGGAAATCCTATCCAAGATAACAATTAAGAACAAAGAAGTAATTTTTAATAAGACACTTTAGAAAGTTATTTTTGTCTACTGTATGATAATTATTGTATGTCTTCTCTATTAATTGATGTCTTTGAAATGATAATTAGTATGTGTGTCTTTACCATAATAATTAGTATGTGTGTCTTTAAACTTTAACATGATAATTAGTATGTGTCTTAAATATGATACTTATTTTGCGTGTTGTGACAATGACATATTGTGTTTGTTTACTATATTAATTACTTTGTTTCTTCACAAATATGCTGTTTTTATATTTGTGTCTATTTTTGTTTAAAATCTTGTCTTGTGTACATAGTCTTGTTAATATCTTGTAGATGTTGGTCAAGTGGCTATCATTATTATTGGTTGTTTTTTTACACTAGTTATTACTAGCTCTGCACACAGCAGAAATGTAAAATGTCGTATTTTGCTAATCCTATTTTTTCGTTTTGAATGTGTAGAGCATGGAACGTTCAAAGAGCACACCAGACATCATAGCTGCAGTAGAGCAGCAGGACAACGGCTACAGGTCCATCATACAGACTGGAAACAACCTGGGGGGTAAAATGTCAGGCACCTGGACAAAAAGCCGACCTCCACCCCCAGCCCCGCATGCTGCAGCTTATTCTGGAACCTTGCAGGCAGTGCCTGCCAACAGGGACATCTACACTGGTGTTGTGGCAGGAAGTGGGATCTATGGCAGGGGAAGTAACCCATCCACGCCTGAGATGGGTAGATCAACCATTCATCCAAGCACTCCAGAATTTGTCAGAATCAACACTGGCAGCAAGAGCAGTAATTACGCCAGTGTCCAGCAAGATATTGCCAAGAAGGCGGAGTCGCCTTACGAGTCGAGCTTCAGGCCTGGGATCAATGCCAAGCTTGTTGATGTCCAGGTACAACAGGTTCTCAATGACGGCCTGAAAGCAAAGAGAAGCAGTTCAAACCCAAATCTGGACAAAAGCATATCTTTTGCTGATGAGCGGGTGATGGAGAATGCCCAGAAGTTCATTGAGAAACACCCCACAGCCACGCTGCTTGTCACAGCTGACATTCACCCAGCTGAGCCAGAAGGGAAGCCTAACATTATTTATGAACCTGAGCCTGATTACGATGACAGCGGGGACGAGAAGCCGAGTAAATTCAACACCAGCATTGCTTCTGCCATTGCGAACTTGAAGTCTCCAACCGTCAGCGATACCCACACCACCACAAACGTTGTCCGTCAGAACCACTCAGCCGTGACTGTCATATCCATCAGCAGCGATGCCAACAGAGGGGGTCATAAGGTGACCCCTACCAGCTCCCCAGCCTTGGCTGCTTCGAGGAGGTCCCCAGCCACATCTGCCCCATCCAGTGCTAACAGCTCCAGGAGATCATCCATCCAGTCCAACAGTGCACCTCCACCACCACCCCCACCTCCTGGCCCACCCCCACCTCCAGCTCCCCCTATACCCCTGGTTCTGGGAACCTCCCCCACAGGGAGTGTCAACTCCACCCTGGGGCGGCGTACGCAAGTTGTGGACCCGCCAGCCGGGGGCCGTGTGTCAACTGAAGATATCCTTGCTGCTGTAGCTGAGAGAAAATCTCGCCTTGAAACTGAGGGGCCCAGGTTGTCTGAAGTAAAGCCTGTCCCAGCAAGTAAGTACATTTTTTAAATTCTTCTGTTAACTCAGTTTTTAAACCATTTCCTGTCTATTTTGGATATTGACTTAGAAAAACATTCAATTAACATTTATAATCACAGATTTCTGTACATTGGTTTTAATAGAATATATTTAATAAGCCAGAAATAGATATTATTACTATCTTGTAGATGTTAAATGCTGATCATCTCTTGGCTCCTTAGCTTGAGCCTATAGAAAGCCTTAAGATTTGCCTACTGTCATAAATAGGAAGTCCAAGTGTTAGCTGTTCATCTCTATATTTAACAACAGCTATTCTATTTATCTTGTAGACTATCTTGTTAACCATCAGTAAAATTGTATACTTGGCTTTTTTTTTAAATTTTAACCAATATTCCAACCAAAACTATGTTCTTTTTTTTGGTCATTTTATTATTATTTTTTTTAAATTGCAACCAAAATCATTAATTTAGTAAATTTTGTTGCAGACAAATCAACCCATGAGCTAAACCAGGAAGCTCTCAAGGCGGCCGTAGCCAAACGGAAGTCTCGCATTGAACAAAGCCAGGACAAATCCGTGGTTGATGAGATCGAGGCTCGTCTGAACCGCAACAAGAAACTACAAGCTGCCAAATTTCTGGGCAGCGACACAAAAAGAGACGGGACTGACGGTGCAGCTCCACCTGCTGCTGCTGTAGATCCCTCTCCAGCTCCCCCTCCAGCTGCCCTTGTTAAAATTGAGACTCAGCCAAAACCTAAAGAGATAACTCACCGCACTGAGCCCAGCCACCCTGCAGTCAAGCCAGAACCTGAAGGTGGGATCCTAGACTTCAGGGCCCGCCTCAAGCCAGTCGCAGTTTCATCCAATGTCACCCAGCCAAAAGCATCAACAATAACAGTGGCACCTGTCGCTGACACTAAGGCTTCAACAATAGCAGTGACGTCTGTGGCTGACAATAAAGCTTCAGCAGTAACAGCAACAGCTGTCAATGACACCAAGCCACAGGTTTCTAAAGTCAACATCAGTACTATTGTCACTAAAGCCTACAGAGCACCTGGGCCACCCCCAGCACCAGGGCCACCCCCTACAACTGGGCCCCCACCTTCAGCTGCTCCAGTAACCAGCCCAGTGGTCCCCACACAAGGAAACACGCCAGCTGATTACATTGCGCTGGCAGAAAAGGCCAGACAGGAGTATTTAAAGAAGAAAGCATCAGGCGGGCTTCAAACCCACATAGAGAAGAAAGGACCAGTTGAGATCACACCAGGCAAGAAGCAGACGCCAACATCTCCAACTGCAACTGTTGTTGCCCTGACCTCCAGCAAGAGCCAGCTGACCAAGAAAGATGAGAGCTCCCTGCCCAACAAAAATGTCACCAATGGTAAAACTAACGTGTCTGTCATTGGTGTCACAGAGGACCACTCTCACACAGAGAACAACGGCACCATGAGGAAAACAAAAAACAACGGGAATATCTCTCCACCCCCTGGCTTGATCCCGCCTCCTCAGCTCAACATTGAGTCTATGGTGGCCCCCCCGCCTCCTGGGTTTGGGGATTTTGACCAGAAGGGAACCAAAAGTGTCATAGTTGACATCATCCCCCCACCTGTCACTTTTGGCAGTCGTGAGCATGAAGGTCAAGACGACACTGTCAGTTTTGTCTCTTCCATCTCCTCTCTCAGCACCCTCTCCAGTGAACAAGGAGAAGACCACCATCAAAATATTGAAGATCTGATCGCACCCCCACCCCCTCCTCCACTTGATTTTGATGATTTGGGAGACCAGGATGCTTTTATCCCTCCCCCGCCCCAGTTTCTTGAAATAGATTCCAATGGGAATGAGAGCCAGAGTTTGGACAAGAACTCAAAACCTTTTGCCACCAAATCTGTCACGGCCTGGTCATGTTTGGATGTTTTGGACTGGCTGGACAGCCTGGGTCTGCCGCAGTACAGGGTCAGTTTTGCCAAGGCTTGTGTGGATGGGACCAAACTTGTAGACATGGGCAGGAATGAATTCATTAACTTAGGCGTTACCCAGGTTGGGCATCGCATGAGTTTGGAACGATCTGTTAAAAAACTTAATTTGGCTTGTTCGACCAATTTATAAATCAACATACTTAAAGACCTTTTGACAATGATTATGTGATTGAATCATACCCATCAACTGTTTATGTTGCACCACGTACAGGTGAGCATCTTGTGATCCTACTGACAGTGTTAAAACATTGTATTCAAGAAAATTGTGGTTTATTTATTTCTCTTTGTTTTCAAAACTCCAAAAATGGGCAGTTGTCAGGGTTTGAGGCAACTGTGTCCCTCTGTGCTGTCACCAGCCTATGCACAACAGAGCTGAACAAACTTAACTTCAAACACACTCTACTGTTTGTCTACATGTACACTGGCAGACATGGCATACTGTCTGTTTAAAAAAGTGTTGGTCAACCAACATGTTATACTGTTTGTTTTAAAAAAAAATTATGCTTTAAAATTGTAAATATACATTTTCTGGGTGTACATTTGTCCACTTTTAACCCTTTTAGGTTTGTATTTACCTCATGCAATTTAAGCTCTGAGATATTTGTCTTTACACGTGGTAAACTGTAGTAATACTGACCTCAGGAGAATGATTAAGAGACACTGACTCAGTAGCGTACGCAGGGGGGGAGCAGGGGGAGCGGCCGCTCCCCCTCGGGTCATTTTCAGCAAAGTGGCGCCTTTTTGGAAACTTTTTAAACTCAAAGTTTTAAACAATGATATTTGTTAAAACAAATATTTTTGGTCGAAACATCTATGTAAATCACAAGATTTCTTTTCATGCAGCAATTAAGCATTATTGTACTAGTCTAGTAGTGTCTACGTTTACAACACGTATTAACAGCTGCATCAGTTTGCCATTCTAAAAATAACCATTACGATGCATTGCAATGCTTAGAAAATCTCTACGATAGTACCACTTGGCAAGAGGGGTGTTAAGTTTAAGGCAACTGTATAATGTATTTGCTTACGAATAATTGAATCAGAAAATGTTATACATAAAACTTCACACATAATTACTTTATACATACAGTTTGAATCGTGTGATTAATTTTTTTTAAATTACAATACAGAAAATACAACTGATGTGGCACCTCTATTTAAATTTACTTATGAGCAAACTGCGTAGTGGTGGGGAAATTTTGACAAGGTCAACAACGTCATAGGGGACGTGGTCGAGTCGGTAAAGCTCATGGTTGCTAAACCGAAAAGTCTCGAGTTCGAACCCTCGGGCAGATAAGGCTCGTTAGCTGGGGACAGACACTCTTCTAGGAGAGACAACTCCAAAATTAAACAACTGCTGCCTTGTAGTTTGTTCTTGGTTGGACAAAGGCTATGGAAGCAAATCCAAAAAGAAAAGCAGGCTGAAATCGGAGTCAATGGCCTCAATGGCGCATAACCAGTTGACACGTAACGCTTAATTGTGTTGGTGGCGTGGTCGAGTCGGCAAAAAAGCTCATGGTTGATAAATTCGAACAAAGTCTCGAGTTCAAAACCCACTGGCAGATAAATCTCGATCCCCTTCATTACTAATAATTAAGAACGAAGAAGAAGAAGAAGAGAACAACATCATCACGATGAAGTAGTAGTATTCTTACAGTTTGGGCGATAGTGATTACGATTACAAATTATATGAAACAGTTACAACCCCCCCTCCCCCATGGACCCCTCTGTAAAAAAAAATATTGTCATAATACCACTGCTACTTATTTAAATCTATTTCTGTAATATATATTTCTGTAATATATATCTGTGTAATATATATGTATGTTTAGAACAGTCATCTAAAAACTGACGCTATGTTCACTCTGAGTTGGTTATCTAACCCCCCCCCCCCCACACACACACACCTCACCACCACAATTGTGTAGAGCGATATTAATGTCACACCTAGGTATACACTGGGTTGGTTAATTGACCTAAAGTGAACGGATAGTGGTGAATGAAGTTGAACCCCCCCCCCCCCCCAAACCCACCCCGAACTGATCTGTTAAGTACATGTAGAAAAACGCGTAATGATGTGCCAAAGTACCATGCCGCCAGAAAATTAGCTTTTGAAACGTAAAACTCTGTGAATATTGTTTTTGCAATTACCAGTAAAAAGGTGTGTGATCAATACAGTGATCTAACCCATACTATGTTAAAAATGGTTCTCTAAAGAACACAAAGAAGCAGTAGTTAATTAAAATATATGATATGAACTAAAAGACCGACATTTAGTTAAATGTAGGCTGTTATTCCGAATATTTTCTATCATAACTAAAAGCGTGGTTTTATACCAACTCTGATTTTGAAAACTTTCATTATGCTGTAATACTTCAGCATTTATGATGACGATATATTAAATTCTGATTACAGACAAAAACATTTTGTAAACACGAATAGTGTTACACAATTTCATTACATTGCTAAAGTAATTATTTGTTTTGACATTTCTAATTAAATGTGTAGATATATACATATTTATATACATATTTATATTAAGAGAGTGATTATTTCCCCTAATTCACTTGTCATAAATAATTTCCCAGGAATTATTATGTAAGAAATTTTTTTTACAAGAATTACTAAACAGATTGTGAAACGTTCATTGCTTTGGTTGTAGTGTGTGTATATATATATATTTTTTTTTTGTGTGTTTAGATTGATAAAAGTTTTGTTTTGTCAGCCTACATTGTGTGTTTTTTCTTATTTCTCCAGAGTGCTACTTTCAATTTATTTTACATCATAGTGAAGTAATGACAAACAGCTAGTAATTATATATATATATATATATATATATATATATATATATATATATATATATATATATATATATATATATATATATATATATATATATATATATATATATATATATATATATATATATATATATATATATATATATATATATATATATATATATATATTTACATATATATATATATATATATATATATATATATATATATATATATATATATATATATATTTACATATATATATATATATATATATATATATATATATATATATATATATATATATATATATATATTATACACGTATATAGAACGTGCTAAAAATTCGGCGCCTTTATTTGCTCTTTTCGCTCCCCCTACAACGAAAACCTGGATACGCCTCTGCACTGACTTAACACAATCTTATTCATGATGATAGTAGACACTGACTTAACACAGTCTTATACATTATGATAAGTAGCAGACAGTAATTAAACATTGATATATATCCCCATCTTTTGTAACTGTAATGTGTAGCTTGCAAGCATAGAATTTGAATTAATGAATGCACACTGATTTTTTTAAATATGAATTAGCAAGTTTAAACTATATAATGACCAAGGATACAAAGTCTAGGCATTACCTTTTCACTGGCGTTGGCTGTTCTTGCCTGCTACAATGCTTCCACTTGTTCTTGCCATCAAGATCTGTAATGTCAAATAGAGGCTTCTGTGTGTTTTAGGTCATTGTCTTGACATTTTATCCTCGGTTCATATTTATACACCATTTTGTAGCAGTGTTTTATTGTGTTCTTTAACCTATACTTATTTTATTGACGTTAAATAATTTAGCCACAGTATGGGAGTAAAAACCAAATATTACTGGTTCTTATCATTAGCTTATATACAAGTGGAGTTGCTATGAAAAATACTTCTTTTTGTGTTTAGTTTTCATTGCAATTATCTTTTTCCATGTAAATATTATTTGTACAACATGTAGTGAAACTAATGTGTTGGGCCATCAACGTATACTGTTGAAGAATTACAAATGGATAGCCTGTTGTGGGTCAGCAGCCAGTAAATGGATCTGTTTTTTTTTTTTACTCCTGCATCAGTATACAGAAAATCACCTTCTGAAAAATATCCTTGACTATGTGACTGCATTGTCAACATAGTCAAGGGCATGTATTGTTGGCCAACTTGAATTTCATTTTTTTTTGTCCAAACAGTCCAGGCCTGAAAATTGGGCTGACCCCCACAGCTCTTTGTATGCTATGGTTATAGAACAGGTGAACTCTACTTCATCTGTTCCATAGACCACCAGGTCTGAAAGGGTACTTGACTTTTTTTTTTTACTTAAGATAACACTGGTTGATTTATTTTTTGCCTTTTTACTTCTTGTCTCTTAGAAAAATGTTGCCTTTATGTACACAATCATTCCAGTTTCCCCTATTTTTTAACTGTGGGAATTTTTTTTAAAAACATTGTATATTCCAACACTTTAAAAAAAATAGGTTAAATAGTGTGTTTTTTCTTTTAAGTTCATTCTTTTAAAATGCTCTACTTCCTACTTGCCTTGTAATATTTATTTCTGCAACTTAAAAGAATGATATATTTTTGTATGATTTATTGTAATGAAATGAGATTATAATATTCAACTATATGTGATAAAGATGTACCATATGTAACCTTGTACCTACTACACACTAACACTAATACAGCTTTTACACTAGTATACAATACATGTCTAGAAAGAACTCAAAACAAGTTAATGTAATTTTTAAAAAATATTTTTTTCAAAGAATATTGATACTTGCTTTTTGCAAGTTTTTTCTAGACATGTATAGTATACACGTCGCAAGTGTAAATGCTGTGTAACACTAACATGAAATAACCACAGAGCTATTCTTTAAAACACACAGCTATACCAGTTCACCATCATTAGTAACTACAAAATATTTGTGCTAACAGGCCTAGAAGATATTAATGAAGCACACTAATCCCAAAAAGTACAAATATTCTGAAAGATTAAATGTTTTAATACAAAATAATTTTTTTTAAATGTATGCAACAAATGGTGACATTTAACAAATACACAAAAAGGTATACTGAATTTATCATTCTTATTATAGTATCTAAGGTAAAAGTCAACTTGGTAATAATTAATTATTGATTAGTAATGATTAGCCTCTTATTACAAGGCAGTTTGTACACTAATTAAAGTAACACTAGTCTTAATCAGAACATTTATAAATCATAACTCAGAGATGTAGCTCTTATGTTTATAAAGTCAATCAAGTGTGTGTACTTGTAATTACAAATGTATAGTGTTTAAAAATAACATTTATGTCTGACCTCAAGAGATAATTAAGTGACAATTATCCAGTTTTTTTTATTGCTGTGATCCAAATTGTTTTGTTAGCACTCGACACATATGAGGAAAATATTGATGTTAAGTAGTTTTGTATGGTGATAACAGTATCATTTCTTATTTTACAAAGTTTCTAGTCCAAAAATAGAGGCCCAGCTATATGTGGAATATAAATCCCTTTTGAAATTCTAAATTTTAAGGGTAATATTTGTTCCATAAATATTTGTGCCATACATTTTTCAAGACCTCACTTCAAGGTAATTTTTAATTTGTAAATTTTAAATTGTTGAAACTTAATTTATCTCCATGTCTATTTGAACATGTTTGTAATTAGTATCTTATGTTTATGTTATTTATTTTTAATTAGCGTTTATGTAAAAAAAAACAAATGTTATTACTGCGATAGAGATAAGATGACCAAAATATTACTTAACACATTTAATCAAACATCACAAAGAGGCTTTTTTTATATTAAATTAGAAAATGTGTTGAAATTCATTAATTAGACATCTATTATTGTTTACATTTTTATTTGTACAATAATTATGTGTGATACCTCTTAGGATTGGTTTTCACATAACATAGGAATGAATTTAATCTCTTTTTTTTTTATTTTTAACTGAGATTATTCAAATTTCAAACTATCTCATCCCGTTATTTATGTTTTGGGTAGCTAGTACAGGATTACTTTTTTTTAATCTGTAGGTATTTTAATATTAAAATTGAGAGTTAACTTCATTGCTAAAGCCACCAATTACTTGGCCGGTCAAAATAAGTCAACGTGTAGAAATAAACCTGTTTTCTGAATTTAGTTTTATTTATGATATTACTGGAGTGTTTACACTTAACGAGGTATCAAGATTATTAACATCTTTATCATTTAAAACTAGTATTTCTTTCTTCAAAGCAATGTGTACACATTCCATATGACTCGAGCATTTCCTAAGTGTAAATATGTGTTGTCTGGTCATGTAACAATAATCATGTATATAAGCACAGTCTAATAAACAGTGTTATTCATTCTTCTCTGTTCTTCAGATTTACATGCTTGAATGCAGTGTGGGGTAGTAATACTAAACATAAGCTTTGTATAAAACCATCTCACACCTGACATTTCTTAGAGAAGGGTCAGTGCCTATTCTGGACCTACTAGACAGTTTAAAATGTATTTTAATCATGTGACATAACTCTACAGCTGACATAATAAAAAAAAGTTTCTACTCTGCTAACTGTAATGGTCACTTATAATTTAGAAAAAAAAAGTCTTGTCTTACTAATCACAATACAGCTGTCAATATCACCTAGGTGTTAAAAAAGCTTGACCATAAAAGAAAAGATATTAAAATTAAATTAAATAACTAAAAAATTTTTTTTTCAAAATGGCATGGTAGTGACAAAGTGACCTAAAATAAGATTAGCGGTTTTAAATACAAAAAGGGAGGGTGTTGAATCTATTTCTGTTGAGGTTTGTCATTTCTATTTAAATATTGTCATTCTGATTTGAAAAATGGTGTAGTTCTGATATTTTAGAGAAAGCATGATAAGATTAGAACAGAAAACAATTTTTTTAGTGTGTGAACATTTTTCTAAACTCCCATTATTCCTACATTCAATAACTACTGAAATACTATTTATTTATTTTGATTTCCATTTGAAGTCAGAGGGATCAGGATCATATTGGTGGTTTACTAATAGTGATAATACAAATTAATTTTCTAAGTTGTCATCACTCCTAGATATAATAAAACAGACTCATTGCCTTCCCCTACCCCTCCATACACTTGAAAGAAGTAATACCCAGCTTTTGATTGCAGTAACTTGCATTGTTACAGATCTGTGGACTACAATAGTTTTTTTTAATAAGTATAAAAATTAGATTACATATTTAATGCCTTGTTTTAAAGCAACAACCCATTTATGCAGAGCTTTCAATTATTGGAACAGAATCATGCTCATGTTATGTAATCTACCCTCTACAGCTCAAGGTCAAATTCCAAGGTGTATGTCCTGTTAACAAAGAACTTGCTCACAATATGTAAAGCTTTGTACTGCCATGTTTTCCAATTCACAAGTTTCTGACAATACAAGTTTGGTCTAAATGGGCAGGTTTTAAGTGTGGCCAACTCTCATAAACCAACTATATGCACTTCAGCATTTGAAATGGAATCCCAATTCCTCTTGTTCTTTGTGTGATTGGTCTGACAAAACATTTTTTAAAGCTTCTAACTAATTATCTAACCTGAAAACCAATTTCCTGCACATCACCTAAAGACACACTGCTTTCTTACTCCAAATTTTTTAACAAGATTTTGGTAGATTTAAATATTTATTGTACATATGACTTGTGGTAAAACAAGTCTTTAGAAAATATAAATAAATATAAATAAGTTAATCATTCCTTGTACCTTGAACTTATAAATAAACAATGTAAGACTCAGCCTCCAACAACATACTGGCTCAATAAATCACATGTTTATATCCTGAACTTTACCCTGCAGATCTTTCATACAAGCCATAAATATACATGAAGACCTCTCATTCAAAAATAAAGGAAGTAGTCCTCTCATACAACTTATGTCATGTAATAAACAAAAATGATGTTAATATCGTAGGCATCCAGGAGCCACATTCACTACAAGCACACAACACTAGAGTAGCCTACCACAATGAACACCTGGCACAACACAGCTGTACTGGTTATGTTACTGAAGGCATACCATTTGTGACTATTCAGATGATTGGTTACTAAAGGTAACTGACTAAATAAATTAGGTAAATTCTCCTTAATGATTGGTAGCTACAGGTAACTGACTAAATAAATTAGGTAAATTCTCCTAAAATTGACAATGACATAACCTCTAGAAAATACAATAAATGATCTATCAAATAATATGTACATCAGTAAACAGTGATTGGTACAAGCTGTATAAATAGATGTGTAAAAAATAGACAGGAATCTCAAGAATCATTGGTTGTCTTCTCTTGTCCTGTATCTTTAGGTTTCGGTATAGGATCCAATTCAAAGTTCTGAAATGACAGTTTGTATTAAAGAAAAATATATATGATAAAGGGTGATCAAAACACATTAGCAATGCTGTACTTGTTCTCTGAGACTTACCTCAAGCTCCTTCATGATCTCATCAATAAAATCTGTTGAGTTATTCTTGTATGCCAAGGCAGCTCTTATAGAATCTTTAAACAACTGCAAACAATTCATTGTTACAATTATCTCAGTATTTTGAATCAATGGTTCATTGAAAAACACAATAAAATAGATAAAAATACTAATTTAGACAATGTAAGTAATACATGTAAAAGAAACATTTGCTGAATGTTTGAATATCTTACCGACAACATTAGATTTGAGAAAAATTCACTCAAGATGGCTAAAACTAATGTTTGAATACCTTACACTGACAACATTGGTTTAGACAAGAGAAACATTCGTTCAAGATGGCTAAAACTAAAACAAATGTTTGAATATCTTACCCTGACAACATTGGTTTAGACAAGAGAAACATTCGTTCAAGATGGCTAAAACTAAAACAAATGTTTGAATACCTTACCCTGACAACATTGGTTTAGACAAGAGAAACATTCGTTCAAGATGGCTAAAACTAAAACAAATGTTTGAATACCTTACCCTGACAACATTGGTTTAGACAAGAGAAACATTCGTTCAAGATGGCTAAAACTAAAACAAATGTTTGAATACCTTACCCTGACAACATTGGTTTAGACAAGAGAAACATTCGTTCAAGATGGCTAAAACTAAAACAAATGTTTGAATACCTTACCCTGACAACATTGGTTTAGACAAGAGAAACATTCGTTCAAGATGGCTAAAACTAAAACAAATGTTTGAATATCTTACCCTGACAACATTGGTTTAGACAAGAGAAACATTCGTTCAAGATGGCTAAAACTAAAACAAATGTTTGAATATCTTACCCTGACAACATTGGTTCCATCAGCAGCAGACACATAGTAAAATGGCATTCGATTTTTCTTAGCAAATGCAAAAGATTTCTTTGTTGTTTCCATGTCCTCTAGATAGGTGCAAAAAAAATATTTAGCTATAAAATTTTTGTTTTATTTAAATCTTTTTTTACTCATAAGTCAAACAAAGGATGAAGTTTTCTATTTAAAAAAAACTTACCATCAATTTTATTAGCAGCACATAAACATGGTATCTCTGGTCGATAGGTTTTTAAGTCCTTTAACCACTCAGGCAAATTTTTGTATGTGATCTTTCTAGTGCAGTCAAAAACCTAGGTTGTGTAAATTCAAATATTAGGTTTGAATCTTAAAATCATTTCAAATATATACAACTGGTTTAAAATTTGTAATGAATAATACCAGTTTTGTGGGGCAACTTACAAGTATACATGCATGAGCTTGATGGTAATATGATGGATGCATAGAATTAAATCTCTCTTGACCAGCTGTGTCCCAAAAATCTAGAAATGAGTCATAATGAAAAAGAAATAGAAATGGGTAGTTTTAATAATGAATAACATCCTGTGTTGGGTACCAACAAGTTATTTGTAAGTAATAAATAGTAACATCGTTTTTTTTTTAATGCAACATACTACATTCTGTGTGTTACAATTCATTAAGAGAGATGTACACCTTTAAAACCTTGCTAGAAATTTAAAAAAAAAACTATCTACACACCCTTATAACCAAACCCCATATAACTATAATTAAAGGGGACAAAATAACATACAAATGCTCAATAGTGTCAGCATGCATTTTAGAGAAAAAGTCTTTCTGTTATTGGATAATTTAACAATTCTGCCTTAGCAAGTAAAAATATAGTCATCATGACTAAGTTTTATAATAATTTCGCTGACCTATCAAAGTAATGAGATAACTCTGTTATAATTTTTCCTATCAGAAAATATTTGAAATAACTAACCTACAGAGACTGTTTTTCCATCAATCTGTGCTTTGTGATTGAATAAAGTTAAAGCATATGTCGACAACTGCTGTGGTTTGATACATTTTGTCAAGGACTGCCATAATTTTTATAAATATTTATTTTTTCAATAAGATGTCTTTTTACAAATAATAAATATTAAAACTAAAACAAAATTTAATTTTCAATAATCTTAATTAAATAATGAAAAGGATACTATCCATCCATAAGAAATCTCTCTACAAGTCTGAAATTAGAGAGAAATTATAACATAATAAACTTTTAGACAAAGTTAAAACATTTTAACATTATATTGTTACACTATTTTGATAGTTTTTTTTTTACAGTGATTTCTTTATGTATTATATTGAATGGTCTTGGTCAATATTGAGCATTTTGATTCATTTGTAGTACAATTTACAACAAAATATTTTAAGATTAAAAATAATTTCTAAAGCTCAATTTCTAACATTATTTTTTAAAATGCAAAAGTGTGTCATCAGACTTTCTGATCCTCACCATCTTTGCCAGACATGTTCACAAAAGTCAAAATACCTCCCTCCTTACCTGCCCTTTAAGTGTGCAGTTTTACATAGTTTATTTATGGAAAACTCGGTAATCTCCCAGTATAGCGTAGGAAAATATCCTGTAAGGTTTACTGAGTTTCATAAATATTAGTTTCTGTAAACCATGGTTTTTTTTACCGTTGAAAAATAAATAAAATGTATTGGTACTAAAATAATGTTTTAACGTAATTTTAAGTTGAATCGACATGAGGAAATAAAAATAAATGGTAGATTTAAATTAGTAGACCTAAATACAAATATTAAAGTTAATTGTGTAAATTTGTTTGATGATTCATTTAGAAACAGATAAATAAAAACTTGCAGAGGATTAACGACAATCAATTATCAGATCTAGATCTAGTAAAAATGATTACGAAAATAGTAAAAATGACGACAACAATGTTTAGTAGCAGCAATAATTATCAGAAACACTTAAAAATAATAAGGAATACCAAATGATAGGCTTAAGTAAAACACTATTTAACATGCAGTCAAAATCAATCTAGAGTGAAGTGCCACAGACAATCACACATAGCAAAAAATTCAAGAACTCCCGATTTTCATCGGGCGCTATTTTGTAACTGTTTCACACAGAAACAAACCGAAAGTACTGTATTACTCTCATCCCAGACCCAGTGTTTTCATCCGGGGGAACTGGGATCACCGGCTGACGTCATACCTCAACTTAAAAATTAAAAAATTGTCTTCCAGAAGGAGAAAACAAAAGAATTTGACCTGGATATATTTAGAAATGGACATGCATACAGCAGATCCCGGTAGTTTCGTATAAAACATCCAAACAATTATTATACGAAGCAATAAACAGACGATTATCGCTTTGTGGCTTCGACCGTGCATTATAAACGTTCCCTAATTAAAAATAAAAGAAAGCACCAAATAAAGTATGGTTTAAAGTACTTCTGGTGGATTCCGGAATTATTTTACTGCTTTTTACGGCTATACCATTCTGGAATAATAACCGAAATTATACTGGGTGATTACCGAAAACTCTTCAGTAGGACCCTAAATAATGGAATTAATTAAATGAGTTAATTTGAATAGATAAACCATAAATAATAGCGATACTCCCTAACTTGAAAGCGTCCCTGGTTGCTAAGGACAACATGGCTACCACACCTCGGCCTACGATTGGGCAAATTTTTCTTCTTTGTTGGAGAGACCACCTTAGCATTAACTTTAAAAATAATTAGCACGCGAAAAATGGCGTTTTTTTCGTGTATTTTAAGCAATGTGATGATGACAAAGCTATTTTTGGCAGATTTTTTTTTTTTTGCTTCCGACATTGAAGGTCAAACGTAAACATGGGTACAGTTTGAGTAGCTTAAAAACTTTAAATAATGGTCTCTAAGGTGTAAAAACTGCATGCTTAGGTCGATTATTATTAGATTGATCGTTTAGTGAAAAAAAATTGTAATTATTATGTTCTCCTTTTAAAAAATCTGCATCGCAAAAAGGTCACTGAAAGCACATTATTTTTTATTGTGACGTCATCGCTATTGTTACGGAAGCTGTACAGTAGTATCCTCTCGCTGCTTATATATTATATATAATTGTATTCTTTTCATTTGACACTCTTTTTCAGCTTATTTTGCTAGCGTAATTAGACTAATTAAGCCTAATTATGGATATTTCGCCTGGCTTTTGGATTATACTATGACTCTAAAAGCCCTTAGCCTTAAACCACAACGATCTGTTTTTTGTTTTGTGTTGATCCCTGGAATTTGTAGTGAGCGTTGGTCTTTGTGTGCTTATTTAGGCCTAATTATTTGTTTTCAAATTTGTTATAGCTTAATTAATTTGTCTTAATTCTTATTGATTTCATAAATTTTAATTAGGTTAATTATAATATTATTTTCACTGGTCTTCGTTGATACATTTATTAGGCTTAGTAATGTTTATATTATATAAATATATTTATCAGGGGCGTAGCGAGGGGGGGGGGGGTGCGGGGGTGCGGACCGCACCGGGTGACACCATTTAGGTTTGAGGGGGGGGTGGTGCTAATCGAAAATTTGTCCCCGGGAAGGGTCGCTACGCGTCTGGGGGGGGGGGTGACACCATTAAGTGCAGCACCGGGTGACACCCGACCTCGCTACGCCACTGATATTTATATATTTTATTATATATTATTAAGATTTTAAAGGCCTGATAAATTAAATGATTTTAGCGTTGAGTCTAGGTTTACATTACTAATTAGTACTTAGTAAACCAAGTACGCATGGACTAGGACATGTGTGTACTGTTCCCGCGCTGTGGCGGGCGATGCCTCTCTCGCTGACAAACCAGCGCGAGCGAGCGAGTCGTGTGTCACACTTGGCCTGTGTCGATGTTTGGAATGCATAGGCATAGGCCTAATTCTCGCTCTCGGGTGATCGATTTTAATGCGCTGACATTTGAAAAATCAAATAGACACACATCTTAATTAAATACATTTAATTTGAACTTTATATTAATCTAGGCCTACAATACTAATTATAACTTGGGATAACAAAGTACTTGGACTAGATTTAGCGCATGCTCACACTGTGCTGTGAGTTTTCTCTCGCTGGTTGACAAAAGAACGCAGGCGGGCTGGCGATGTTTGTAATTTGCATATATCTTCGCTCACAGGCGAATAATTTTAATGCGATTGGCCTCTTTGTATTTTATAGGCCTAATTAATTGTATTTGATAGGTTAACTTTTCTGGTTGACAAAAACTACGCGAGCGAGATGTCTGCCACGCGCACTGCCCGTGGTTAGAATGCATTTCTCGCTAACTTGATCAATTTTAATGCTATTGCAGTTTTTTTAAAAATAAATCAAATACTTACAAATCTTAACATTTTAAACTGAACAACGACAAAATTTTGTAAATAACACACCTGTCCCAAGTCAAGTGAGAGAGGAGGGATTCATTTTACAATGATATCGCTATATTTTATGAATTGCCCTAATAAATTAAGCAATGCTAAAACACACTAGTTAAATAGTTAATAAAACATGCACGGGATTGAATATCTTTAAAAAGATTAGATCTATACTATATATTCTGAAACATGTTTTTCATTAATTTGGGTTTAGTTTTCCTTTTTAAACAACCTTCCATTTAAAAAAAATTAAATCAAATATTTAAAAATTCTAGAACTAGATCTAATTCCATCTTGTGATTTTCATTCTGACGAAAACAGTGTCCATACGAATAGAAATGTGGTAATAAAATCAAATGTACTGTGCATATTCTGCTAAAATCAAATCAGCTGCAAGGTCAACCCTGCAGAGTTCGTCTCTTCAGAAAAGCATATGGTGATTTGGTTGTCACGGATTCTTTGGCTTGCAATGCTTGGAGTGACCAATTAATAAAAATCAGTAATTAAGCTCCAAATGAGTTTATTATCAACAAATTAAGTATTTGATTGATTAGAGATTGATCTCTAGTTTTCATTGGTAATGTTTAAATCGAAAAATAACAAAATTTAAAATTAGTGAGTATCGCTAATAAATAATTTAACAAAAATGTTCCTACAATCTTTACTAGTAGGCCGGATTGTTGCTTATATGGCTGGATTGACCTCTGACCCTGAAACGTCACGCGTCGTTTTCTGACGGTTTTTACGTTTATTTTAGGGGTCCTATACACGACAAATGAAAAAACTGCTAATCTCGCTAATTCTCATCATTATTTTAATGAGACATGCTATATAAATGGACGCCATGCCAGAAAATGGCCGAAAAAATAGCCAGATATGTGGTTTTAATTAATACATGCTATTCTTGTCGAGTACTCTTGGGAAAAACTGAACTGTCGCTTTAAACGGCCCAGCACTCGGTCGAAACCCCCCGGCACAGAAGTAGTAATATATAATTGAGATATTTATAATGAGTAATTACAGTTATGTTGATTCGCCTATTTTATATCGAATTTCCATATGAGGTACCCATGCAGACATTTCTGTCCGCTTTGTTTACTATCGTGACGTCATTGTTACGCTAGTTACCTCACAGAAACAACTCGTTTTTGTTTTTTGCGGAATGAACTGTTAAGTCTAGTATTTTAATTATAATTCAATTGTAGCGTGTGCAGAAAAAGTAAAATTATGGAAATTATTTTTGTATTAGTAATTTTATTAGTATATTGATTTTTTCTTCACTGTGGGCCGACAGTAGCTGCATTGAATTTAATTCGTGACCGGTGGTTAACCTCGTCAACGCTGCGTGGCCTATTCGTTTATATAATTAGTGATGCTCGTTCAGTGGCCTTTTTCAGAGCTAGGCCTAATTACGGGCGTTTTTTAGACTTAATTGATCGGCCGTTAGCCCTTTTCATTGCTGCGTATTTTAAAAAATGCTCGTTCAGCGGCCTTTTTTTTTTTTTGGCGCTAAATAATCTGTTTACGGGCATTTTAAGCGTTTATTTATTTTTTTAAGCTAGACGTAGATCTAGTTTAAAAAATATTTTTTAATACAGCTGGCTGCAAGGGGGGGGGGGTGCAAATCGAAAGTTTGAGGGGGTGGGTGCAAATCGAAAGTTTGAGGGGGGGCGGTGCAAATCGAAAACTTGAGGGGGGTGCAAATCGCCTTTGGGGGGGGGGGCTGACACCATTAAGTGCCGCACCGGGTGACACCCGACCTCGCTACGCCACTGGCTGGCTGTCTTGCATGCCTGATATGTGAACTTAAAAAAAAAATGACCGAACTTTAAAAAAAAATGACCAGAAGTAGGGAAGTAGGTCTGTTTTTCAATTGGCTAGAGGGAGGGGGGGGGAAGAGAGAGAGAAGTGAAGACACCGACCATCTCGTGTACGCGTGTTCATGCTATGACGTGTACTATAGGCCTGCTGAACTCACGGTGACCCGCGACCGTGGTGGGATTTTTCATCCACAGGATAGTAAACGTAAGCAAGCAATCACGCGAGTGACGATGTTTGGAGATTTTAAAAAAAAATCACATACGTCATGTTTTCAAGATGAAAAAAAATGTAATGTAAAAAAAAAAAATACCATGTATGAACCTCAGCTGCCACACTGTTGACTCAATATAATGTGAATTGAGTGTAAAATGTATTTGTATTTATAAACGATCATAACTGTTACTATCATATTATTTTAAGCATATTTATTATTTATTATTTAAAATTAGAATTTGAAATAAAAATATTTATTATGGTCATTTGATTTATGCAGGTGTTCATTACTTCATAAAATGGTATGAATAACATGTAGAGTAGAATTTAATAAATAATAAAATAACTAGATCTAGTTTTATTATCAACCAGTTGCTTTTTGTTATTTTCCGGTGAGTAAATTACCTAAGCTGACGCAATTACCATGGCGGGAATTAAAAGCTCGTGTACACAAGTCGACGACGTCATGTTATGCCAAGAACGCTGTTTTGTCATTCATTTTCAATTTTGATTAATTTTCAAATTCTCTCTTTTCTCGTCAACCGAGTAAGCTAGATATTTAAATGTGGTGTCAAATGTTCTCTTAAGGGGTAAGGAACTTAATGGTGTATTTGAAATAACAGAATATTTTATTTTTAAAAATCCAAAATTCAACCTATTACTAGATCTACATATTGAAGCTAGAATGCTAGCTCTACTACTAACAGATCTATAAGTTCACGGCAACTTGTACCCTTAGATACGAACAAGTTTCTCGGATTTGATACTTCAATACTTGAAGTTGAAGATATCAGAAAAAGTCTGAAAAAGTAAAAGTCTGAGCAGGACTAGAACTAGATCTAAATGTACATTTATTTACTAATCAAACTGTATATTATGTATATAATAGAAAACTGATTATAAAACGTTTTTAAAATAAGCATACTTAGACTTTCCTACAGCACTGTCACCAAGACAAATTATTTTAACGCGCTCTTCTCCTTCATCGCCCGGCTTATCATAATCTGGCTGACAGTTAGTTGCCATCTTGTTGCTAAAGAATGCAATACAGTGCTTTCTGGGAAGGATTTTTAACTGGAAAGAACTGATATGGTTTAGGTTTAACGCGCTGTGACTATGATGGTGAATTTGAGAATTTTGATGTCGTAGCCCGCATTTCGTATACCAGCATACTAATTAATGTAAGGCAGTCACTTTCGGGCATCTCTCGGGGGGGGGGGGGGGGGGGGGCACGTCCATCACCCCCTCGAGGATGAAATAGAAACAATAAATAATTTATATGGAAAATAAACCTATATACTTTAACCAGTGTTCGCCCCCCCTCCCCCCACCGACACCTCCAAAAAATTTAAAGACATTTCTCAAAGAAACCTTGAGAGAAGGTAATTAAGTAGTCAGGTTAATATAGCCCTACTGTTGACTATCTAATTATACTGAGCACTGCTTTGACAACTGCATTGAATATATACTTTAACCAGTGTTCGCCCCCCACCCCCCACCGACACCTCCAAAAAATTTAAAGACATTTCTCAAAGAAACCTTGTGAGAAGGTAATTAAGAAGTCAGGTTAATATAGCCCTACTGTTGACTATCTAATTATACTGAGCACTGCTTTGATAACTGCATTGAATATTGTGGTTGGATGTTACTCTTGAACATGTTTTGGTTCGTATGCCATTAAGATCAGGCTGAGACCTCATATATGGACCATGGTTGCCAGAGTTTCTTCCAGGCATCCGCCCCCACCCCGAAGAAAGTCTACCCCCCCCCCCCCCACCCCCAAAGAAATGGAATTTATTTAGAAAATATAGTATACTTTAACAGTGTCCGCCCCCGCCCTGGAAAATTGTGTTCGCCCCCTCGAACAAAAAAGTCTGGAAGAAACACTGCCATGATGGTTGCCCGCTCCCATGCTACCTGAGTAGCTAGACCTAGATCTATATATATAGGTTACAGCTGCACAATATAGGCGTACAATCAGTTACGCAAGTATAGCCTATGTGCGATGGTTTTCGGTAATGGTACTTCGTCTTAATGCTAATATGTCAAGTTTACCGTATTTTGACAAATCAGTCTCCAGAGCCATTATCTAAATTCTAGAGCTAGGCCTTAAATATTTTATAAAATAAATTTGATGTCACGCAGTTTTTTTACTAGTTCTCCTCCCCTTAAAATTAATTTCATTTTCTTTTATTTATTTTTTTCCCTTAAAACTTGCAAAATATAATTCAATATAAGCAATATTGCATTTCTTGAAAACTCATTCCCTCGCATTCAACAATTTATAAAGTAGGCCTAGCATAGATCTATGTCGATTTTTTTTAAAAATTGAGTTCCACACCCCCCCCCCCCTCCCCCTCCCCCCCTTTCCAGTATTCTGACGAACATGGCTCGTGTTGACAAAATACCACTTTCAAATTTGCTCGCGATTGGATAACAACGTGCATAAGGCGTCTAACTGGAAAAAAGGATTAGACCCAATATTTTCGATAGGGCCTAGATCTATAGTCTATAGTCTATACTTATACTTATAGAGTAGGGGATCTAGATTCTATATAATTCTACTTTTAGTATTCTATATGGCTCTACTTTTTAAAGTTTTTGTGTTTACGGAAATTGGACTTGTATGTTTTGAATGACGTCAGAAATGTAACTAGCAGAAGCTGACGAAGAAAGTTGAATTATCTCAGTCTAATAGTAGTAATAGAACCTCTAAGGCTATATAAATAAATTAAGTAGGTCTATGATACTCTACTTGTTTTATTAGAATGTTTTAAGAAGCATTAAACCGAGAAACCGGCCAAGTAGTTGAGTGGACAATCAACTCCGAGACACTCGTCTCTCTGTCTGGCAGTCCAGTGACTCAGATGACAGTCAGACACTGATCACTCGCAGTCAGCTCAGTGTCTCACTCTTTAACTCATCAAAGTCTCAGTGTGTGAGTTAACTCAAACTAACATTACAAGTTATAAGGAATGGGGTTAGATCTAGAATCTAGATTTATTCTAGATCTATAGATAGTTAGATAGTCTATTATCTATAGATCTAGGCCCTAGCTAGGCCTAGTTAATTTAGTATTAGTTACTGTATTAGTATTAGTTAATTTTTAATAATTAGGGCCTAATAATAATAAATTATAGGCCTAATAGTTCAACCACTAACAGACACTATCAGTATCATCACTAACACAGTGACTAACTACATACAAAATCAAATTATTAAAAATATACTATCAAATTAATAGTTAGGGTAAGGCCTATTTTATATTATAATATATTTTTATGTAGTTAGTCACTGTTAGTGGTTTTTATTTATTAACTAACTACTAGAATAGATCTAGACTAGTAACCATTTACTTACAGACAGTATTCAGTAAGGAAAAGGCTATTCAGACCCAGGTCCTAAAAGCCCCAGCCGGTATTAGTATCCGGGTCCCTATAGCCATGGCCATATTTCAGACCCAGCATATACCCAGCATTGCCCACCGTAACCACAACCAACCAAAAAAAAACCACAAACATAACCAAAATACAAATACAAACGCAAACCCAACCACAAACACAACACAAACAAAAAATCAAATGAAAACAAACCAAATCCAAACATAAACCCAACCACAAATGCAAGCCCAACCCAAACACAAAGAAAATGCAAACATAAACGCAAAGGGCTCAGTCTAGCCCGGGGCGCCAAATTGCACCATGCTAAGGCGCTGGAGGAACCGTGTGTTTCAGCTTAGTAAACGACTATTGTATCCCAACTTATTCATAGTCTTTTGCACCCACTTAAACGAACGTAGGCGCCATAGCAAACACGGAAAGGCCTGGGGCGCCAAATAGCACCCTGTCAGGGCGCTGGAAGATGCCCTGATTTGATTCACATAATCAGGTGAACTCTTTTATTTGTCCTATTTAGCATCTGATCTGAAAGGGTACTACTTTAATTGATTTTATACCATATATTACACATTCTATTAGAATGAATCTGATGGAACTAAGTTCTAATCACATGTGGAAAAGGCTTATTGACTTGTACCAAAATGTAATTCTCTTTCACTCTGTATTTACTAATTGATTGTTATTATTTAAGATTCAGGTGAAGCATTTGCTGTAACAGGCTTAGCAAAATAAGGTTGGTCATTAACATACATTATTTAATGTTGTTAATTGAGTTTCTAGTTAACTTTTGTCGAGTAAGCTCTAGTACTTAATGTTACCCTATATAGATCACTATATAATGTAAATTTTTATTCAAAATTTCTTATTTAAATTTACTTGTTTTTTGTATTGTAATTAAGTAAGTATTTGATAGAAGGATGTGAAAACTAATTCTTGAGCTGTTAACTACCTCAATCAAATCTCCAGTACTGCAGATAATAATCCTCAAGTATTCTTTTTAGCATAGATGCTTATACTACTTATAGCAAACTATTGAATTGGTTTTTCCAAAATTGAAATCACTCAGGGATCATGTCTGGGTTTCTGGACAATTGCCACTGGCCAAGATGTGAATGTATTGAACTTGGAGAACGGAGAAACCTAGTTGTTTCAATCATTTCTGGGATCATGGTAAGTTTTTACTTTAAAAGGATATTATTAATTCAAATTATATTACTTTAAAAATAAAAACCACTTGTATTATTCCATTATAAGTAAATGTTACTACATTATGTTATAATTAAAAGATGAGATTAAGATGTTTAACAATTATCATAAGTAAGATGTACCTCTGGAAGTAGATATACTGTATTGTTTAGTATTTAAATCCATCAAATAAAAAAATAAACTGAATATTTGTCTATTCACACTTCTTTTAAATTTAATGATAGTGTAATGAAAAATGCGGGAATATCAAATATTAAATCTAAATCGTTGCTTCTAAAGTTCTTTTCAGGCTGGTGGTTTTTTATTGATGCTGCAGTGCCCACAGAAAATAAGTTTAACTTTGCCTATCTTACTCCTGGTATCATCTTAACACTGGCCTTTTTCATGTAAGTTGTGTGTTAATCACAGCCAGCTTTAAGTTTTAATACATAATTTGATTCAACCAAGTTCTGAAAAGTTTTTTTTTTAAAATTATCCACCAGGATCAACTCGGTGTCAAATGGTCAGATAAGGGGTGAATCTTACACTACAGGCTGCTTGGGTCAAACAGGTACAGATGTCATGAAATACCCATTAGTTGTGTTCAATGTTTAGTGACCTTTACTTTAAGCCATTTTAAAGTACCGAGCCGACCCGCGGTGTATCATACGCCGCTATTTAGTTGTTTTATTTTCTACTTTTCAGTAATTCATAATTTGTGAATTCGACAGTACCAATGTTGCCACTGAAAATATTTGCTTTAAAACACTATCAGTAGCTCGTTAAGGACAATAAACCCCCCCTCCTTTAGCCCTACCCCCCCCCCCCGTGAAAGCAGCCTCCTCTTAGTTACCTCCCCTAAGTTTAACGTTTTGAACTAAATTATCTGCCCCTAATAGCCATCATTAAACCCGGCTCTACGATTGTAAACATTTAGCGTGAACCACAGCTCACCAGACCATGTATGGGTGGTAGAGAGGGGGCTTCTAGGCGCGCTTACAGCTTGGTGTTTTCTATGGTCTCCATGAAGAGAATTATATATATATATATATATATATATATATATATATATATATATATATATATATATATAGATAGATGGTAAAGTTAAAACCAAAATTTAAATACACCAGCTGAATTTTAAAAACTTAATTACATATGTTTACCTGGTATTTAAGAAAGTATGTAATAAAAAAAATATTTGATTTACACAAGGTGCTCGCGTATGGCTATTTATTGGATTCCTGTTGGCTTTTGGAGCTTTGATTGCAGCTAGCTGGATCCTCTTTGGTTTTTATGTTGTGGGAAGTAAGTTAGTTTTGTAGTAAAGTAATTAAGTTTAATAGTTTCTGTAGTCATGATTAAGTGGGTGTTATGTTTTACCCAAAGTGTAGTGAAGGGTCCTTATTTTCATGGTATGTCTTTTAGAATCTCATGTAAACTTAGTCCCAATTAAGAAATACAATTTTGTATAATCTTTACTGTTGTATTTTGAAGGTACCCAAATTGATTATTGAGATTAATCAGGGGAAAAAACTCAGTCCGTCCCTGTGTATAGAATGTGTCCTCTTCATCTTGAGCTATTTAATTATTTTGAATTGTAGTATTAGCTGAGTTATAAATTCATTTTTTAAAAAACACATTTTCTTTTTGCATCTGGACTAATAATAATATTTAGGATTGTTTTTTTTTAATATTGTCTTACTTCTCTTAACTAATTTTTCAGATGTGAAACCAGATTGGCCTGGAATAGCAGTATTTCTGCAAAATGCACTCATTTTTTTTAGGTAAAACATTAAGAAACATACACAACAAATGACTATTGACCTGTTATTTTGTTAATTATCAAAATGAACAATACAAACAAATTAAGCAGTTTTATTCCTTTTAGAATGCAAAGTATTACTTTAATTAATATCTAAATTTGAGTACTGAAAATAAAAATATATTTCTCCAAAAATTTTTTACAGTGCATTTGTTTTCAAGTTTGGAAGAACTGAAGACTTATGGGGGTAGTGGTCAGGCTTGTGATAATTTTACATCAACTGTAAAATACTTTTTTCAAAGCTTTCTGAACAAACTGGACTTAACTATTTATGAATATCTTTGGTTTAGCTACTAGCATACCTATATTAAAGAAAGCCTTGTATTCAATGACTTGTTGCTAAAATAATAGATTTGAATTACAAAGATTTATTGATGAAAAATGTTTACTGGCATCAGTATACTTCATTTATTATATTTCTGTTTATTTTAAATGTTTTTAACTTATTGTTAAATATCTGTGTATTTACTAAGAAATGTATTGAAAAACTGAGAAAAAGTATGAATGTTAGATAAACACTGAGAAAAGGGTCTGAATGTGAAATAATGGGAAAGAAAAGTTTTGATTATTTCACACGCTTGAACTTGAAAAAAAGATCTGATATTAAATAAAATTAAACTTCTACTTTTTAAGACAATAAATATTGATTTCACCTTTCGAAAGGCTATTATTATATTTTTTTTACTCTTGAAAAATTTGTATTCATATTACTTGGTTCATATTATTTCTTAATCAATTCACCTCACTGTGCTTAGACGGGCTATCAAATCGCGCTCTTACTATTACAATCTAGTTAACAAAGCCTAAAAATCCAATAGAAATAGTGTTCAGATCAAACAAGGTGATTCTGATAAATTTATTAAGTTATTGTTACAAGTATGTGATTCAACCATAAAAATGAAAAAGTCAGCTTAAACTTTATCTTTTTTTCCTGAAAAATGAAAAAAAAAAATTTTTTATTAGAATAAGGGAAAAAATTAATAGGATAAGTATATGTTTTAAATTTAATTAACCTTAACAAAGAATACAATAAATGTACTAACCATGTAAACTTCTTCCTTGCTTTCTCTTGACCTGGCTTCTTTCTCTCTTTCTCTCTAGGATCTCTGGTCAACATACCAGCTGATGATAGACATTACTTTATGTTTGCAAGTCACATAGCACACAAGACAATACATGAGCTTATAGTTGGCCAACACAAATAGAGTAAATAAACTATGCTGCAATACTCACAAAGCCGTAACTTCTCAATCTCCTCTGCATTAATAAACGCACATAAAGCTTTTGCAATACCATATCTGATAGCCCCAGCTTGGCCTGCCGGACCACCATACTTTGTCTCTGCTACAATGTCTACTTGGCCAATCAGGTCGAGTGCAGTTAATGGGTTAAGTATGCTTTCTCTGGGGACAAACAAGAAAATGATACCCTTATGATTTCTTAAAAAATCTCAAGATTAATTCAGCAGGGTTAAAATGATTAAACCCACTACCTTTTTACCGAACATCTTAAAATAAAAAGACATTAACTAAAAATTAAACCAACAGCTGATTACCTGTATAAGAAATTTTCAAAGTATGCCAAATCTTTGTCGTTTATGATTACTTTCCCAGTTCCAGGTTTATAAAGCTTCACGTGAGCCCAAGCATCTTTTCTTGTACCTACAAAATTTGTTTTTTTTTTTGGGGGGGGGGGGGGGGGGGGGGGGAGGAAAAGTCAAAAGAATTACACCCACAATTTAGAAATGAATAGTGTTGAATTGAAATGCGTATCAAGTAAAGATAGCTATTGTTATATTTTGTATGTCCAAGGGGCTGTCACCCAGTAACATACCTTCAGCACAAGCAAAATATCTTCCATCTTCATCTTGCTCAATCTGAATAATGAAATGATAACTTGAGTTAGAGATTTGAAAATCTCAACTGAGACTGACAAGCTACTAATAGAAAAACATGGTTAACAACTAGAGGGACATAGTAAACATTGATGAACATGTCCAACAAGAGGAGGTGATATAACTTTATACTTGATTCGGTGCTGGGATGGGTAAGCACAGAAACAAGTAAACCATTATACCACCTCCCACCAGTATACCATTTTGACAATACTAAAGATTACCTGAGGTTTCTGAATGACAGATGACTCTGACTTGTGCATTACTCTGTATTGCATAATATATGCTTCTTCTTTGTAAGATAAAGGATGAGAGATGAGCCTTTCCATCACTTTGATGAAGTGCTGATACTGTAAATGAATGATTTATTTTAATTTCCAACTGTTTTATCATCAAGATTCTGGTAAATAAGTAGAAAGGTTTATATAATGAATTTTTTGTAACTGTGACAATAGTGTTTAGTAGAAACTGAAGCCATGTTACACACTGGCTGTCACAGTAAGTAACATTTTTAAAATGCCTTTTTTTAAAAATATAAATAAATCTATGTCTTTGGTGAAAAAAAAAAGCTGTTATTGTGTTGAAAAAGTCAGTTAAGAAAAAGGGCTGATTAATGAAATACTGAGTACAGAAAAGCAAAAGAAGATATTTTATGTATAAAGGTTACAGGACTAAGGAGATGGAATGTAGGGATATCTTGATTTGAAAAGCATTAAAGAAGAGAGAGAAATTGTTAAAAGATAGCATGTCAGACTGACAGAACCCTCTGCTTAAATTGGAAAAATAATTACATCTGTTTCTCGTATATTTTCTACAAGTTTGTCTTTGAGCTGTTGGAAAGTTATCCAGTCACTTCCTGCTAAATTCCTGTAATAAATTTGTTATAAATAAAAAATTTAAGTTAGAAACAAGTTCACTGAAACTAGTTTTAGCTCTAATAATATTAGAGCTATTAGTAATATGTACGATATCCACACTAATAAAGGGATGTGTTTGTCTCCCTTTATCACTGTGCTGTTTTATAAAATAGTAGCACTTGCAGTAAGAAATCAATAAAGGTAAAGAATTACCTGTACACAGTTAAATATTTCTACTCTCCTTCAGTTTGAGTTAAATTTTGAAGGAAAATATATTATAATTAAGCTAGTGCTCCTCGTAGATAAATTTATTAAGATATTTTTATTATTTCTATCAACACATTTTATATTATCAATTAAAACACAATAACACACATTTCACTACTGAATAGATATTAAAACAATTTATAATTACTTGCTTATGCCTTGGTGTATCTGAATTAATTGAAGGGAGAGGGGAGTGATAAAAAATACTTCATTTTGTGGATGTTATCATTATCACCTATTAGATTCGCTAACCACTACAAGTAATACATAGTGTGGTAGAGCATTTGTTTACTAACCCAAAAGTCAAGATAGGATCCCAGGACATCCAGAGTCCTCCAAGCTCTGGTGGATAGCTAACTCTAGGCAGGAAAAGTAAAGGCAACTAGGCCATTGCTGACTAAACTATTCTTTCGCATGCAGAGGACAGAGTAACAGATGAACTCAACTTCATGTGCCAGTTTGGACTTAACCTTTTTTCCACACTAATATAACTTACATTCAATATACAATAATACTTTTAACAAGCTGGTTAAATTCTACAAGCAGAAATGAATGCTAGCAATCATACACACTATACTTTATACCCGTTAATTAAAAGCCCTCAACATCTAAAAAATATGCCTATTTTACCAACATTTAACTCATACCTCATCCAATAAATAAATAAGCCCATTAATTCCTTACTTACAATGTGTTAGATATTGTTTCCTTCTTTCTATAAAGTTCATCCTCCTCAAGTTTCAGATTTTCTATTTTCCATGCAATATCCTTTAAAAAAGAAACAGTTTTAATCTTATTCAGAATTAATTTAGACAGCAGCTTTGACTTGGCTGCTATCTACCATTCTTGCTCAACAATAAATGTCAATTTGCTGTGTCACATTTTGATGACAATGAACTCAAAATAAAATAGACAAGGTATTTAAACAAAATTAATATTCAAAAACATGAACAAATAAACACTATGGGGATTGGAACTCGGGATATAGACTTGATTTTTACGCAGTTTTTACATATTTAAACTTTTTAAAAATAGAATAGTATCTCGTAGAAAAAAGAATAGCACACCAAGTGAATAGCAAACAAAATGTGTATAATAGTGCATAATACTAGTACTTTAAAAATTCATATGCGTTTTTTGAGAAATTAGAAATAGCGTTAAGTACTACTTCCGGTCAACAGAAATTATTCAAAATTGGAAAGAAGGCAGAGAATTTGATCTTTTACGTATATGTGAAATTTCGTTTATCTATGTGAAACAGTACTCAAGTTATAGGCTTTTGAAAAACCAAAAGTAGAATAAGTTCCATTTTCGGTTTCTGGAAATGGCTGAAAAGTTTAAACAGAACTACAAATTTGATATAATACTAATATATGAAATTTCATCAGCCTAGCAGTAATGGTAATCAAGTTATCGTGTTCACATACACGCATACACACACACAGACATACGGACAAAATTGCACAACTAAGTTTTTTCGACTCGAGATTTGTGAAAGTATCAATTTTGATTTTTTTGCACGATTACAATACTACTTCTATACTTCGTATAGAGAAAGTAAAAATGACTGTAACATCACATCTATAAAACAAATATGACTGATTCGTAAATAAAATAATAAAAAACATTTCTTAAAAATACTTGTTACTTACATATAAAATGTTGTAATAGTTGGGTAATGTTGTGAAATACAACCAGTGGTATGGTCTGCCATCCAAACTAAACTGTGCAACTAAAGTTGATATAAAAACAAATAATAATTTAATTATCTTTTTTTGCTAATGAATAGCTTTTAAATTATGCATTTAAATTTATGAAAACAGAAGGTGATTATGATAATACATATAAAAAGTAAGGTTACCTTTCTTTTTTGGGAAAATTTCATATGGATCCTGCAAATGTATTAATAGCAATTGCAAATAAAATCATGGAGTTAACAAATATCACCTAAACTAAAACTATTTGCAATACTTGAAGATAGTTACTTTTTACAAAAACTCAAGTGATCACCTTAGCTTTGAATTCTATTTTTGGAATTCAGAAACATCAATATTTTAAAAACTTGACTGATCATCTGAGTTTAAAAATGTATTTTACCTTTAATAAAGGCCTTGCTTTCTTATCAAAAATTCCTGAAGGAAGAAGATACTCTATGGCCCTCTGTATAAAAATAAAAGTTACAACACAATTTAAGAAATATATGAAATCTAAAAAAAAAAAAATGTTTTGTGGAAAAAAGATGGCTACTTTAGTTAAAAAAACTAGAAACATAATAACTATGGTATAAAAAATAAACTTACTTCAACATCTTGTTTATTTGTTATGTAAAACTGTCAGGTTCTTAACCCATTATATTATATATCTCACTTTAGTGAGAAACTAGAAACATAGTAACTATGGTATAAATAAAATAAACTTACTTCAACATCTGTTTGTGTAAAATTGTCAGGATCTTTACCCATTATATTTGCAAGGTGTCGCTTGCCCAGTTCATAATCAGAAACTTGAGCTTTCATCATTTGATCTAATTATAGAGTGCCAGAATTGAAATGAATATAGCCTCTTAATACTATTTTGGTCATAGAATAAGCCAGAGAGTGTGTGAATATATAAATATAGTGCTGATTAAAAAGAAAATTAGATGTCTAGATGGCATTCTGGTTTATTAAATTATTCTGATGATAAAAATGACAACAAATTCCCAACCAGAAATTTCGAAACAAGAGACCTAGTTTTACTGGAAATTACCATGTGCCTTTGTTTGTTCCATGTAAGCTTTCATCGCACGACTGATAGTAATTGCCTTAGAAGTAGGCTTGTCCTCAACTTTGATTGGAGGAACATTTGTGGGAGCTGTGCTAAGTTCACAATGATTCCCTGAATCTGATTGTGGATGTTTGACCTGTAGATTGTAATTGTAAAAAATGATTATTTTTAAAAATAAATAACAAGCTATAGGGCAAGTAATAAGTATACTAATAATTCTTTCTATTTTCTCTTTTTCTCATTGAGGATGATATTTTGAGTCCGACCCATTGTATTCCTATCAGGACCCCCCCCCCCCCCTTCCGGTCCGAAAATATTTGTTCCTTAACTTTCTTAAGTCTCTGTCTACAGTAGTCTACACTATTCAACACTTATTTTACTTTTAGATTACTACTAAGTCTACTACTCTACACTACTACATCAATCAATTTCTAATTAATATATTAATATAGTATATGGGCCTACTAATAAATTAAAATCACTAATACTCGTATACTATAGTAGTAATACACCTACGACCTACACCCGCTCTGTCCTACAGTACAGTGCTACTCCTGCACTAAAAACAGTGTGAGTGTACTCAGCAGGCACTGTTAGTGCAGGGAGTGGTGTGACTGTGTATTAGTAGTAGTACTGGTAGTTGTTAGAAGTGTAGAGTAACAACACTCATGACACTGTACTGCTGTTACAAGTTCAAGTTGTTAGTCAACTTCAGTCAAGTCAAAGTGTTTAGTGACTATAATAGTAATAGTGTAGTGAGTATTACTCAGGGTAAAACCTTAGTTCAGCGTCAAAAATTATCCGGTAATGTTCGTGTTGAGTTACGGTAAACCATGGTTTATTTGACCATTGAAATATAAATAAAGTTGATTGTAGTAAATTAATGTTTTAATTTTTAAGTTTAATTGACAAAAGGAAACAGGGATAAATATAATAGTAGATTTAAATTAGTATATCTAAAAGTAAAAAAAATATATATAAATAATAAAGTCAAATGTAGTAATTTGTGTATTTGTTTTTGGCTTGCATCGGACTTGCGACAATCAGTCAATTAATTTAATTAGATCTAGATACTGTTATGGTTAAGTAAAAATAATTACAAAAATAGTAAAAATGATCACAAAAATAGTAAAAATGACTAGAACCAGGGTTTGTACACTATTTTGAAAATGAAACCAGACAATTGTAACCACAATATTTGTGCTTACAGCTGAGAAACTTTTGTCAGCTATTAAAAATTATCAGTACCCCCCCCCCCCCCCCCGTCCCACACACAAGACAGGGTGGATGGGTCACTGTGAGGTCACAGTAGTCCAGTCTTATGCATCATAGCATGAACTGTATAGTAACTTTTATCTCTTCCCCCCCCCCCCAACAAACAGCACCAATTACATACTTGGGGTCATTGTGAGTTCACACAAGTTTAGATTTCAGTGACCGTAGTTACAAGGAGGGGCGGGTTAGTCTAGCCCTAATGGTCAGCTTTTACAAAGATTTCAAAAACAGTTTAACCGAAACTGAATTGAAAGTACAGGTACATCAGTTATAAGTAGACTACCACTTACAGCTTCCCTCAAACAAACTAAGGAGCAAAAGCGGGTAGGTCAAGATTTGTAAGGCCGATCATTCTTTAATTAAATAACAATTTTGAATACTTGTAACACTTTTATATGGTCAGTCACATAACAACAACAAAAAGAAAAAGACAGGACTACGCTCTTATTCCCACCCTCCCCAAATGACGTAGTAACTTTCTCCAGACTGCGTACAAACTCTGTTGAACAATGTTTAGTAGCAAAAATATTTAGCAGAAACACTTAAAAATATCAACTAGCAATTCAAAATAATTGGTAATCTACCGTTTTAGGTAAGTAAAATTGGCTGAGACTAGTAATGTGAAAAAAAGGTGGTTCATTAAATTATTAGAGCAATTTTTTCATTTTTTAGGAGGATTTATGAATGTTTTGAAAGTTACAAACAATTTTCAAAGTTTTATTCATGTACCTGTTTTTAAACAATTGTTTTAAAACTTTTCAGTAATAAATAAAGACTGGACATTTTGGTTTATTGTTCAGTTTTCTATAATATTTTACTCAAATATATCACAATATATTATATAGTATTATAGTATATACTTCAATTAAAGCCTCTGCCGATTTTACGCACCAGTAACGATAGATTACCAAATGATTAGTAAAGCAGTATTTAACACGCAATTAAATTCAATCTATCCAGATTTTAAACGTTTGGTATTAAAAATTAAAAGATGATGCCAAATATAAAATACAGGGCTGCCTACCCCAAAAATTTTTTCCCCGTAACAAGAGCATAGGTTTTCCGTAAGTTTCCGTAACTTTCAGTATTTTTACACATTTTTTAAATACAATGTAAATAAGACCCATATTATATGATCGTTAAGCTCATCAGCGTAATGATGACAGTCGGCGACTCGTGCTACTTTTTATTTTATGGACTAATAATTAGTTTTAAAAAAAAACGCCGTTAAATTCAGAATATAAGGCGACAATGGAAAATTTCAAATAGGAATTGTTCTTGCAATGAGTAGTATGACGTATGATATAGGCCTACACTACCGATATCTAAACCAATGTGAACTCAGTGACCCCTCGACTGTGTGTGTTAGGATTTTTTCTCCCGCGAACAAGAAAACGTAAGCGGCCGACGGGTGACGATGTTTAGAATTAGCATATTTCTTCAATATTTTTTTTTAAATCTACATTTTATCAATGTAATATCTAGAAGAAAAGAACAATTTTAAAAATATGATCCGCAATTGATCTAGGTTAGCCTAGATCTCGTTGTTTAGTAAAATCTTGTCTTCTCGCACAGCTCAAACAAAATTTACTCGATATCTCGCTATTTAGGCATTTAGGTGTAATACCGCCTCAGCAAATGTCTCGCCAGACTGCGCGACCAGACTTTCAATGATTTAGGCCACACCCTTTTTTTTTCTCTACGGACAACACCGTAACACAGACCACTCGCGGGGTCAATAGTTCACAATATAAACACGACTGCCGCCAGCCATGACCGGGAAGGGAAGGGGGATTGTTACGGAAGAGGCTGAGAACCTTAGAACCGGATAACACACTGAAATACTGATATATAACTAGCTAAATTAAAATATAAAACTCAGACAGGGAACATAAAGTTAATGATACCACCAGAAATTTTTTTTTTAACACTAAAGTCGATTTTTATCTCTACTGAAATCAAAACCGTAATTTTGCAGCATAATCGTAATTCCGTAACCTGGGTGTCAAAATCGTAAAGTTACGGGCAAAACCGTACAAGTAGGCAGCCCTGAAAATAGTAAGTACTTAAGTAGGGCCTATGGTTTGTTTACAGTTTACAGTACTTCCTGTGGATTCTGGAACTGTGTGACAGACTTTGCAATAATTGTTTTACTGCTATACCATTCCAGAATAATAACCAACGCTCAGTAGTCTGTACTGTACACTGTCTATAGTCAAAACTGTGTTACAGTACAGTTGAGTACACTGTTACTGTTACTGTTGTACACTTCAGTCAGTGGTAGTGGTCGTGGTCTGGTAAAGTGATGCGATTACATTTTAAATTGGAAAAAAACTTTGAATATCTGTAGATTGCTAGATCTAAATGATGGAAATAAATATTAGTCTATATGTTATTATATATGTATGCTTACATATTGCAAACATGGAGTCAAATGCTTAATTCTGAACTGAGATTTCCTCAGCAGAATTCTTGATGTCAAACAGGGCGAGATCGACGCCATTTTGTTTTGATATGAGGGATGATTGAGTATGAAGGCTAAACATAAATATATATTTTTAAATTATTGTTGAAATTAAATCAATAATAATGATTTTTTTTTCAATTATTTAGTAATAAAAATAATCGGTCTTTAAGTTTTCAATAACTAACAAATAATTTGTTTTAATTTCAAGTATTCTAAAAGTATGAGATTTGTGAAAAAAATGTAGGCCCCTATTACTCTCGATTTTTACTGCTAGAAACTGCTTCAAAACCTCACAGAGTTAGTAATAATGGCGACCTTGAGAAAGTGTCTCAGTCTGTTAACAAGACAGACAAGACTACAGATTTCTCAACAAAAAGCAGACTTAACTACAACACCAGTACTTGCTGCAGCATGTAATTTTCCTTTTTATCTTATTGTAATTAATTATTAGATCTTGTTAGATTTCTAGATCTCTTTTTCAGGCAGGGTGTTAAAAAAATAATAAGCCCAGAATAGACTTTTATTTTGGTAATCTATCGTTTTGGGTACGTAAAATCGCCCGCGGCTATTTATGTACGAAAACATTACCTCATTGTCAAGGCTTAAATAGAAGTATATTGTCATACTTTTGTGTCAAATATTATAGATAAATGAATAATAAACCTAAATCAATGGCTAAATATATCGATATAGGCCAGAAATTAACTTTAAACAGCAGTGTCTGAGAGCAAGATTTGCTATATAAACAGCAGCCATTTGTAAAATAGAGTGGCTTCCCCCTGAATCTGGCGCTAAAAGCTTATAAAAATAAAACTTAGACAAGATGGCTGCCATAGTAAATGAGCATGATTGCATCTGTTGGAAACATCGCTAGTCTTCATTTATTACGGAAAAGTTTTAATTCAATTGTTTAAAAACAGGTACATAAATGAATCAAGGAAACATTTTTGAATTTTTTAATACATAAATCCTCCTCAAAATGTGAAATAATTATTAAAATTTAAGGAGTCACCTGTTTTTCACATTACAAATCGCGGGCGATTTTACGTACCCAAAACGATAGATTACCTTTATTTTTTTAGACTCAACTGTTGTAAAAAAAAAAAAAAAAAAAAAACAAGGATGATCTTTTTTTTAGATACCGATGTCGGATAATAGACTCTTCCATAACATAGGTGTGTTAGGTTGATAGTAGCATTATAATCTAGACAAATTTTATGGTTTGAAATTAGGGTTAGGCATATGGTAGGGTTAAGGAGAGGGTTAGCATTGTGACTTTAGCCAGCATTGTTTGTATTTTGTTAACTACCAGTATCCTAACACCCCTTTTTAAAAGAAGATTCTATTTATGGACACTGGTATAAAAATTCCCCCAAAAACACTAATCATGACTAATCAAATCAGTGTAAATAAAAAACAAACAAGATCTAGAATTCTAGATCTAGCTAGATCCTTACATACAAAAAATCATTTTTAATTTAATACGAGCTGGCATAGTATACGCCGCCATCTAGTTGTTTTATTTTCTGCTTATCAGCAATTCATAATTTGTGAATTCAATACTATCCCCTACAGCCTCCCCCCCCCCCCTCCCGCTCATTGAAAGCAGCCGTTTACAGACAAAGAAAAGATCAATCAGAAATTGTTACCTCCCCTTCGTTTCAAATAGTTTAATACTAAATTATCTGCCCATAATATTAAATTATCTGCCCATAATATTAAATTATCTGCCCATAATAGCCGTCACTAACCCGGCTCTACGATTGTAAACAGCTCACCTGACAAGTGGGGATGAGGGTGGTGGCTAAGCTGTGAGGTGTTTTCTATGGTCTCCATGAAGAGAATTATATATATAGATTGAGTGTTTAGACTTTAGTTAGAGGCCTAGTTATTTAGTTTAGACAAAATGATGGATGGTTGTTATACCACTGTCTGGCAATAATATAGATGCGTCCAGCCAATGGTCGGGGCTGAACAGTCAAAGTCTAAAAATAAAACGCCAACAAACACGAACTCATTTAGGCCTATATAGGTTGCTCTAGGCAGCGAGACAACTGAGATCTGTAGTTTTTTTAAGATGGAATAATTTTTGCACAATGATTGTGAATATATAAGGATTTTGAGGGGTGCCATAAAAAAAAAACTGTTCTTCCTTTATTATCTTACTGCTAGTTATGGGTTCGTTTATAAGATGGGGTATTTTTTTGGAAATAGATTTTTTTTCTTGAAAAGACTTAAAATATTATCATGAACTAATTAATTACTTATGTTAATCCAATAATATAACATAATTAATTTGATTGTTTTTTAGTGGAGATGGTTTGTTCAATTTTTAAATTCTAAAAGTACCCTAAAATATTATTAACAAACATTAAAATACCCAATTGTGTTATGGCTGGGGTTAGTGGAGTGGGTAGGTCACCTATTAGGTGTATTCTGGTAAAAATACAAATGCATTAGGGTTTCTTTCAGGCATTTATCTCTAAGGAAAGCAAAGAATTTTTAAATATATTTTTCTACATAGGTCTACATTTAATTTTTTTTTTTGTCTGTTGGGGGGCGGGGGGAATGGATTAATGATCTCTGGCAAAATATTGCATGACAAAATATTTATAGTATTTAGGATGATTTTAGTTGATTTGAACATTTTAAAATTGTCCTAAGATCTATATTTAAAAGGTTTGTCGCAGTGGGCTGTCACATTAAACATTTTAAAATTGCAAGTATTGATATTATATTCAAGGATTAAAACTAGTTTTCAATAGACATAAACAAGGCAGGCTTGCTGAGTAGATACAATCTTGCAGCATGAGGTGGATGAAACTAGATCAAAGGGGATATCAAGGTGGTAAAATAGTTTGTTGGGGAAGACATTTACACTATAGTTATATTTCAGTCACAAGAGCCGCTATTGCAAGTGTTTCTTATGTTCTTACTTACTTACTTAATCCTCATCACTCCCTGTGGAGTATAGGGCAGCAACAAATCTCCGCCATTCCACCCTGTCCTGGGCGAGCCACTTTAGTTCATGCCAGGTCTTGCCAGTAGCCTGTACTTCTTCTTCCATCTCCCTCCTCCATGTTCCCAGTGGTCTTCCTCTATTTCTCTTTCCGGGTGGGTTCCACTTCAGCGCCATGTTGGGGAGTCTTTTTTTGCTCATGCGTAGGACATGGCCCAGCCATCTCCATCTCCTCGTTCGAACTTCTGAGACAATGTCGTTTAAGCCTGTCCTTCGCCATATTTCCTTGTTCGGGACTTTGTCGTTCCACTTTATCCTGAGGATGCGTTGGAGGGATCTTCTTTCAAAGCCTCTAAGTCGGCTCTCTCCTTTCTTGTTTAGTTTCCATGACTCTGCAGCATAGAGGAGTACAGAATGTACATTTGACTTATAGATCCTTATTTTAGTTCTCTGCTGCAGTGAGGATGATTTCCAGATCTTAGCGAGTCTGTTGAAAGCTTGTGCTGCCATTGCTATTCTGGTGGCAATTTCTTTCTCCATGCTGCCATTTGCTGATATATAGCTGCCGAGGTACTTAAAGTCTTCGACCTCTTCTAGCTCTACTCCATTCGCAAAGGTCTTGGTTTCTTATGTTCTAGGAGCATATTAAAAGTTAATGACATCATAGACAATCTAAATCTACAAACATAAATTTTATTTGATGCAAATATTTGATCCCAAAATTGTAACTATTTTTGTTTTATGTAGAATCCCCTAAATATTAATTATTTTAAAAGATTTTTGCAAACATTATGACTCCACCAAAGGACTGCATATTAAAAAAAGAATATAAATAAATAAAACATTTTAAGTGAGCAAATATTTGTCTATTTAATTTTTAAAATTTTGAGCGACATCAAGTTTCTGAGTTTTTTTTAATTTTAAATTCTGGTTTCAGGATTGTCAAACTTTAGGAATTGATTTCAGGATTTGTTTAACAAATTAGTGCCAGCTCTGCATATTTCTTCTTGTATTACAATTAAGAACAAAGAGGAATAAAGGTTGAAGTTAGAATGTGAGGCCTGAAGAAAATACTGGCGATTAAATATTTTAAAATATATCTAAAAATGAATTATAAATTTTAAGTTAATGAGTTTCAAATTCTTGTTTTTGCTGAAAATTACCATTGTGCAATGTTCATTTTACAACCATTAAAATCAAATTAATTCAATTGTATTTTAATTTCTAAAACAACAATCACCTACATGAATCCCATTTTTGTGTTTTACACTAAATGACTAAATGTTTAATGTCCCGTTTAGACTGGAACAAAGACTGGAAACCTGGACCTCTCCCACGCACGCCAGAGGAAAGAGCAGCTGCTGCTAAAAAGTTTGGCCTACGACCAGAAGACTACAATGTTTTAGCTGATGGTGATTTAGAAGAATATCCGCATCTTCCAGCTGTTTCAAGCCAGTGGAGAGATCCTTTTGAAGATTATGAGTTTGCTGCAGACAGGAGAAATTATGGAGAACCGGTTAGTGATTGATTAGAGTTTAAAATACTTTAAGTAGGCCTACTCTCTTAAATCCAGAGCTTTTTAAAAATAGAGAAAAAAAAAATTATATTTCTGTACTATTTATTAAAATTCCCCTTTCAAACCTAAAAATCCATGGGGCAAATTCACCTGTTTCTGTGACCTTCGCATTTGAAGGCATATTGTGCTCAGCACTAAGCCCCCGCTGCCTTTACTTTCCCTAATGTGAGTTAGGTACCTATCAGAGCTGGGTGGACTCAGGGATGTTGTACTGACTTGAACCCAGATTTGAATTCAAGACTTTAAGATTAGAAGTCTATTGCTCTACAACTATGCCACAACGTCCCATCTATGTATCAATATATTAGTGATAATAAAATAAATTTTCTCAATGTTTATAAACAGTTATACATAGATGCTGTGAAAGTTTTAAGATAGGTTTTTTTTTAAACATCTAAATTTTTAAACTATAATTAAAATTACAGTTTCAATTTCACTATATCAATATCAACAACTTAACCTGCAGAAAAAAGTAAAAAAAGACTATTGATTAAACAATATATTAAAATAGTAATCAAAACCTTTTTGCTTATCATGTTTATTATTATTTTTTGCAGGTTCATGCTGACCGTGATATTGTAGGATTGGACCAGTTGGATCGCAATGACCATGGTAGATATAGCTAGTAAGTAGGGTTTTAAAATGGATCCAATAAAGATATACTATGTATGCACATTAATTAATTTATTTTTTAAAATCAGTAATGCCGGACAAATACAATTTTTTATATTAGTGAGACATTACTGTAAATTAAGTACATCATAAATTTGATTAGGCACACTCTACTACCTATACTGTAAGAAAAAGATTTTTAACTTTAGAAATATTTGCTATAGAAATAGCTAGGCCAATGCCGCTGCCGAGAAAATCGGACAAATCGGCTTTTCCCTACCCCCTGCATGTTTAACTCTGTTTTTTGCATGCTTTTATTGTGTTTATGTTAACATGTTATACATCATTCTGTTCGTAATTGAACAACCTTTTTAACTGTATAAGTTTGATTTCTTTATTATTTCAGACGTTGAAGAAATCGCCGATTTAATCGCATTTTGTACCCCCCGCGGCGACGTGCCGATTAGGGGGGAGGCTTTTTCACCTTTTTAAAAGAGGGGTGTTACTTAGAGTCTATAGACTCTTTGAGTTTTCGTACTACAACAGTGAAACTTGGTAGAAGAATAGATTAAATGTTCACGTATAACGCTCAAGGTTCTTGGAGAAAATATGTTAAATACTTTTGGAGATATCGAACGGCAAAGTTGAACTAAGTTATTTGGGCTATTAATGAACCGATTTTTTATTTGAACCTTGAGCTGTATTCCTGAAATCTCGACGTTTATTAATATGTATGATATGTCATATTAGGCCCTATAATAAGGACGTCTATAGACTTTGAAGTGGACCGAAAATCAAAACATGACGCGCCGACCGCTGTCCGACTGAACCGCTCGGCTGTGCTTCGAATCGCTGAGTTTTAAATATGACGCGCTACAATTTTTTTATAGACGTATCGAGTTTACGTACTACAACAATCAAATTTGGCAGACGAACAGATTAAATGTAGACGTACAACGCTCAAGGTTCGTGGTCAAAATAAGTTAAATACTTCGGGAGATATCGGACCGCAAAGTTGAACTAAGTTTCCCGGTCTATTATTTGACCTATTTTACATTTGAACCTTGAGCTGTATTCCTGAAATCCCGCCGATTATTTTAATGTATAACATGTATTATAACACCTCATAATAAAGCCGTCCATACATTTTAAGACGGAACGAAAATAAAAATTAACGCGTCGGCCGCCGTCCGACTGAATCGTGATCTACACATCGTGTAGCACAGCCGAGTGTGTGGTCACGTGACGCTAGGCGGTTGATCCGATTGGATGAGACTATAAACAATTTCTAAAGATAGATACGTGTGTTCCCGTATTTGACTCGTCGGGTATTGCTATTTTATATTTAAGTAGACAGGCATGTTTCATAACTTTGTTTTAAACCATTGAAACGGCAAAAAAAAAGTCGTATTTACTAATCGTCAAAATTAATCTTCTTTAGAAATTAATCCGGATAGCCTCGACCCGACCAAACAATGCTGACGTGATTCGCGTGCCGTAACGTTTCATTATTGTGTACATTACTTTTTCGTAAAAATGGCTTTAAAAAATAAATTAAATTTTACCCGGGGCTCTTTTTTTTCGGTTGACTAAAAAATTTTAAAACCCTTAACAACGTGGAGGTTACTAGCTTGCCAAATCGACCAAAATGGGATGGGGTGGGTATGGGGAGTCACTGACCATCCTACACGGTATGTAACACCGTATGTAACATCCATAGCCTCACCCCGCCCCCACTACTCCGTGACGCGACAAGCCGAGGGTCGGCGCCTTTGATGTTGTATAACACCCGTACGGTACCCGAGCGGCTCGCGGTGGTTTCATACCCCACCTCCCTCCCCCTTCACTTTGTGGAGTTGATGTTACTAACCCTCGGGCATAGATCAGGAAATCTTCCCAGACTTTTGTCTCTAAAATTACATAATATTCGTCTGACACGTTCATCGGGTTGGCCGACTAGCCTATCTAGCCTCGTGTTTACGTAATACGGCAATAAAATTCGGTAAACGGAAAAAAAGTCACAGGAAAAAAAACACAGAAAAAAAGTCACAGTTTTTGCTAGGAAACAAAGTCACAGAAAAAAAGTCACAGAAAAAAGTCACAAAAATCTTTTTAGAAATATTTTGATTTTTTTGTTAGGAATTGTAAAATTGTGTATGTTTATTGTTGTGGGTTGTATTTTTGATAGCATAAATTATTTATAGACGTTAAAAGCATTATGGTTTATAACAATTGTAAGTAAAAAATACTCTAAGATAATTTACACAACAATCTCAACTTTTGCTACGTATTTAGTTAAATACGCGGTAGAAAAGTTAACTATAAAAGAAATTTAGGCACATTTTGCCGTAGGCTATTCTCTGGTCGGCCTCTCCTCAGTAGGCTTTGTCCGAACATATTTTGTGTTGTTGACGTTATGCGTCAATGACAGCCTTTGAACCTGGTCGGCTTTCTGTTTGATCGTAAGTTTTGTTATGTAATGAGCGTGATAAATGTGGGCAGTAAAGGTGGTTGAACTGAGCGTAACTATTGTTGCCATGAGTTGAGTACAGCAAGTCAGATGAACTTACCATTTCACGGTAATTTAATGTTGGTATTTAAAAAAACACGATGAAAACCGTGGACATTGGAGCATTCTATTAAATGCTACTAATCTTAAGTTTAAAATAATTACAATCTACATACTTCTTACTAAATATTTTTAGATGAATTATAAAAATTACTATGCGTATACAGCCTACACACATTAAATTAAATTTAATTAATCCCAGGTTAATTTGCACTCTCTAAATATTTAATTCATAAAAGTATTACCAAATATCAAGTAAATATATATTTGTGACTTTTTTTCCTGTGACTTTTTTTCCTGTGACTTTTTTTCTGTTTTTTTTTCCTGTGTTTTTTTTTCCTGTGACTTTTTTTCCTACAATCATAAAATTCGTTGGTCAGAAAACCTGGTTAACCACGTCTGATTTCACTAAATCTAGGCAAATGCTGATGGTGATAAACGCAGGAAACTTAAAAAATGCCTAGCATCTACTACACACAGTCAAGCACTCAAACACATGCTTTTTTCCAATGTAATAGGCCTATGGTAGGCCTACAAAATACACAAGCTTACAACTAGCATAAACATTGAGCATATATAAATCTATGTTATAGACCTATAACTTACACTACCTTGTACAAGCTAAAAAAAACAATTTTCCTCCAATGTTTATGTTATTAAAATTGTAAAAATGAGCAATTTTTTTTGTGTTTAAAAATATTACAAAATTGTCATAAAGCACACTGATTCTGATAAGACACATTTGTAACTAGGCTAATTCTATAGAAGAAAGTTGTATCAATGGTATGACATTTAAAGTAACAAGAAATATAAATATAATAAGATATGCCTATATTTTTGGAATAGAGCAGGCCTGTACGATTGCACATAGATTACATAACATATTTTAAGAAGTTACATCATCACAAATATACTATTGTTATAGCATCCTTCTCTTTGTATTAAAACTGTATTAGTTATCTTTTCTTTAAGTAGGCTATTCACTTAAGTTAACTGACAATGAGCAAAAGAGATTTTAAAATAAATACATGGTAAATTATGAGCAAAAGGTGCGAATTACATAACCTGACCTTTATAGTTTTGTAATAATGTTCGACCATTTTAAATATCACCATTAGCTTCAGCATATACAAATGTCATATTATGGTTTAAAACAGTGTTTAATTTAAAGAATGACTTCTTATCACACGGATTATCAGATGTTGTAAAAAAAATTGAAGGGGGGTATTACATAATCCATGAAATAAGTCTATTATGTAATCAAAAGACACTTTTAAAAATAGCATCATTGGATTCGGCATACAAAAATCTACAAAATATCATAAAATGACATCAATTGGTGAAGTCTGCTTGCTTTTATACCACTTTTAGCGAAAAACTCTTTAAAATTTGGTCCATACCCTCCCAGTATTTTTCCTCTTTCAGGGTCTACCCCGGTTGTCTGAAAAAAACTGCTGTTTTTTAATGACAAAAAAATTCGTAACTTTTTTGTTTATGGTCAGATTTTGAAAATTCAAACTGATCTGTAATCAGATTGACAGCCCCTATCCAAATATGTAACTATTATATTGTTTTACTGAAATTAAATTTTTGCATTGGCCTAGCTAATAGAAAACATTACTGCTTTTTGGGATTAATTTTAAATAAATACTAAGCCTCTCTATCCTTAATTCCTTTTACAAAACTTTGGTATAATTTAAATAATTTTGAAAAATTAACAGGACAATATTAGATTTTAGTTATTATAAGTCATTTAATTTCTTGATATGTCACATTGTATCATTTGAGTGTTACTTACCTTTCATCAAAAACAATTGTTAGTGTTTATAGATCTTAATATACCAAATTTGACTTATTTAAAATTTTGTTAAATAATTTTATTGAGGCAAATTAATTTAAACTTTTTTAGTGGAGAGGTTTTTGTCAGGTTTCTGGCGATTTTTGCTGGCTTTGTGGCTGCACATACCTTATTAGAACCATACCCTTATTTTCTGCCACAGGTAAGTTTGTTTTATCCTAATTATGTCTTAAAAAGGTGGGTTGGTTTCCTAAACCCATGTCTAGAAAAAACCTTTTATATTAAAATTCTTAGAACAGCATATTGCTTCATAAGCTTTGAATCTGAGATTTTAGATAGACTTATGTCTGTACAAGTTATTTTAAGTTCAAGTATTTTATGACCAGAATTACTATTAAGAAAAGCTTTACTTTAGGTGATTGATTGTAGGATCTCAATCTCAAAGTTTGTAACAGGATAGGTTTTAATAAAACAATTTGTTTTAGATTGTTCATTATATTTTCAGATGCCTAAACAATATCCATTTAATAATTTGTACTTGGAACGAGGAGGAGACCCATCTTTGGAGCCTGAAGTCAAACACTACTCATTTGAGCCAGCTGATTAAGGCATATGTATCAGTGAAATGTATTGATGAAAAGGATTTCCAGATGAAGTATATGTATATATATATTTACTATAGAATACAGGCTTACAAATTATGGCTCATGAGGTTCAGTGTGTTAGTTGTCTGATAAGCTGGTTATAAAAAAAAATAGTTAATTCTTTATTATTTGGACAGTAACTATTTGAGCATTAAACTAGATGTAATGAATTAAACCAATCAATTTTGTGGCTTCTGTTTGTTTTATATGCATGTTTTTGAATCAGATTTTGTGAAATAACTGTGAATGCTGTAATAGTCAAAATTAAATGTAGATCTTAAGCACATTCTGGAACTTGAAGGATTGTTATTTGACAAGATAAGACCTGATGAAGTTAGCATTTCAATTAGCAGAAGCTAATCAATTGCCACATAATTTTAATAAGGCTAAACTGTCTGGCAAGGAATGGCTACATCTCTTTTATGAAAGGGCATCCTGAATTGAGTTTGTGGCATCAATCGCCAGGGAAACAATAGTAGGCAAGCTACAATACACATTCACTTCGGACAAAAGATATCTGTTATATGGATGAAACTAATTTATCAACAGTTCCTAAACCTGAGACTTCACAGACAGTGTTTCTTCCGGAATTCTTTCTCTCTGGGGACACTGTTAACAATATATATTTTCTATATAAATTCCATTTTGTTCGTGTGTTGTCGTTTCCCCCACCCCTTCCCCCCCCCCCCCCCCATCCCTGAATAGATGCCTGCAAGAGACACTGTTTGCAGACCATTGGACCTGAGACTTTGCAACTGGAATCACTGTAGAGCTTTCTTCTGGAGACATCACCCATCTTAAATCTTAGTCAACCTCCGACATCTGCCACTATACATTACACAACAGTTTCAAATCAAGCAATTTCACTTGTTCCAATGCATGTCAAGACTCAAGGGAGGAGAAGAAGAAAAAAAAAGCTCTATCAACTTACAGCCCATACAAATGTCAGTATTTACTTGACGATACCCTTAGAAAAGAAATGTACATTTAGCTCTAGCATTGAGGAAAAGCAAAACACACAATCAACATATCCAGTTTATAAATAGAGCAAACAACAACATTGGTACTGCTTCATGTGCTACAAGGACCTTGCAGAACTGTTTTTAAAAAAAGTGGTCATTGATTGCGTAGGGCGTAGGCTTATTTAGTACAAAGAGAATTCTCATACCCTTTAGTACCTAGTATCTACTGGACGCAGTAGTGATGCTAATGCTATTAGGACGCATGTGAGGGTATTTAGTACCATTAATTTTTTTATCTTATCTAGTGTGTATTTTGTTTTAATAAGTACACATTAAATCATGATATATTTATATATATATACAAGAGTTTGATTTTAAAAAAAACTGCTTCGGACTTGTCTAAAAAAACATTCTTAGAGGGCACGAATAACCCACTCCATGTATATATATATATTATATATGTATATATTATATATAATATGTAAATATATGTGTACATATATAAGTATATATTATATATGTAAATATATATGTATATATATATATATATACTTATGTATGTATTGTATGTGGTGGATAGTGGAATGCCTACCATTTGTGGTAGGTACCGGGGAAATCCATTACCCGGGGTGCACCAAAATTGGCAGCTGTCCTGAGAAATAAAGGGGATTCCCCAAAGGTTGGGCTCGGGGCTAACATCACGGACCTGTTAAACAAAGCTGGTTACAGAAATGCCAAACAGAGAGAAAAAAAAATTAATTATGTCCTTGAAGTCGAAGGATCTTCATTACGAATAGGAGGAAACAACAAAAATGGATTACACCTAAAGTCAGTTTGAGAAAATGACAGAGAACCCTGGAGATCTTTGGTTGGCGACCATACCCGGGGGGGGGGGAGGCTGTAACTTCAAAAAAAAAAAATAGGCCTATATATACACATTTTTAGATGTGCGTAAAAAGGTAATTTCGTCTTATATGTCCATAACTGACCAAAAAATCTAAGTTCTGCCCCCATCCCCCTCTCCATAAAATAGTGCAACGGCATTTATTAACGACACGATAAGTGCACGATACTTTTACTTACTTAGAATATCCTATTCTAATTTAAAGAATAAAAAACGTGCAAATAACTCTTTTTATAGCGACAGTTTAATAATAATTACTAGCGTCTCCGTCTCCGCGCGTTGCTTCAGACTTATGCAACATTTAAAAGGATTTCATCAGTGCTCGACTTTGTTTTCAACAACTGAGTTATTTAATAGTAAACATTTTCGGCGCTATGTTTCTTTGATCTTAGTTGCTATGGCTCGGGTTTGTCCTCGCTACCACCAGTCGTCCCTGAGTGAGCTGTATGAAAGCATTGAATGTGCGTTAATCACGCTCCGTAATAGTGAGTTACAACACACTTAGGCGGAAGTTCAGGTTTGTCGTGCAACCCTACCCAGAGGCGTAGCGAGGGGGGGGGGGGGGGCGGGGGGGCGCACCGCACCGGGTGACACCATTTAGGGGGTGACACCAAGGCAAAAAATAGCAAAATATATATAGAAAAACTTGAGGGGGGGGGGGTGCAAATCGAAAGTGAGGGGGTGCAAATCGAAAGTTTGAGGGGGGGGGGGTGCAAATCGAAAGTTTTGGGGGGGGGGGGGGTGCATATAGAAAATATGACAGTTTGTCCCCGGGAAGGGTCGCTACGCCTCTGGGGGGTGACTACTGCACCGGGTGACACCCGACCTCGCTACGCCACTGACCCTACCGCATGGGTGGTACCGTGTCCCTTATTCGATATAGTCAACGATTATAGTAGCGTATATAGTATCCATAGTGTATTGCACTCTTTGAAACGAACGTAAGCGCCACGTTGCTCAAGGGGAAGCCCGGGCAAAAAGTAGTACACTGTCAGAGACGCCGGATGACAAGCCAGATTCGATTTTACAAAACGTTATAGTAGCCCATCGTATCCATAGTGTAACATACTTTTTAAAATCGAACTTAGGGGCTATAGTGCTCACGGTGAAAGCCCAGGGCGCCAAATCCCATCTGCTGGGGAGACGCCCCTTCGAAAAACAATATTCCGCAGAAACCTCTCAATGAGTAATTTTAACAACTTCCCAAAGGCTGAGTAATGCATACATGACAAACACACAGACGAACAGATACACTTTCATTTATATTTATAGATAGATTACCCATCGCCAATTTTAGAAGTGTTACTTTTCTTACGAAACTCAACATTAATTACTTAACGTATTAGTAGTAAATAATTATTTATAATTAATATATTCTAGAACGGTAGACCTATCCCAGTTTTTGTGATAGAATTAATTATAGACAATGGGAAACAACCAAGTTAATATTTTTTCAAAGTAATCTAAACATGCTTAATTCCTCTGAATCTCAACATTCATTAAAATTCCTTACTATTAATATGGGGCCCTTCATTGTGAGCAGTTTCTTCCAGGCATCTCTACCGCCCCCCCCCCCCCGAACGAATTTATGGAATTTATATAGAAAACATATACTTTTACCAGTGTCCCCCCCTCCCCGGAGAAAAAAGTCTTGAAGAAACACTGCTTGTGAGTTGTGAGCGCTTAATGAAATTGATATTTTTTTTCGCATGTACCTTCCCGGGAGTATTCTAGTCAACACTCCAAAGTTTTATGTTAATAGGGTAAAAGGCGTAATAAAGACAGACAACCCACATACTTGCACTTTTTATATAGATCTAGCCCGATATAGATTACTCCTACAATCTACATTTACGAAGCAGTCCTAGATCTAGATCTACCTCTTGTTTATGAATTAAAATATTTTCATCTTAATTTAAATTTAAGCATTGATTAGCTTAATAAAATCGTTCATGGTAATATCGATACGGATAATCTAAATCTGGTCCAAAATCTAGATAGTAGATAGACTAGACCTAGAGATCCAGTATTGTTTTTTTTTCGTTGGTTGATGTTCTGCATTTAGTGCGACCCATCATGTGTTAGACTACCTTATGGCTTATTGATAGTATCGTCTACGTAGGTCCTGAACTGTAATAGTAACTTAGGCAAAAAACGTATGTCAAAAGCGTATGATGAGGATATGCATTTGTTTGTTTTAAAGTAGCGTATTAGATCTAATTCTAGATTAATATTTTTTTGTCGCTTTTAATTTTAATGCAAAGCAAAAAATTATTTAAAATGAAACTCTGAAATTGAAAATAAAATTAAAATAACGAGCAGCAGCCTGCAGCTGTTTGACTTTGTGATCATGATCATTGATCAATCAATGATCATGAACTTAGTTTGAAAGAATGAAAGAGTAACTCTCATAAACTCATAAACTCTCTTACTAATTTTTTCAGTACGAGTACACACCTAAAAACAATTATCTTATATGTGTAAGCAAGGGCTACCTCCAACAGTGAACTTTTAAGTTTTAAGTCTTACTTAGGCCTAATACTAATATTGTAATAACTTTAATAAGTTAATAGTAAAAATACTTAAGGCCTGATATATAATATATATGCTAAAAATGATAGCAGGCTAAATTTAAAAAATGATGAAATATGCGGAAACTAGATAAATTAGTATATTAGATCTAGATCTAGCAGAATTATATTCTCAATTCTGTTATATTCTTGATTGATATCAGTCAGATGGTGAGATATAAGAGATAGGCCTATAACTTATAACTATAGGGTAAAACTACATTTTAGCATATATTTTATTTGCCGCTTCACGTTCACCTCTGGTTGAGCATATTTTATTATAAACACAACCAAAACTAGTAAAAACTATTGTAAATAATTGTAATTATTAGTAATTAACACTACAGTTCACTATAGTGCTCTTCAGTAGTCTACTGAGCTACTCATTGACTACTCACTCAAGTCTACTCTTATAGTCTTATGGTCTAGTGACTTGTGTAGATTTTAAAATAAATTTAAATTTAAGACTAATTTAAGATCTAGAAAGAGACATTGTTGTGTACTGTTTAGGTGTGTTTAAGTTTAATAATTAATTGCAGATGGTAAGTCAGTCTTACTAAACTAAGTTGTGAAGAGTGTGTGTAGTGTACTCAGTGGTAGTGTATGAAAATCTGGTATTCTATAGAATATCTAGGCAATGTATACAATCCCTGTCATTTGCAGGTGCAGTATGAACTATCGGCATTGTTATAAAATGCAAGATGCAAAATGGTTTATAAATTTTCTTCTCAGACATCTTGAAAAAAAAAAACCAAATGCATGAATCAAAAATAAAGTTTACACTTTTCTTAGGCATTACATAAAATAACACATAAATTTATCCATTGTATAGAATGCTGGTTTTACACATTGTCAGTAACAAATATGTTTTATTTATAGTAATTAAAGTGTAGTACTATAGATTTTGTCAGTAACAAATATGTTTTATTTATAGTAAATAAAGTGTAGTACTATAGAATCTATAGTCTCTATGCCAACTAACTTAATCTATACTTTATACTAACTTTATAGCCTACATGCGTAGATATAAATAACACAAGTATTATAATTATTTGATTAATAAAGGACTAAATATTTATAATTTTTTGCTGGGTAATATTGAACAAATTACACAGTGTGTGAGTCTATGTCATTGTTCATGTAACTTCACAGCATACTCAATGCTAGGTTGCTAGTAAAATCAAATTTTAAATTGACTTCACAATTTAATATTTCCTATATTTCTATACCATAATTTACTCTACAGACAAAATGGAGAAACCAGATAGAGTTGATGTCACAGCCGAAAGAAAGAGTACCGTAAAACTTGACACCCTCCTTGAAATAGAAAAAAATGTACAACAACGTTGGGAACGGGAAAAAATCTTTGAAGTTGATGCTGCTCAGTTGAAAAATGCTAAGTAAGTTTGCAAATTATTTTTATTTTGGCCGTAGCAAAATCTATATGTCAAATATCCAGGTAAAAATTACATTAAAGTTTTCCTCTGACTATTTTACATTTAACTGAGCCTAGTCATTTCTCTTTAAATAAAAAAGATTAAGTAGATCTAGTCTGCAACTTTAATAATATGAAATAAGTGGCTCAAAATGTTTTGGAAATCACAAAATGTATTAACTGTCCTTTTGTAATAATTCTCTGTTAATATTTGGGAATATTTTACACATTTTTCTTAATGAATGTTTATTAATTATTGTTCTAGTGATTTAAAAAAAGTTCTTAACTTTGATTCTAAATTGACATGAAGCATAAAATCTATCTTTATTGACCTGAATGTACTAACAAGAGAAACAATTATTAAAGATGTTTTGTGCAAGGGTTTACATGGAATTTCTCATTATGTGTAAAATAATGTTTTCATTTCTTTTTCAAGCCAAGAGAAGTACATGGTCACATTTCCATTTCCTTACATGAATGGAAGAATGCATTTAGGACACACATTTAGTTTGTCCAAATGTGAGGTAAGTCGATGATTTATGTGGAATTAATTTCAAAATTCTATTAATTGCTCAAAATTTTATTTCTAGATATTATCAATGCAGGTATTCCTAAAAATTTTCAGAATTGTTGAACTCATTAACTACATTACATCTTCTCTTACATGATGTAAGGCAGGCTTTATAAATCATCTGCATTTTTGTTTGAGTAATTGTAAATGAAAAAAATTGATAATTTATTTGTTTCTCTTGTTGATTATTTGATATGTTTATATTATTTGTTAAAGAAATTTGCTTTCTACAAAACATAAACTAATTGTTGAAAGATGTGTTTTTTATTAAAACATTATTTTTACACTAGTTTGCTGTTGGATATCAGCGCATGCTTGGGAAAAAATGTCTGTTTCCTTTTGGTATGCACTGTACTGGGATGCCAATAAAGGTAAATCTTTTGTGATTACAAATTTATCTACCACTTAGTCTGATATGGAGTTTTAAAAATTGACAACAGGATGTTAAATTCTATATTTGATTAAAACTAATCTACATAAACAGCAGTTTGTAAAAAATTTTTAAATATAAGGTTGATACATTTTAATCTACCTCTTAACTAATTTTTTTCTATTTAACAAATACAAATGTGATGAACACTTCTTTAACATACTTGAACTTCACTGATGTTTGCAGTTAATGTTTTTATTTTAAATAAATTCTACTTTTCAAGGCTTGTGCAGATAAACTTCAGAGAGAGATGGAGGATTATGGATATCCTCCACAATTTCCAGCTGAGCAAGATATTCCTAAGCAAGAAGTCAAGGAAAGTGAGATAGGAAAAGACAAATCCAAGTCCAAAAAGGTCATTATAAAAAAGTGTGCTTTGTATAAGAGAATTCTTTCCTTTACTTTCTGCTCACTAACATCATCACTCTTTCTGATAAATGGGCTGCAAACAGCTCTCCAAAGAGATGTTCTCTAAAATCTCTATCTAAATATTCTACTTAATTACCAGTAAACTTATATCACTTATTGTGTTTTTTTTGTGTGCTCAGAGTAAAGTTGCAGCAAAGACTGGGGGTCTCAAATACCAGTGGCAGATAATGAGTGCTATGGGAATGACAGATGATGAAATAAAAAACTTTGCTGACCCAATGTACTGGCTCAAATATTTTCCACCAAGATGGATTACAGATCTTAAGCGCATGGGGGTTAAGGTATTTAAGAAATATTTTTGAACTGTGTAGCAAAATGACAGAGAAATAATTGTTGGGCTCCTTAAGTAATAAGATAGATCAGATTGCTAATTAAATTTCTTTTAATAGGTTGATTGGCGCAGAAGTTTCATCACTACTGATGCCAACCCATACTTTGATTCCTTTGTAAGATGGAATTTTTTGAGGTTAAGAGACAACAACAAAGTCAAGTTTGGCAAGAGGTGAGAGCATTTCTTGTTTATGCGCAGCTCACAACTTAAGAATACTTACAGCACTCTGATTGTTGTTATTTTTAAAATAATTCATGCTGATATTTTGTCCCTATTGACATTTGGCTTCAAAGGTTAACCATTTTTCTTTTGTAACAGATTATTAATTTCCCTTGTTAACAATTTGAATAATGCTGATAACTCATGTAGAAAAACAACCCGTATTCTGAATATATTACTATAAAAAAATTATTTTGATTGTCACAACAGGTACACCATATTCTCTCCAAAAGACAATCAGCCTTGTATGGATCATGACAGGAGCTCAGGGGAGGTAAGCTGTAGTTTGGGTTTTTCCTGGATTTAAAATGTGTGCAGATTATATTTTTTAGACAAGGTCAACTTTGCTGTTTAATGTTAAGGAACACCACAATTGAAAGAAAACTTTAAAAAAAAATTCAGTGAATCATTTACAAGAAAGAATAGAAATATTGTTTAACGCTAGATTATACAGAGACCATTGGCCTAACTTTGTAATTTTATTTTTCAGGGCGTTGGTCCTCAAGAATACACATTAATCAAAATTAAGGTCAAGCAGCCATATCCCCCCAAACTGCAGTAAGAATATTGATCAGTTTTTGTAGAATTGCATGTATATAAGTGTGTTGTGCTTTAGCACCAAGGGTGCATGTATCTCTATAATGTTATAATTTATCTTTGCAGATGTGTCAAGGACAAGAGTGTGTATCTGGTTGCTGCCACTTTGAGACCAGAGACCATGTTTGGCCAGACAAACTGCTGGATCAGGCCAGACATGAAATACATTGCCATGGTAACCAAATCTGGGGAGATCTTCGTCACCACTCGAAGAGCTGCCAGGAACATGAGTTACCAGGATATGACACCAGAGAATGGGAAGGTGGAGGTGGTAGCTGAATTCATTGGGCAGGTAGGTTGTTTCAACTGATGAATCATCAAATTGATTTGTTGGTTTAGAGCATTATTGCAGTAGGTGTTTGTGATAAATTTCTTCTGGTGTGTGCTACACTTCTTATGTTGTTCTGTGTTTTAACACATTCCTAGGATATTTTGGGTATCCCACTTGAAGCACCACTGACTTGTTACAAGACAATCTACTCACTTCCGATGCTGACCATCAAGGAGGACAAAGGTATTTGTTACTTTTAGGCATGTTTATTATTAGTCATAAGTAATTTGTAACTTAATTAAAAAAAAAATAACTTTAATCTCTGCCGTATTGTCAATCATTAGCTTGGAGTTGAGATATTAGAGCTTTAACATATCTCGTTAAAAAAATATAGTAATTAAACCTTTTCAAAAATATTTTAAGCGTTTTTCTTAATTTATGAATGTAATGTCATGCCTGTTGAGCTGTGGTTTTTGGTATTGCCACTAATATTTAAACATTTTTTTACTTAACTGTTGCAGGTACAGGTGTAGTGACCAGTGTTCCTTCAGATGCTCCAGATGACTTTGCTGCATTAAGGGACCTCAAGAATAAAGCAGTGAGTGACCGTATTGATGAATTAAGTATTGATGTAGCTGATCTGTTGTATGGGGACAGAGGGTAGAATAGTAATCTGCAGTGATTCTCAAAATATAGGATAGATAGAGACATTAGTTAAATATTGTAGAAGTAAAATTGTGCGATTATTACATTATTGAGAGCCATTTTGTAATAGCAGTTAACTGATACATGAGTGATGGTTTTCCAAGAGAGAGAAAAGTTTCTTTTTATTTTACTTTTTTTTTTTAAAAGTTAGATTTTCCATTTTCTTAAAGTTGTTGTTTATTTTCTCTGAAAAACTATTTAGAAAAAGTATATATCTGTTTAAAATTTCAGCCACTAAGGGAAAAATATGGTATAAAAGATGAGATGGTCATACCATTTGAACCAGTAAGTATTTGGTTTCTTACCTTTGTTTTTAACATGGATACCTAACAACAGTTATCTTTTTTATGTACAAGCAAGGGCTACCTCCAACAGTGAACATAAATGTGGAATGTTTTTCAGTCCCAATCACAAATTAAAACAAAGTTTAAATTTTTAACTTCCTATCTTTGACTATTTAAAAACAATTTACATTTTTTAAGAATTATAATCATTGACAAGTTGTGTTGTCTAAGTTCTAATAACTGAGAAATTAACATTAATGATTTTTTCTAGGTTCCAATCATTGATGTGCCTGGGTACGGCAACTTGTGTGCTGTCACAGCATGTGATGTATTTAAAGTTAGCAGTCAGAACGACAGAGACAAGTTGACTGAAGCTAAAGAAGACACCTACAAGAAAGGATTCTATGAAGGGGTTAGTTAATTGCTTTTACACAACTGGATGCAGTCCCAGTAGAATAATTGAGTCTTGGTAAAACAAATGTCATAGCTTAGTAACACTTTTTCAGGTTATGTTGGTGGAAGGTTTCACTGGACAAAAAGTTCAAGATGTGAAAAAGATTATCCAAGCACAACTAATAGAAAAGGTTAGTGTTGTGTAGCGTGTTTAAAATTGATTTGCTCCTAAAGCTACAAGTTACTTGCATTGTCAAGGAAAACTCTGGTGTTTTCTGAATAGAAGTATAAAGTTGCAGTTTAAAATTTCTTACAATGATACAATAGTTTGTTTTTATTATTAACTTCAAGCATAAGCTGATCTGATATTTAAATGTTGATAGAATGATGCTTTGCTGTACAAAGAACCAGAGAAGCTGGTAATGTCAAGGTCTGGAGATGAATGTGTTGTTGCCTTGTGTGACCAATGGTAAGTTGCTGTTGTTGCTAGTAGGCTAGTTCACTTCATTCCGCCTAATTTTTTCGACCGGTATAGTATGTCAATATCATGCTATGCTGGTCTAATTTCTTTTCTCAATTGATGTTAGCTACCATAATTTCTTTGGCTGTTCATTATAATTAGTATATTTAATATGTCACGCATGAGGTCATTAAAAATATAAATATTTATTTATAAAAGTCTTTTCTGTTGTTGCCAGGTTTCTTGACTATGGTGAGCCAACCTGGCGTGCACAAGCAGAGGAAGCTCTTTCATCCATGAACACTTATTCAGATGAAGTGCGCCACAATTTCCTCTCCACTCTGGATTGGTTACATGAGCATGCTTGCTCCCGCACATATGGGTTAGGCACCAAAATGCCATGGGATCCCCAGTACCTGATAGAAAGCTTGTCTGACTCAACTATTTACATGGCTTACTACACCGTCAACCATTTACTACAAGGTGGAGTGTGGGATGGTTCCAAGCCAGGCCCAGCCAATATCAAGTGGGTTCTCTATTTAATACTTCACTTTTTATTAGCAGTTAACTTGTCACCCCACTAGAAGATAGTCAGTTGGAAATATCCTATTGGCTATTCTGTCTTGGGCTAGTTTCTCCAATCTTCCCTAGTTATAAACCCATTTTTTGTGTTTTGATTCTCAAGGATTTTCTAACATTTTTAACTCATCTTTAAATACTACACTCATTTAAGTGTTTTCTTCTGTTATTTTTCAAGCATTAAGTAAATCACAAAAAAATATTGGTGTGGGTTACAATTACAATTCAAAAGTCATATGTACATGTTATCCTTATAAAAATTACTACTATAAAGAATTATTCCAACACACATAGTTATTATTTTTCAGACCAGAAGAACTGACACCAGAGGTCTGGGATTACATATTCTACAAGACATCTCCTTATCCTGCCTCCTGCACCATACCTAAACAAACTCTGGACAAACTGAGAACAGAATTTGAATACTGGTACCCTGTTGATGTCCGCATGTCTGGCAAGGACCTAGTACCTAATCACTTGACCTACTTCATTTATTGCCACTGTGCAATGTGGCCAAATGACAAGTAATTTTTTTTTTTAATTAAACCATCTGCCCCCCTTCCAGTAAACTGCAGAATTTAATCATAACAAAACATACTAATGTTTGTCATTTGTGCTTGTTCTATTCTTAGTTTTTATTAGTTGATGGTTATAAGAAAATTTACTTTTTTATTTAATGTTTTGTGTAATTTTTGCCTTTATGTATTGTATTTTTTAAAGAACCAAGTGGCCTCGCGCAGTAAGAGCAAATGGACATTTGTTGATCAACTCAGAGAAGGTAACTATAAATGCTGAATTAAAAAATAAAATCATGTGACATTTTTTTGTTCTAATTAAGAAATATTCTGTTCTAAATGCATTTTAAAAAATATTTTTTAGATGTCCAAGTCAACTGGAAACTTTTGTACACTAGAAGAGGCTATTGATAAATTTTCATCTGATGGTATGTTTTTTTTTTATATAAAGATGATTTTTGTGTCTTTAAATGTCTAATTAGATGCTTTTAAAATGTGACTTATGATGTTTTATGTCCGATAAAATGGAAGATGACTTCAGTTATATTCAGGTATGAGGCTCTCTCTAGATAAAATATCAGTCAGATGATTTCAATCTTGTTTAGGTATGAGGCTCTCTAGATAAAATATCAGTCAGATGATTCCAATCTTGTTTAGGTATGAGGCTCTCTCTAGATAAAATGTCAGTCAGATGATTCCAATCTTGTTTAGGTATGAGGCTCTCTCTAGATAAAATGTCAGATGATTCCAATCTTGTTTAGGTATGAGGCTCTCTCTAGATAAAATGCCAGTCAGATGATTCCAATCTTGTTTAGGTATGAGGCTCTCTCTAGATAAAATGTCAGATGATTCCAATCTTGTTTAGGTATGAGGCTCTCTCTAGATAAAATGTTAGTCAGATGATTCCAATCTTATTTAGGTATGAGGCTCTCTCTAGATAAAATGTCAAATGATTACAATCTTGTTTAGGTATGAGGCTCTCTCTAGATAAAATGTCAGTCAATCTTGTTTAGGTATGAGGCTCTCTCTAGATAAAATGTCAGTCAGATGATTCCAATCTTATTTAGGTATGAGGCTCTCTCTAGATAAAATGTCAGATGATTCCAATCTTGTTTAGGTATGAGGCTCTCTCTAGATAAAATGTCAGTCAATCTTGTTTAGGTATGAGGCTCTCTCTAGATAAAATGTCAGTCAGATGATTCCAATCTTATTTAGGTATGAGGCTCTCTCTAGATAAAATGTCAGATGATTCCAATCTTGTTTAGGTATGAGGCTCTCTCTAGATAAAATATCAGTCAGATGATTCCAATCTTGTTTAGGTATGAGGCTCTCTCTAGATAAAATGTCAGTCAGATGATTCCAATCTTGTTTAGGTATGAGGCTCTCTCTAGATAAAATGTCAGTCAGATGATTCCAATCTTGTTTAGGTATGAGGCTCTCTCTAGATATAATGTCAGTCAGATGATTCCAATCTTGTTTAGGTATGAGGCTCTCTCTAGATATAATGTCAGTCAGATGATTCCAATCTTGTTTAGGTATGAGGCTTTCTAGATAAAATGTCATTCCAATCTTGTTTAGGTATGAGGTTCTCTAGATAAAATGTTAGTCAGATGATTCCAATCTTGTTTAGGTATGAGGCTCTCTCTAGATAAAATATCAGTCAGATGATTTCAATCTTATTTAGGTATGAGGCTCTCCCTTGCTGATGCCGGAGATCAGATTGAGGATGCCAACTTTGAGGAGAAAATGGCAGAAGCAGGTCTTCTACGTCTGTATGCCTTCCAGGAGTGGGTGAAAGAAATGATATCGGAAAAGGAGCAGCTGCGCTCCAGTGCTGAGTGGTCTTTCAATGACAAGGTTTTTGATAGGTAATTTCTTTCTAGTTTTGTCGGTTAACATTTGGGGATAATTTTTTTTTCTTTATTGTTACACTGCAGGGATTTCCTCCAACAAGTTAAGTATTACATGCCAACAAGGTAAAGCCAGTTGACTCTGGCTTTAGCCTTCTTTTCTTTCTGGATATACTTCTAAAATTCTATGTACAGCCATGAATATCATCAGGGCAGCAAATATTTGATTTCACAGCTTTATTTGGGTTGCTGTCCTCAGCTAACAAGCGTCATCTGCCTAAGGTCTCCAGCCATCCGCTCTCCCAACCACCACACCATCCCCTCCTAGCTATTATAATTTATCTGTTTATATGTAGTGGCTGTCCTCATGGCTGGCTTGAGTTCCTATTAGGTGGTGAAATCTACAATAGGGTGCACATATAAAATCAGATGAACCCCATACAGAAATAAGCTATTTAAACCTGCTTTATTATAACAATCAAAATTTAATTTAATGCATGTAAGCTTAATTTATTTTACTATATAATAACTAATGTAATTGTTTTTGCTGATTCAGTGAAATAAACAAATCTATAATGGAGACAAAAGCTAACTATGATAGTTATTTGTTTAAAGCTGCCCTGCGGACAGGATTCTTTGAATTTCAGGTAAGTAAAAATTGTTTGTACCTACACAAACACTCACTGTCAAGTCTTTGAAGTAGACATAGCAACAATGACCCACTTATCAACAACATGCATCCATTTCTTGGCTTTTTATGACACTCTGAGAGACAGACCCATTTTATTTTAACTGATAATTGTTGTCCAATTAGTTTTTAAAATTTGTACTTCCATTCTAACTTTAACACCTCAATTTCTAGCTAATGGTAGACATTAATGGCTTTTAATTGGTTTGCATGGAGCTAATCCACTTTTGTGTAAATTATAAAAACATAGTTTTGCATATAATTAATTCTATGGCTTACCTATTGTGTTGGTGTGTCTTTGTTTCAGGCAAAAAGAGACAAATACCGTGAGGTGGAGACCCAGGGTATGCACAGAGACCTGGTGTTTAGGTTTATTGAGGTTCAGGCTCTGCTCATGGCTCCTATATGCCCTCACATAGCTGAGCACATCTGGGGGCTTCTTGGAAAGGTTAATCATTTATTTGATTTATGGTCACTTTATTTTTTCATCAAGTCTTTTGTCATGGTAGATTTTTGTGGTTTTTGAAAATTGCTCTAAAAAATTGCTCTAATTACTTTCCTTTTAACTTCATTGACAATTTACTTAAATATTTCATGTTCCAGCCTTGTCTTTATTATTTAAAACCAAATGTAATTTAAAACTCTCATTATTTCTCTAAAATCACTATTTATTCTCTATTCTACTAGAAAGAAAGTATAATGTGGGCTCTTTGGCCAGAAGCTGGGCCAGTAGATGAGCTTCTGATCCAATCATCTCAGTACTTGTCTGATTGTGCTCATGAATTCAGGTTAAGGAAAAAAGCTTTAATGAACCCAGGAAAAGGAAAGGTAAATTGTTTAATGACATTAAATGTGTGAAATTAAAATTACCCTTTCAAACCTGGCTGTCCATGAGATAGATGAAGTAGAATTCACCTGTATCTGTGACCTCGGCATATGAAGGGATAGTGTGGTCAGCATTATGCCCAGGAGATTTACTAGCCCTAACATGAGTCAGGTACCCATCAGAGCTGGGTGGACTCAGGGGCATCCTACAAACTTGAGCCCAAGATTCAAACTCAATAGTTTTGGGATAGTAATTGTATACTCTACCCCAAACTATGCTGTTCCATGTTTTGAAAACATTTTAACCTATTCAACCTCCATTTGTGCTAACATTTTAAAGCTGTTGAATTCCTATTTTGTTTTGAGATGCCATATTATCTCTGCGTGTAAGTCTACCTTCTATAGCTATGATTAATTCTGATATAACATTTACTACTGCATACCTCTGTTTGACAGAAAGCAGTTCAAGTTCCAACTCATGCTATCATTTGGGTAGCCAAGACTTACCCCCCATGGCAAAACTTGGTTTTGACAACCCTTCAACAGTTATACCAGGTGTTGTATTTATTTGGTTTTAATATTGCTATCACTTTTTCCATCACCACCTATCTGCTTAACCTTTTATTGTCCAGGCATAAAAAAAACTTTTTTTTTACCTCCTGTACAACCAAGCAAAAAAAAACATTTTTCAAACATGACACCTAAAATTTTTTTTAAAAATATAAATAAAGGCATACTTGAAAATAGTCTTAGATTATATCAAATCTTCACCTTTACTGCCATTTCGATAAAAAGAGTATTTGAAATGCTAAATTAAAGTCACTGCAACAACATTTTTTTTTCTCTATCACACACTTAAATTTTTATTCAAGCACTATTCATCAGCAGAGGCATTTTAATTATTTACTGCTAGATATAGAACAGTGGAAAAAACATTTGTGGCTATCTAAACAGTACAACATAAGAAATTCTTTGGTACATTAAACAAAAAAGTATGCTTTACAGACATTTTATATAATAATGTAAAGGTACTTTAAAACTTTTCAGAATTAAATTTTTAGATGTTAGATCTCTCAATAAACAATTGTTTTTTAAAAGGTTGCTTTTATATGGGCACATTATATAAGTGTAGTCTCATCTGTTTCTACCAGGCAAACAAAGGATTCCCAGATAATAAGTTAATAGCCCAGGAGTTGAAAGACAAGCCAGAGCTGAAGAAGTACATGAAAAAACTGATGCCTTTTGTACAAGTTGCTAAGGTGACAGTAACTGGCATGTTCTTTGTTACTTACATATAATGAACAATTGTTAAAACAATCTTGGGTTCCTGGTAAATACATTTTTCTTACAGGTAATTAAACTTCAATATTTTTGTTCTCCAGGAAAATGTAGAGAAAAATGGATTGAAAGCTTTGGCCTTGACCTCTGAGGTTAATGAGGCAAATGTTCTTGCATTGAATCAGTTGTATTTAGCAAACACTCTAGAGGTAAGTCAGTTAAAGCTTAATGTGTGCTATATTATAATTTCCTGCTATTTATGTAACATGGTTCATTACAAAATGTCTATCATTATGTTCCTAATTTTAAAAAAAACTAACTTAACAGAGTAAATTAATAAATCTAAGGAATTGAAATACAAATAAAAATAACCAGGATTTTTCCTCATAGATTGAAGGAATTGAGATCTGCAATTCTGTTGATGCTGATGACAAGGTTAAGGAAGAATGTTGCCCAGGGAAACCCTTTATAACATTCATAACAAAGGTTTGCCATCACTGTATTTGTTAATTAAACTAATTACTGTTTTAATAAGTTGTAAAGTTCCCTTTTCAAATCTGAGGGTCCTTGGGGAAAGTAGAGTAGAGTTTACCTGTTTCTGTGACCTCGGCACATGAAAGGATAGTGTGGTCAGCACTATACCCAGCCACCTTTACTTTCCCTAATGTGAGTAATGTAGGCTACCAGAACTGGGTGGACTCAGGGATGTTCTACTGACTTTAACCTGGATTTGAACTTGAGATGTCCAGATTAGATATAACTGTTGATTGCTCCTAATTTCCTGAACAGAATAATTGATTTTTTAAATAAAACTTTTTCTTTCTTCCTTTTGTAGCCATCAGTTAAACTCAGCTTGATGAACCCTCAACCTTTCAGCAGTATGTTTGAGATAACTCTAGATATTTTTGAAGGGGATATTACCACAAAAGTTATCAACAGACTTTGTCTAACTGACAAAGCTAAATTTAAGGGTAAGAGAGTTATTTTAAATTTTTCACTTTTTGTTTGTTTTGTTAAATGTAAAACATTTTCCTTTTATTTTCTAATATTTTTTTAAAAATATTTGTTATCACATCACGTTAATGATATTTTGATTGATCCAACTTGTAAAAGCAATAAAGATTTTCTGTTTTTTTTTTTTTTTTTTACAGATTCCTCCAAATTAAAGCTTTACAGGTTTGATGATGCTGAAGCTGGCTGGAGGAAAATTCCTGACATGACTAAAATTTTGGAGAATAAGACTTTAGTATCAGACAGTGGAGTGTTTCATATAGACCAAGAAACTAACACTGTCATTTTCTCAGACAATGGCTCTAAAGTCCCCATTGGACAAAAGATGCTTTACTTGATCAGCTGAGAGTAGTCCTCCCTGACTATTTAGGCATGGAAAGCCTTTCTAATTAATTAAAAAAAAAAATTCCCTTTTAATTTTAATATTTAAGTGTCTGAAAGTGTTTTTTTTTTGTGAAAATAAAATATAGATTCTAAAAATCTGTTTTGTTTAAATGACTGACTTAAGTTAAATATTAATTTGCTGTATTATATAGCTTTATATTTGTAACTTAGGATAAGTTGTTGGATAGATTAAATTCTCAAAAGTTGTTCTGATTTATCTGGGGTTTAAAAAAAAATCTATTTCAAGAAGTACAGCTGATCTGTGTTGTTTTACCAGCATCTGAAATATAATGTGCTGTGTTTGTTTAGTTAATCAAAAGACAATAACCAATCATTTAGAAATTATTTTTAATAGGAATACATATCCTACACAAAAATGATACCCAGGCACTATTTCTTAGTCCCGTGAATATGGGATTAGGATCCACGACGTCACACTTCATTAGTTTCCCCCCCCAACCGTCACAAATAGCTAGAACCCCCCCCCCCCCCCCAAATGACAACACACCCACCTCCCCATCAACCCCGCAGTTTAATTTTTAAAACATCGATTTCATTCTAATATATGTTTTGAGCTCGGTCAACAATTTTAATTTATCAATTTCTATTACAATTTACAAAAGTTTTCTCACATCGCGAAATAACGTTTAAAATTTAGTTTCTAACACTACTTTTTAAAATGCAAAAAGTGTGAAGTCACACTTTCTGAACCTATCCTCTCCCCTTCGTCACAAGTCCACCCCCCCTATTCACACCTAAGGGTGTGACGTCATTTATGATGGCCGCTTATACGATAAGCTACAGCTAATACAATAGTCTGCTTGTTAACTTAGTTAAGATAACAGCTGCAGTTCGAATTGCCATGATGCAATTTGTAATTCTTAAATCTTAAAAACAAATACCTATGTTATTATTTATAGCGATGTTGAACCAGTTTGGTTGAAAAACAAAACAAGTATCATATTATCTTCTTGGTGACTCAAGGCAGTCTGCTTTCAAATTTCTTTTTTTTTTTTGGAAAGTTGATTTCATTCTATTTTAACGTAATAGTTTATGTTGTAATCCCATTGATTCGTGCAATTATTATAATCTGATATAATCTGGCATATAAATTAGGCTACATTATGAACAATCACGGATGCCGAAAAAGTAGTTTCATTTTTTTAATGGGCTCACTTCACATGTAGGCCTACACTACCGGGAAGGGGTACTGCGGTACTGTTATCTGTTATGAGTTGACTTTACGCGTGGAGCGTGGGACCGGCCTTAAACACGGGGCCTCTTGGCTAGAAGAACCGGATGGCGTATGAATAGTAGCAGACTTTCTTGGTAGGTATAAAATCACGGGATGGTACAGTTGACACTGTGATACAGAGGCATCGCGAGGGGGGGGGGGGGGGTGCGGACAGCACCGGGTGACACCATTTAGGGGGTGACACCAAGGCAAAAAATGGAAAATATATGGAACAATTATGCTTTTTTGCCAGTTCAATGAATGATTAGTTAGAGTTAAAAAAGTATTTCAAGTACAAATTGACGATCCCGGTAGGGGGGTGGGGGTGACACTATGTCATAAACCTACTAACTAAAGAGAAAATACTGCTATATCCAGCAGTAGCGTAGCGAGGGGGGTACATATGTCCCCGGGCGCCGACCTTAGGGGGCGCCAAAATGGGTTGGAAAAATAAATTGAAAGGTTGAGGGGGGTGCAAATTGAAAGTATGAGAGGGGGTGCAAATCGAAATCTTAGGGGGGGGGGGGGGTGCAAATCGAAATCTTGAGGGGGGGTGCAAATCGAAATCTTGAGGGGGGGGGGGGTGCAAATCGAAATCTTTAGGGGGGGGGGGTGCAAATCGTAAAGTTTGTCCCCGGGCGCCGGGAAGGGTCGCTACGCCTCTGAATCCAGCTATATTAATAATCGTCTATGGATAAACATCTTTACTATTAACCGTGAACCTTTTACATATATCATATGCTTTTTTTTTTCTTTGGTGGGGGTTGACACCATAAGTTACCGCACCGCACTGGCTGTAACTAGGTCGGTTGTCACCCCCCCCCCCCACTTCCATTTTTTTTTTTTGCAAACGGTATCCCCGATGTAGACATAAATGATTTTTTTTCAATGCCAAAGGTAAACTCAGGTAGGCTATGTAATATGGTCTTAAGAAAAAAAACATAGTCGCTTTAGCCAGACTGGATCCGAGCCCACCACTCCACACGGCACCGACTCGCCTACCACTTCTTACAACCAGCTAGTTAAAGGAGAGTCCGCCTTCCCCGCATAACTTTAAATTTCAACCCCACAGCATAGAAAACTTTCTGAGGGAAACACTGCTAAAAAATTCAGACAATATAGATCTAGACCTTTTATTGCAAAAAAAAATCTTCAATATGTTACTTGTTAAACACAGATAAATGTACTTCTGTGGAAAGTGTGTGGGTATTGTCGAATATTTCATTAAAAATCCAAATGATCTAGAATCTAGATTTATATTATCAATATGAAGCATACAAAGTGTCATAAAAGTAAAACAGCCGTTACAATTAAATAAAAAATCCTCTTAGGTAGACATTGGCCAAATAAAAATCTAAATCTACACTATGTGGCAAGTTGTAAATAAGTTGTTCTGGCAAAGATAGCGTCAAAACAACAAACTTATATAAAAAGTGCATGGTCACCGTGGGTCACAGTGATTACAATACATTTAGTAAAATTCTGCGTATGTTATTGATGCTGAAGAGTCTTCATTAAATTAAGTCTGAATATGGTTAAAGCAGTTTGTGTGTTGAGTCCTGGCTCTGCACAAGGCATTACAGGCACCATCACATTTACGCAAGAGGTTAATTTTGAGTCTTTCAAATTCTCAAACAAATCAATGAGGAGAATCTTCTAGAAATCTAGATTCTCTAGATCTAGACTTAGAGTAGATTCTGTCATCTAGACTAGAGTCTAGATTATATTTAATATTTATAGATTAGCTTAGCTTAGCTAAGCTAAAATTTAGATCATTACTTATGTCTAAGTATTGTCTACTCTTGTTATAGAATATAGATCTAGATCTAGAATGAATCTAAATTCTAGATCTAAGCTTTTTTTTTATAATCATCATTGATCATCATGTGACATGTAATGTGTACTGTCATCATAATTCATAATGAATACTGAATAGGCCTACGGCCTACAGTATAAAAAAGTGCAATCAATCACCCTATCTTATTACTATCTATCTTTTTAATTAATAATTAGTAGATCTAGATCTACTCACTAGGCCTTACAGATCAAGAGCTCTCAGTTTACTGGTTTAGACTTTAACTAAATCATTAATTTAATTATGAATCAATAATCATCCCACCACATGTGTTAAATGAATTGTTGAGCGTTAATACACCGCTAACCCTAAACAAAACAAATTTTCTTTTGATTTAAAGTAATAGATGTAGGTTCTAGTAATAGCATTTGTCACTTAAGTGTATTAACAATTAACATGATTTTATGATAGGCCTACTTGCTTTTTTTATTATACAGTATAAAACTCCACATGTCAATATAATATATTGTATATTGTTTCTATTGTTTGTAGATCTATAAGAACCTTGATGTTTAATAGTGCCATTAATCATTAAGCCTATGTTTGAAAGATTTTGAATTATCATTGATAAATAAAACTGTTATCCAACTGTAGATAACTTCACTAGTATTGCTAGCTTTTAACCCCTTATGTCTAATAAGCCATTTATTCCTACACAGAAAGCTGGTGCTGCAACTATTGTGAGTGGTCAAGTGAAAGGACTAGCTCCTGGAAATCATGGGTTTCATATTCACCAGTTTGGTGACTATACTAATGGTGTGTTTTGAAATTATTAAAAAAATTTGAGCCAGCAGTCAGACTTATTTTGGTGGATTTCTTAAACAAATGTCTATCAAAAGCATAGATTGTAATAATGAGTTTTTCAAATTTGGGTGTATATTGTAATTAAAATTTAAAAAGACTTAGCATGTAAAATAAAAGTAGTTATAATTCTATCTAGTTACTGTTAATGGCATTATTGAATAAACTTAAAGCAGTTAATTGGGGTGAAGGGTGAGTTGTGACTATTTTATTGGGATACACAAAGACTCTTCAGTCATATTTTATTGCTAGGCTGAATTGTGTACTCAGTACTGATTTAACAGTTATTTTCTACACATCTCAAGTATGATGATTAGAAAAAGTATACAAGCGAGGACAATAAAAACTGACCAATGGTTGATTTCCATCCAAAAATTATTTCCCATTATAATTCTTGTTTTTGAAAAGTTAATAATTCTGTTTTTTATTTTTAGGATGCATAAGTGCTGGAGGCCACTTTAATCCTTGCAATAAAAATCACGGAGGTCCAGCTGATCAAGAGAGGTGAGAAAAATTAAATAAATCCTTAGCAAATATAAGAATGTCTAAGATGGGTGTACTTACATTCAGTACCTTGCCTGCATTGATGCTTATTCTGATTGTTAGTCTTTTCTGTACTTGTTAGAATAATATATTAAGGAAAAATTTATTATTTTTTCCTTGGAAAATACACAATTTTAAAAATTGTATTCCAGGCATGCTGGAGATTTGGGCAACATAGTAGCTGGAGACGATGGCACAGCTACCATTGACATAAAAGACACTCAAATTCCCCTCATTGGAGAACATTCTATTATTGGGAGAAGCTTGGTGGTAAGTTCTATTTGAACAACTATTCTCAAAAAGGAAAAACAGCTTGTATTGATTGGTCTTTTTTAGTGGTTAGTTGATATCACACTCATGGTAGTCTTGACTTAATGATATGGGGGTGGGGGTTTTCATATATTTGGTTAGTTTATTTGATGTTTGTAATCAGTGTTGTTTCTACCTTGAGTGTTGATCTAATGTTCTGTTTCTATATTCAATTTTGATAAGTCTCACAAAATTTATCTTGTCAGGTGCACGAGAAAGAAGATGACTTGGGCAAAGGAGGCAATGAGGAAAGTTTAAAGACAGGAAACGCCGGTCCTCGTCTGGCCTGTGGTGTCATTGGTGTGACAGCGTAAATAGAAATTTTCTATTGGACGATGTGACAAAAGGAGAGGGGTGTTTGTGTAGAGATTGGGCATCTTCTATCTCTGTGTGAACATTCAGTATTGGTTAAGCTCAATGTAAATGTCTAAACCAGCTTCAAACAACCAGTGGCTGACTGGTTCATAATAGTAGATAGATCTAAATTATACCTTAGAGATTTTTTTATTTGACGCCAGGATTTGTTAAATAAATTGATTAACCAGAGAGTTATTTAATAAAATTCCTTTTTTAAAAAAAATGTGTTTGTGAAAGGCAACTCATCTGTTTCAGGGACCTGGTATCATCCAGAATGTAGACGTCTTTTGTGTGTGATATGGTTGTCCTATGATCATTGCTAGGGCTGTGTTAGTTGTTTTCTGATGGTATCACCATTCTGGCCTCGTGCCTAACGATGATACTGGGAGAAATCCTTGATTACAACACTGTACTGCCCAGTCGGTGGCCATAGGACGACTGGTTGAGAGATGTAGTTTAGTGTAAGCAAGAGATGGCATAGCATGTTGTGGCACACTTGGCTACATCTGACATTTGGATGCTACTGGTTTCTGTGTGTGACAAATAAAATTAAAGAAATTATCCCCTAGTTAGCTATACATTTTGTTTGCTGGAATCCCCACAGGCTTTATCTGCTTCCCCCATTACTTGTTTAATGATATCTTTTTGTGTAGCCATTAACAATGGCACATTTGTACTTATTCTGTCCTTTGAACGTCAATACTACCTTCATGCTTTAATGGTATCACATGGCTTGTGAATGAGTATATGTAGCGACAATGCTTTTGTTTATATTACAAAACACATTAGGTTAGTACTGAATGTGTACTGGTTATCAGATGTGAATTCCTACCTTTGAAACAAGTTTTAAGACATAAGGCAAGCATATAGATCTTGCCTTACTGATGAAGGATTGTGATGAATGGTCTCGCTTAATTCTGTCAGTGACAGTAAAAAGCTGTGATCTTTTGGTCAATGTTGAGCATAGCTTTGGAACATTTGTACAATTTCTTCTTCGTCTTAGAAAACAAATAGAAACAAACGAAGGAAGTAGTGGGGTTTTACAACCAACTTTGTTTTATGTTGAGGTATCCAGGGTTGGAGTAAAGGCTGTTATAAAAGCATTTTAATATTACCTGGAAGTAATTAATCCACCTAATCTGACCTATATCTTAAATTTGGACAATATGTAGGCTGATAATTATAATTTACTTGCAAAACATGGCCACAAGGATTATGGATAGGAAAAAAGTATTCAGCTTCTGAGCACCTGACAAAGAATTGAAGATTAGTTCCTTCAAAGTACAACAGAATACATGTTGCGAGATTAATACAGATTAATAATATTAATTTTGTTCAATATTCGCTTGCTAGTACGTTAGGTTAAAAATAGCAAACATATATCTGTGTAAATAATTAATAGGTGTGCTTATCATAGCACTCGAGTCGGTTAAGCTCATGGTTGCTAAACCGAAAAACTCGAGTTCGAACCCTCGGGCAGATGAGGCTCGTTAGCTGGGGACAGCCACTCTTCTAGGAGAGACAACTCCAAAATCAAACAACCTCTGCCTTGTAGTTTGTTGTTGGTTGGACAAAATCGTAGTCAATGGCGCATAACCACTTGAGACTAATAATTGTGTTGGCGGAGGATCCCTTCCAACACTAAAAGAAAAACGAAGAAGAAGAATTACAAAACAAGCCAAACACAAACTTATTGACAATCCGCTTTATCTCGTCAATGCCAGATGCTGGTGCTTGAAATCACCGAAGCATTAGATTGTGACAGCTACTTCGTTAGATGTTAATCAGGCACGATCCCTTTCCAACATACACAGGAGGCAGAGGGATCCAGTAGATATATGATGGGCGAGTATGTGACATGTGGCTCGTAAGTTTTCAGTTCGTCTCCGTTCTTGAGTGTGTTGGGCGTCCATAAGCCTGTATGTGGTTCCTGATGGGTGTTTAGTGTGGGGAGGTGGCAATCGTGGCGGCGGGGGTACGATCCGCTCCGCTGTGTCATTGTGTGGTGGGTTGAGGTAGTGTACGGTGTGTTGTATGTGTGAGTAGATAAATGTGTTAGGTGTTGTATGTGTGAGGTGTTGTATGTGTGAGGTGTTGTATGTGTGAGGTGTTGTATGTGTGAGGTGTTGTATGTGTGAGGTGTTGTATGTGTGAGGTGTTGTATGTGTGAGGTGTTGTATGTGTTAGGTGTTGTATGTGTGAGGTGTTGTATGTGTGAGTAGATAAATGTGTTAGGTGTTGTATGTGTCAGTTGATAAATGTGTGAGTAGATAAATGTGTGAGGTGTTGTATGTGTGAGGTGTTGTATGTATGACGTGTTGTATTTTTGAGGTGTTGTATGTGCGAGTAGATAAATGTGTGAGGTGTTGTATGTATCAGTTGATAAATGTGTGAGGTGTTATATGTGTGAGGTGTTGTATGTATGACGTGTTGTATTTGTGAGGTGTATGTGTGAGTAGATAAATATGTGAGGTGTTATATGTGTGAGGTGTTGTATGTGTGAGGTGTTGTATGTGTGAGTAGATAAATATGTGAGGTGTTATATGTGTGAGGTGTTGTATGTGTGAGGTGTTGTATGTGTGAGTAGATAAATGTGTGAGGTGTTGTATGTGTGAGGTGTTGTATGTGTGAGGTGTTGTATGTGTGAGTAGATAAATGTGTGAGGTGTTGTATGTGTGAGTAGATAAATATGTGAGGTGTTATATGTGTGAGGTGTTGTATGTGTGAGGTGTTGTATGTGTGAGTAGATAAATGTGTGAGGTGTTGTATGTGTGAGTAGATAAATGTGTGAGGTGTTGTATGTGTGAGTAGATAAATGTGTTAGGTGTTGTATGTGTGAGGTGTTGTATGTGTGAGGTGTTGTATGTGTGAGGTGTTGTATGTGTGAGGTGTTGTATGTGTGAGGTGTTGTATGTGTGAGGTGTTGTATGTGTGAGGTGTTGTATGTATGACGTGTTGTATTTTTGAGGTGTTGTATGTGCGAGTAGATAAATGTGTGAGGTGTTGTATGTATCAGTTGATAAATGTGTGAGGTGTTATATGTGTGAGGTGTTGTATGTATGACGTGTTGTATTTTTGAGGTGTTGTATGTGCGAGTAGATAAATGTGTGAGGTGTTGTATGTGTGATGTGTTGTATGTGTGAGGTGTTGTATGTGCGAGTAGATAAATGTGTGAGGTGTTGTATGTGTGATGTGTTGTATGTGTGAGGTGTTGTATGTGTGATGTGTTGTATGTGTGAGTAGATAAATATGTGAGGTGTTGTATGTGTGAGGTGTTATATGTGTGATGTGTTGTATGTGTGAGGTGTTGTATGTGTGATGTGTTGTATGTGTGATGTGTTGTATGTGTGAGGTGTTGTATGTGTGAGGTGTTGTATGTGTGAGTAGATAAATATTTAAGGTGTTGCTGAGGTATGTGTGAATTGTTGTATGGTTTTGTATTAGTTGTATGGATGAGTTGTCGAAGGTATGTGTGTCATATTATTGAGTACCTATATGTGTATGCTATTGTATGTGTGAGTTGTTATAGGTGTGTTTTGTGATATATGTGATTTATTGGGGTTCGTATGAGTTGTTGTATTTGCAAGTTCTTGCTCGTACCCTGAAAATGTTTTGCTCCGACGAAAATTTGTTATCAGAGTTGTTCTTTAAGTCGAGTCCCTGCTACAACTCATATGGTTTGTTTATGTTTAGCTGTCAACAGATGTTGAGTCTAATCTCATCATGTGTTGTGTTTGTGTTATGGGAAATTGTGTTTGGGGACACGTGTGTTGGGAAGCGAACATGGGCGGCACTCTGGATATTGCAGAAGAGGGTTACTTGACTTCACATTGACTGGTTATTAGAGTTTCTTTCAGGCATCTCTTGGCGGGGGAAGGGGGGGGGGTAGCACGTTTACTAGTGTCCGACCCCCCCCCCCTTCCCACCCGACAATTTCAGTCCGCCCCCGCCCCAAAGTTTCAAGTTTATACTGGTAACGACATAGATAATGCATTGTTCCGAAAAGGGTTTAATTATATAATTTATTCTTTACACGCCGATGAAGTCCAATCGGGGGGGGGGGGGGGGGGGCGCGGTAGACTGTCTTCGGGGGGGGGGGGGGTGGGCGGACATCGTTAAAAGTATATATTTTCTATATATAAATAAATTACATAAATTTCATTTCGTTCGGGGGGGGGGGGGGGGGGGGGCTTTGCCCCCTCGAAGAGATGCCTGGAAGAAACTCTGTATTCACATTCACCGAACCCTTCTTAATAATTTTTATCGTACGCGCCAACGAAATCCGATTGCGAAACATAGGAGTCGGGTGCGTGTATTGACCTCTGCGGAAACCCTGAGACTGAATCACTGAACTCCTGGGGTTCGATCGAACCCAGATTAAGAACCACTGGTCTAAACTAATGAGTGAATGGCGGAAGAACTGATAACACACTACCAAGTAAATAATTCTACAACTGACTCAACTTAATTTAGAACCCCACCACTACATCATTTCATACCACGCCCCTAATAAAAGGCCAGTGATTTAAAAAAATAATCGCACTTGTCACTATGGAAATTGCGCTAAAAAAGTTGTTAGAATGTTTTTCTTTGAACTGATCTAGATTTATATGTAAAGGGGGACAACAGTTGATCAACACTTGCACTTGGGCCTGCGACTGTAGAGAGATCGTCTGCTGCTATGTCTTCCTGGGCTGTTATCGTTCTTCTCGGCTTCTGTCTGAGCGCCATCTCCGGTAAGTCTTTGTGTTTGTGTCAGTTGTCATGGCAACTGATTACGTTATTTAAGACATGAAGTCAGTGAAGGGATTGCACAGATAGTATACACATTTGGGCTGAAGTCTGTAGGACGTCTCTGAGTCTACCCAGCTCTAATGGGTACCTGATTCACGTTAGGGAAACGAAGGCGGCTGGGCATATTGCTGACTACACTATCGCCCTGTATACAGAGGTCTTGTGAAGCAGATGAACTCTTATTCATTTAGTTCATGTGACCCATGTGTCTTGGACACAAACGAAATAAGATGATGACAATATTCATTATAGGGGTGATGTATCATCTAAGTGTATTATGTATGCTATTGAGTAATACACCACTGCCTAAGTGTATTACTTTACGTGGGATAATGGATGCTATTGAGTAATATACCACTGCCTTTGTTTATTTTTATTCCTTTTTTTGGGGCAAAGGTTCTGCTGCTATAATGGGTTGATAAGTAAGTTGAAAACTTCCAACTTAAAACATTGTTTTCTTGTAAACAAAATAAATTGTTTTGTTTTTGTTTCACCATGGAGAATTTTTTAAAGATGGTTTCCGGCAGTTTATTTTTGAAAATCGTAACATTTTAAAAACTACCGTTTTTTAACGGAGTGCGGTAAGGGGTGACGTGGAGTTGGGGTCGGCGTTTACTTGAAATGTTACATTGTTCATTGATCTAAGTTAGGTTATCGTAGATGGTGTGTTGGAATCTAAAAAAATGTTTTATAGAGTTAAATGGGATCGGTGGTATGTAAAACATCTTCAGTTATTGATGTGCAAAATACCTTGCAACATCAACATAGCCTAATGTTAGTTGCTTATGTTATTACCGTATGTTTAAATTCTGGCGTCATTAATGTTTAAAGACAAACACGGTGCCTGGGATTACTTTATCTATAACGAGTGATGATGAATGGTAGGTAGAACGAATAAACTCAGTGGCTAATATGCCCCCCCCCCCACTACAGCCGTGGGTATACTCGCCCCCACTACAGCCGTGGGTATACTTGCCCCACTTCAGGCTTCGTTATACTTGCCCCACTACAGGCTTCGTTATACTTGCCCCACTACAGCCGTCGTTATACTTGCCCCACTGCAGGCTTCGTTATACTTGTCCCACTACAGGTTTCGTTATACTTGTCCCACTACAGGCTTCGTTATACTTGTCCCACTACAGGCCTCGTTATACTTGCCCCACTACAGCCGTCGTTATACTTGCCCCACTACAGCCGTCGTTATACTTGCCCCACTACAGCCGTCGTTATACTTGCCCCACTACAGGCCTCGTTATACTCGCCCCACTACAGGCCTCGTTATACTCGCCCCACTACAGGCTTCGTTATACTTGCCCCACTACAGCCGTCGTTATACTTGCCCCACTACAGCCGTCGTTATACTTGCCCCACTACAGGCGTCGTTATACTTGCCCCACTACAACCGTCGTTATACTCGCCCCACTAAAGCCGTCGTTATGCTTGCCCCCACCTGAAAACGAATAGAACTTCAGCTCCTTCAATGTGCGCTAGTCTAAAATAAAACTGCTGTGACCAAATCGCATCAATCAATCTTTTGGTTCAGGTATCACGTACTATCACAGTACTAGCAGTAGAAAACATTCAACTGTAAATTTTACTTTCGCTCTTTACCTCGCTCTACACAATGGGACCTCAGATCTTAGAAACTATTGAACATGCATCTAAATTGTGAAAACTTGTTTATTACAAGTTGCTATTTCATTATGATGAGGCTCGTTAGCTGGGGACAGCCACTCTTCTAGGAGAGACAACTCCAAAATCTAACAACTGCTGCCTTGTAGTTTGTTCTTAGTTGGACAAAGGCTATGGAAGCAAATCCAAAAAGAAAAAGCAAGCTGAAATCGGAGTCAATGGCCTCAAAGGCGCATAACCAGTTGACACGTAACGCTTAATTGTGTTGGGGGCGTGGTCGAGTTAGCAAAAAGCTCATGGTTGATAAATTCGAACAAAGTCTTGAGTTCAAACCCACTGGCAGATAAATCTCGATCCCCTTCAACAATAATAATTAAGAACGAAGAAGAAGAAGAAGATTAAGAATTGCATTTGCTCGAACATACATGTACATACATGCTGGGTACAGTAGATATTTGCTTGAATCTTTTAGTAGCCGTAATGTTTTGGTTTAGGTCTCCGGGCTCGCCAGGAGTTTGGAAGTGTGATGAGCAGAGGCGTAGCGACCATTCCCGGCGCCCGGGGACAAACTTTTCGATTTGCACCCCCCCCCCCTCCTCAACCTTTCAATTTACACCCCCCTCAACCTTTCAATTTATTATTCCAACCCATTTTAACGCCCCCTAAGGTCGGCGCCCGGGGACATATGCCCCCCCCCCTCTCTACGCTACTGGTGATGAGGCTGGATATAGTGCCAAGCACACAATGTTTATACCCCGTGGTCAAAGAAATAAACTTATACAATGCTTACATGCTGGGGTCGAAGAAATAGATAACCTCAAAAAATGGTAATACGCTATCGGTTTACGCCGTTTCTACTAGTAATGCGATATGGGTTTAGTTTTGGTTTCCGAAAACGGAATGTCATAATTCGATGAGAATCAGCTCCTGTTTTACGCGAACTGGTTGGGCGACAAAGCCCTATACTGAAGTTTTGATGTTCAATGTCAGAATAAACGTTAAGTTTCGATTACATGCTGTAAAAAATAATAGAAACAAATCTCATTCCATTCTTTAGATATTATAATGAATGAATCGTTTGCTCATGTAATCTCTTTAATATCTTTTATGTATTAATATATAACACGAAGGGTTAAAGGTGGTTTATTATTTTTGTTATATTATATTTTATGGTGAATGAGAGACATAGAGGTATGTGATATATCATTGACTTTAATTTAAATGCTTTAAAATAATTTCATGTTTTATGGAAGTGCAGGTTTACACGAATGTTATATAATCTGAGGCGTCATGGTCTGTGCTAAAATAACATAATAAAATTTTTGGGATAGGAACGTGGAATGGTCACCTTCTTTGTGATATACTATAAGCATAATACCTTGAAATCAAAGCAAACAAAATGAAATGTAAATATACCATCACGTTTGGGCCTGTAAATATTGAGGGCCCTGTGCTGTTGCCTGACTACCCCCCCCCCCCCCATTAATCCACCACCGCTACAGAAGGAGCAATTTAGCACATACAAAAAGTTGAACTAGTAACGACATTTTTCTTTCCAGCATTTCCATCTGAAAAACGACAACCTGGAGATATGGAACAGGACCAACTGATACCGGTCAAGATACGTAGACAGGTAGGGTCTATGACTCATAAAAGAACTATAAAAAAATTTTTTCCGACTTTGAAAAATATCTATAACAAGTTAGTAAACTGTTTAAAAAAATTATTTTGCAAGCTTATTTGATTAAAAAAAAAAGTCTTAAAAATTTATTCTAAAAGTAACTAAAAAACATTGATTAGATATCTAACCCAAACTTGTAGATGCTCCTTACTTCAACCAGTCACCACAAAATCAACTAACAATCCCTATTTGTGTGAGAGAGTGCGGGCGTGTAAGTGCTTATATCTGTATGCGTAAAAGCATGTAAATAACTGGCACCTTAACTTTGTGTATACATTCAGGCACCCTCCACACGCTCAATGCTGTGCGGTACGATAGAAGAGACGGTACAGCCCCCGCATGTAGACAGCAATGGTATACGTTACTACGTTATTCAGACGTCGGATGTACGGCAGAGTATCAAAACGTACCGGTGCATCTCCACTCAGGACTGTGGTCCCGGCATCAAAACTGAAGAGTAAGTTTCTATTTCTCAGAAAAAAACTGCTTTACAGAGGCGTAACGATGGAGGGGCGGGTGGGTACATATGTCCCTGGGCGCCGACCCTAGGGGCACCAAAATGTTTTGGAAAAAATATTAAAAGCTCATTTTAACTGCAGTTTTGAATAATAAATATTAAAAAATAAAACGGGGGGGGGGGGGGGCAAATTGAAAGTTTGTCCCCGGGCGCCCGTAGGGGTCGCTACGCCTCTGCTGCTTTATTCCATATTCTACTGTATTTGTTTCAATATATTTTGTAACTCCCACCAAAAAGATTATGAGATCAGTATCTTCAGCAACATATGGAGCACTTAAAGTGGGGGGGGGGGGGGGGGGGTACTTGATATTTTCGGGGGGGGGGGGGGACACAACATTTTCCGATGGGGGGCGGTAACTCTCCCCCCTTCCTGCCTACGCCACTGTCGGAGGTCAATCAAATTTTTTTTAGCATAATCTACGTGGAAGATCTTATATGAGTTTCGTCTACCTACTAAACAGTACTTCAGTTATCGTGCTCTTACGGAAATAAAGTAGAGTAGCGCTTCCGGTTACCGGAAACAGCTCATAAGCTGACATAATCCTTTGCACATAATAAAATACTTTTACTTGAAATTTCGTCTACCTAACTTAAAAGTTATAGGCTTTTGAGAAAGTAGAAGTGGAGTAAGTCCCCGTAATCCCCCAAAAGCTGATAAAAAAACTACGTACAAAAGTTATCGTGTTTACATACACACAATTTATCAAAAGCTCGATTTTGATTTTTGCACGATTACAATGCGTCCTTTATATTCCGTATACGATAAAATAGGGGAGACATACAGCGGCGAAAACTTACAATTTCATTTAATTTTTGAGTACGAGAAAGTATATAGAGCAGAAAGATGGAATTATTTGAAAATTGGTATAAACGACACTAATAGAAGTTTAGACAATGCAAACGATGAACAACTTATTTCAAACCTCTTAACTACTACACAACACCATAAGTATATACCTAATTGCTGCATTATTTGTTGCTGTTCTTCTAATCAACAATAAAAAAAACAACAATTGTAGATTTAGTCCTGCTAGGTAACGACAATCAATAGCAACATTGGCAGTTCTGTTTGTTATCTTTGTTACATCCCCTGTTTTCTCAGTCACAACAACCTGTTATCTCAGTCACATCCATCTGTTATCTCAGTCACATCCACCTGTTATCTCAGTCACATCCACCTGTTATCTCAGTCACATGCACCTGTTATCTCAGTCACATCCACCTGTTATCTCAGTCACATCCACCTGTTATCTAGGTCACATCCACCTGTTATCTAGGTCACATCCACCTGTTATCTCAGTCACATTCACCTGTTATCTCAGTCACATCCACCTGTTATCTCAGTCACATCCACCTGTTATCTCAGTCACATCCAAAAATTATCTCAGTCACATCCACCTGTTATCTCAGTCACATCCACCTGTTATCTCAGTCACATCCAGCTGTTATCTCAGTCACATCCACCTGTTATCTAAGTCACATCAACCTGTTATCTCAGTCACATCCACCTGTTATCTCAGTCACATCCATCTGTTATCTCATTCACATCCACCTGTTATCTAAGTCACATCCGGCTGTTATCTCAGTCACATCCACCTGTTATATCAGTCACATCCACATGTTATCTCAGTAACATCCAGCTGTTATCTCAGTCACATCCACCTGTTATCTCAGTCACATTCACCTGTTATCTCAGTCACATCCACCTGTTATCTCAGTCACATCCACCTGTTATCTCAGTCACATCCAAAAATTATCTCAGTCACATCCACCTGTTATCTCAGTCACATCCACCTGTTATCTGAGTTACATCCACCTGTTATCTCAGTCACATCCAAAAATTATCTCAGTCACATCCACCTGTTATCTCAGTCACATCCACCTGTTATCTGAGTTACATCAACCTGTTATCTCAGTCACATCCACCTGTTATCTCAGTCACATCCACCTGTTATCTAAGTCACATCCACCTGTTATCTCAGTCACATCCACCTGTTATCTAAGTCACATCCACCTGTTATCTCAGTCACATCCACCTGTTATCTCAGTCACATCCACCTGTTATCTCAGTCACATCCACCTGTTATCTCAGTCACATCTAAAAATTATCTCAGTCACATCTACCCTTCCTTAATGTGTTCTCCCCTACCCCCTCCCTCCCACCCCCTACCTGCCTGTAACATTGCCTATGATATCTTATAATTTTCTTGCCCCTATTTCCCAGTTACCAATGCACTTGCAGGCAGCTGTATGGACAAGGCGCTCTCGTGGCCAAAGACTCCAGCAATCATACAGTCTCCATGACCTACCTATACAAACGGGGCTGTGCAGCGGAAGTGACGAAAAGAAGTTAGACTTGACAACAATAAACATTGTGTCCTTTGTGTGTCCGCGTGGTTTTTATTGTGGTGTGTCTCTTATACTTGACCATAAGGAAAAATGTGAAATGGCTTAGAAATGAATGCTTTATGAGAGTGTGTGGGTAGGCTAATACATTAAGCAGAAAAAAAAGTCGCAGGAAAAAAGTCGCAACGGGAAAAGACAGGTGAAATGTTCACGGAAAAAGATTATAGTAAAAGGACAGGAAAAAAATCATAGAGAAAAAAGTTCACGGAAATAAAAGAAATGTATTTTTACTACTTTTGCTAAAAAGATAATGGTTAAGTAATAGTTTTTATTGTAAGCGTCTTGCATATGACTATTAGATGTGTTGTGTTATTTGTTTGAACCTAATCATCAATCAGCGAGTGATGTGATGCTCTAATCACTGAACAGCATTAATATAACCTAAAACTACTGCAAAGATGATCCCAAACCCTAGCATTAACAAGGATGTTAACTATCAAGGCTGATGATTGTAGGACCTATCATTACATGCATGTAGACAATCAAAGCTGATGATTGTAGGACCTATCATTACATGCATGTAGACAATCAAAGCTGATGATTGTAGGACCTATCATTACATGCATGTAGACAATCAAAGCTGATGATTGTAGGACCTATCATTACATGCATGTAGACAATCAAAGCTGATGATTGTAGGACCTATCATTACATGCATGTAGACAATCAAAGCTGATGATTGTAGGACCTATCATTACATGCATGTAGACAATCAAAGCTGATGATTGTAGGACCTATCATTACATGCATGTAGACAATTAAAGATGATGATTGTAGGACCTATCATTACATGCATGTAGACAATTAAAGATGATGATTGTAGGACCTATCATTACATGCATGTAGACAATTAAAGATGATGCTTGTAGGACCTATCATTACATGCATGTAGACAATTAAAGATGATGATTGTAGGACCTATCATTACATGCATGTAGACAATCAAAGCTGATGATTGTAGGACCTATCATTACATGCATGTAGACAATTAAAGATGATGATTGTAGGACCTATCATTACATGCATGTAGACAATTAAAGATGATGATTGTAGGACCTATCATTACATGCATGTAGACAATTAAAGATGATGATTGTAGGACCTATCATTACATGCATGTAGACAATTAAAGATGATGATTGTAGGACCTATCATTACATGCATGTAGACAATCAAAGCTGATGATTGTAGGACCTATCATTACATGCATGTAGACAATTAAAGATGATGATTGTAGGACCTATCATTACATGCATGTAGACAATTAAAGATGATGATTGTAGGACCTATCATTACATGCATGTAGACAATCAAAGCTGATGATTGTAGGACCTATCATTACATGCACGTAGACAATTAAAGATGATGATTGTAGGACCTATCATTACATGCACGTAGACAATTAAAGATGATGATTGTAGGACCTATCATTACATGCACGTAGACAATTAAAGATGATGATTGTAGGACCTATCATTACATGCACGTAGACAATTAAAGATGATGATTGTAGGACCTATCATTACATGCATGTAGACAATCAAAGCTGATGATTGTAGGACCTATCATTACATGCATGTAGACAATCAAAGCTGATGATTGTAGGACCTATCATTACATGCATGTAGACAATAAAAGCTGATGATTGTAGGACCTATCATTACATGCATGTAGACAATTAAAGATGATGATTGTAGGACCTATTATTACATGCATGTAGACAATTAAAGATGATGATTGTAGGACCTATCATTACATGCATGTAGACAATTAAAGATGATGATTGTAGGACCTATCATTACATGCACGTAGACAATCAAAGCTGATGATTGTAGGACCTATCATTACATGCATGTAGACAATTAAAGATGATGATTGTAGGAACTATCATTACATGCATGTAGACAATCAAAGCTGATGATTGTAGGACCTATCATTACATGCATGTAGACAATTAAAGATGATGATTGTAGGACCTATCATTACATGCACGTAGACAATCAAAGCTGATGATTGTAGGACCTATCATTACATGCATGTAGACAATTAAAGATGATGATTGTAGGACCTATCATTACATGCATGTAGACAATTAAAGATGATGATTGTAGGACCTATCATTACATGCATGTAGACAATTAAAGATGATGATTGTAGGACCTATCATTACATGCACGTAGACAATCAAAGCTGATGATTGTAGGACCTATCATTACATGCATGTAGACAATTAAAGATGATGATTGTAGGACCTATCATTACATGCACGTAGACAATCAAAGCTGATATCATAATCATACATCTCAGATTACAATGGACAGCCGAGTAAAGGCTGTCGGGAAAAAAATCATCAAACAAACAACCATTGAATGTTTCTACAAAATTGTCTCTCATCATAATCACACCTACACATTATTCACTGCCACACCTCCACATTATTGACTTCCTACCTCCACATTATTCACTACCACACCTCCACATTATTGACTTCCACACATCCTTATTATTGACTGCCTACCTTCACATTATTCACATTATTCACTGCCACACCTCCACATTATTGACTGCCTACCTCCACATTATTGTTAAGCTCATTGTTGCTAAACCGAAAAACTCGAGTTCGAACTCTCGGGCAGATGAGGCTCGTTAGCTGGGGACAGCCACTCTTCTAGGAGAGACAACTCCAAAATTAAACAACCGCAGTAGTTTGTTGTTGGTTGGGCAAAATCGGAGTCAATGGCGCATAACCAGTTGACACTAATAATTGTGTTGGCGGAGGATCCTTTCCAACACTAAAATTAAAAACGAAGAAGAAGAAGAATTACAAAGCAAGCCAAACACAGAGTCTAAAACTGATTGACAAGCCGTTTTATTTCGTCAATGCCAGCTGCTGGTGCTTGAAATCACCAGAGCATTAGATTGTGACAGCTACTTCTTTAGAAGTTATTCAGGCACGATCCAATCTTTTCACAGCTATTCTCTAACATACACTTCCACACAAGGCAAGGGGATCCAGTAGATATATGATGGGCGAGTATGTGACGTCTAGTCCGTATGTTTCGAGTTCGTCTCCGGTCTTGAGTGTGTTGGGTGTCCATAAACCTGTATGTGGTTCCTGATGGGTGTTTAGTGTGGGGAGGTGGCATGCGGGAAGGCGGGGGTACGATCCGCTCCGTTGTGTCATTGTGTGGTGGGTTGAGGAAGTGTACGGTGTGTGTGGGGGGTAGTGTGTATGGTGAGGCATGAGCAGTTTCTTCCAGAGCCCCTCCCCCACTGAAGAAAGTCTACCACCCCCCGAACGAAATGGAATTTATATAGAATATATATACTTTTAGCAGTGTCCCCCCCCCCCCCGAAAATTTCAAGAGCGCCCCGGAGAAAAAAGTCTGGATGAAACACTGGGCATGAGTGGTTTGATGAGGTCGTTAGCCTAGTGGGGGTTGTGGAGTATGGGTTTTAAAATGTGTTTTGTAATGTAGAGTGTCGTAAAGGTTGCGTGGTGGAGTGTCATGGGATTCGTGGTGTGGGGGGGGGGGATGTCTCGTGGGTTCGTTCAGGGTGTGGGACGGGATGGTAAGGGGTTTGGTCTACTCTGCCGTATGTATGTGGTGGGGTGAGGTATATGGAGAATGGTGTGGGATAATTGATTGGGTGTAAATCTTTAGGTTATTGGGGTGAGGTGTGGGTTTTAATCTGAGGTGTCTGGTGTGGGGTTTCAAGATTCAGGGTGTGGGACGTGGTGGTGTTTGGTTTGGATGTGGTTTAAAAATATCGAACGGGTTAAGATGCATTGAGTTATTTCCCCTTCTGTTATTACCTCACTTTAAATCTTTAAAATATCTCATGTGAATGTGATATTAATAGCTATAGTACACTTAAAACAAAAAAGTATTTGATTATGATTTACTATAATCTTTTATGTCAACTTAGAATTTAAAATTTTGCACTCGTGTATATATTTATATATATATATATATATATATATATATATATATATATATATATATATATATATATATATATATATAATACATAAATAACGGTTACCGGCCCAAAAAGGATCAACTACACAGGACGCGGAAGAAACAGTGTCAGACTGAAAGTTCGTTAAACTCGAATTGTTCAAGTCAAAACAGAATATATTTTTAAAAAAAGGCACAGTACACTGACCTTAAGTGTGATGAGGTGCATCTTAAGTGCAGACGTGCATCAAGGAACGACAACAGACATGCAAAACGTGCCGCCTTTGATGGACTGGCTAAAATGCATTGTTGATGTGGTCAGCTGTCAACGTTCCATTGATGAGTACTGAAAACATGCCAGTTACATTATCAGGCATTGCTGTGGTAAGCACATTTTTTAAATAGTTTATTGGCAGCGATTTTTATTGTTAGATGTTTGTTGTCAAAATTTGTAGCTCGTCTTTTTGTTTTTAAGTGCATGTTGTAGAGTAGTAAAACGTGTGAGGTGTTGTATATGTGAGGTGTTGTATGTGTGAGTAGATAAATGTGTGAGGTGTTGTATGTGTGAGGTGTTGTATGTGTGAGTAGATAAATGTGTGAGGTGTTGTATGTGTGAGTAGATAAATGTGTGAGGTGTTGTATGTGTGAGTAGATAAATGTGTGAGGTGTTGTATGTGTGAGTAGATAAATATGTGAGTTGCTGTATGTGTGAGTAGATAAATGTGTGAGGTGTTGTATGTGTGAGTAGATAAATGTGTGAGGTGTTGTATGTGTGAGTAGATAAATGTGTGAGGTGTTGTATGTGTGAGTAGATAAATGTGTGAGGTGTTGTATGTGTGAGTAGATAAATGTGTGAGGTGTTGTATGTGTGAGTAGATAAATGTGTGAGTTGCTGTATGTGTGAGTAGATAAATATTTGAGGTGTTGTATGTGTGAGTTGCTGAGGGATATGTGAGTTGTTGTTTGTATATGTTGTATGGTTTTGTATTAGTTGTTGTATGTGTGAGTTGTCGAAGGTATTTGTGTTATATTATTGAGTAACTATATGTGTAAGCTATTGTATGTATGAGTTGTTATATATGTTTTGTTATATGTGTGATTTGTTGGGGTTCGTATGAGTTGTTGTATTTGGAAGTACTTGTTTCTACCCTGAAATTGTTTTGATCCTACAGAAATTTATCATAGTAGTTCTTTACGTCGAGTCGTTGCTATAACTCCTATAGTTTGTTTATGTTTAGCTGTCACAAGAGGTTGAGTCTAGTCTCATCGTGTGTTGTGTTTGTATTATGGGAAATTGTGTTTGGAGACGCGTGTGTTGTGAAGCGAACGTGGGCGGCACCCTGGATATCGCAGAGGAGGGTTACTTGATTTCACATCGACTGGTTATTTGAGTTTCTTTCAGGCATCTCTTGGTGGGGGTGGGGGGTTAGCACGTTTACCTGTGTCCGCCCCTCTCCCGATAATGCATTGTTCCAATAGTCTTACAATAGTGCTCACCAGTGTAACACATCTTTAATGTGGGGTGTGATAATATAATTTATTCTTTTCACACCGATGAAGTCCAAGTATCTAAACCAGTTTCATATGCACATTCACCGAACCCCACCAGTTTCGTATGCACATTCACCGAACCCCACCAGTTTCATATGCACATTCACCGAACCCCACCAGTTTCGTATGCACATTCACCGAACCCCACCAGTTTCATATGCACATTCACCGAACCCCACCAGTTGCATATGCATATTCACCGAACCCCACCAGTTTCATATGCACATTCACCGAACCCCACCAGCTTCATGTGAACATTCACCGAACCCCACCAGTTTCGTATGCACATTCACCGAACCCCACCAGTTTCATATGCACATTCACCGAACCCCACCAGTTTCATATGCACATTCACCGAACCCCACCAGTTTCATATGCACATTCACCGAACCCCACCAGTTTCATATGTACATTCACCGAACCCCAGTAGTTTCATATGCAAATTCACCGAACCCTTCTTACTAATTTTAATCGTACTGACGAAATCCGATTGCGAATCATAGTAGTTGGGTGCGTGTATTGAATTTCGCACGAACCAATAAGTGAATGGCGGAAGAACTACCAAGAAAGAATTCTATAACTGACTCCGCTGATTTTAGAACCCCACCAGTTACATCATCTCATACCACGCCCAGTAGCGTACGCAGGGGGGGAGCAGGGGGAGCGGCCGCTCCCCCTCTGGCCATTTTCAGCAAAGTGGCGCCTTTTTGGAAACTTTTTAAACTCAAAGATTTAAACAACGATATTTGTTAAAAAAATATTTTTTGTCGGCACATCTATGTAAATCACAAGTTTTCTTTTCATGCAGCAATTAAGCATTATTGTACTAGTCTAGTAGTGTCTACGTTTACAACACCCAACCTCGCTACGCCACTGTATAGGCCTATATGTATGTTTAGGAAAGTCATCTAAAAACTGACGCTATATTCACTCTGAGTTGGTTATCTTCCCCCCCCCCCCCCACACACACACACTTCACCACCACAATTGTGTAGAGCAACATGAATGTCACACCTAGGTATACACTGGGTTGGATAATTGACCTAAAGTGACCGGACAGTGGTGAATGAAGTTGAACCCACCCCCCCCCCCCGAACTGATCTGTTAAGTACAATTAAAAAAACGCGTAATGATGTACCAAAGTACCATGCCGCCAGAAAATTAGCTTTTTAAACGTAAAACTCTGTGAATATTGTTTTTGTAATTACCAGTAAAAAGGTGTGTGATCAATACAGTGATCTAACCCATACCTATCACTATGTTAAAAAAATGATCTTTAAAGAACACAAAGAAGCGGTAGTTAATTAAAAATATATGATCTGAACTAAAAGACCGAAATTTAGTTAAATGTAGACTGTTATTCCGAAAGTTTTTCTATAATAACGAAAAGCGTGGTTTTATACAATCTCTGATTTAAAAAAACTTTCATTATGCTGTAATACTTTAGCATTTATGATGACGATATATTAAATTTTGATTATAGACAAAAAAAATTGTAAACACGAATAGTGTTAAACAATTTGATTATATTCTAAAGTAACTATTTATTTGTTTTGAAATTTATAATTAAATGTGTAGATATATACATATTTATACTAAGAGAGTGATTATTTCCCCTATTTCACTTGTCTTGAATAATTTCCCAGGAATTATTTTGTAAGAAATTTTTTTACAAGAATTACAAAATAGATTGTGTTACGTTCATTGTTTTTGGTTGTAGTGTGTGTATATTTTTTTTGTTCAGATTGATACAATTTTTGTTTTGTCGGCCTACATGGTGTGTTTTTTCTTATTTCTTAAAAGTGCTACTTTCAGTTTATTTTACATCATAGCGAAGTAATAACATACAGCTAGTAATATATATATATATATATATATATATATATATATATATATATATATATATATATATATATATATATATATATATATTTAAAATACACGTATATAGAACGTGTTAAAAATTAGGCGCCTTTTTTGCTCTTTTCGCTCCCCCTACAACGAAAACCTGGATACGCCTCTGACCACGCCCCTGATAAAAGGCCAGTGATTTTTTTAAAAGTTTGAATTTTTTTTTTTTGAACTGATCTAGATCTATATCTAAAGGGGGACAACAGTTGATCAACACTTGCACTTTGGCTTGCGACTGTAGAGAGATCGTCTGCTGCTATGTCTTTCTGGGCTGTTATCGCTCTTCTCGGCTTCTGTCTGAGCGCCATCTCCGGTAAGTCTTTGTGTTTGTGTCAGTTGTCATGGAAACTGATTACGTTATTTAAGACATGAAGTCAGATAAGGGATTGTACAGATAGTATACACATTTGGGCTCGAGTCTGTAGGACGTCTCTGAGTCCACTCAGCTCTAATGGGTACCTGATTCATGTTAGGGAAACTAAGGCGGCTGTGCATATTGCTGACTACACAATCGCCCTATATGCTGAGCAAATGAACTCTTATTCATCTGAACTCTAGTTTATGTGCCCCATATGAATGGACACGAATGGAATAAGATGATAACGATATTCTTTACAGAGGTGATTATTATCTAAGTGTATTACTTTATATGGGATAATTGATGCTATTGAGTAATATACCACTGCCTTTGTTTATTTTTATTCCTTTTTTTTTTGGGCTAAAGTTCTGCTGTTATAATGGGTTGATAAATAAGTTGAAAACTTCCAACTTAAACGTTGTTTCCTTTTAAACACAATAAATTGTTTTGTTTTTGTTTCACAATGAAGACTTTTTAAAAGATGGTTTGCGACAGTTTATTTTTGAAAATTGCAACATTTTAAAAAATACCGTTTTTAACGTTGTGCGGGTTGAAGGGGGGAGTTGGGGTCGGCGTTTACTTGAAATGTTACATAGTTCATTGATCTAAGTTAGGTTATCGTAGATGGTGTGTTGAAGTTTAAAAAAAAAATGTTTTATAGAGTTAAATGGGATCGGTGGATGGGTAAAACATTTTCAGTTATTGATGTGCAAAATACCTTGCAACATCAATATAGCCCAGGGGTCTCCAAACTTTTTAGTCCGAGGGCCGCATTAACTATCAAATTTCAGTTCGGGGCCCAGTTTCTCCTAGGCATGTCTTTGATTTTTCTGGGCAAAGTTCCTCAGCCATCACCAACAAACGATTTTTCATTGGACTAAAAGATCTCCGCGGGCCGGATGAGAGGACCTTGCGGGCCGCATCCGGCCCACGGGCCGTAGTTTGGAGACCCCTGATATAGCCCAATGTTAGCTGCTTATGTTATTACCGTATGTTTAAATTCTGGCGTCATTAATGTTTAAAGATAAACACGGTGCCTGGGATTACTTTATCTATAAAGAGTGATGATGAATGGCAGGTAGAATGAAATAAACGCAGTGGCTAATATGTCCCCCCCCCCCCCACTACAGCTGTCGGTATACGCGCCCCCCCCCTCCCCACAATAAAATTTTTTTGGGGTAGGAACGTGGAATTGTCACCTTCTTTGTGATATACTATAAGCATAATACCTTGAAACCAAAGCACACAAAAGAAAATGAAATATACCACCACTTTTGGTGCCCCGTAAATATTGGGGTCCCGTAAATATTGGGGCCCCGTAAATATTGGGGCCCCGAAAATATTGGGGCCCCGTAAATATTGGGGCCCGTAAATATTGGGGCCCCGTAAATATTAGGGCCCCGTAAATATTGGGGCCCCGTAAATATTGGGGCCCCGTAAATATTGGGGCCCCGTAAATATTAGGGCCCCGTAAATATTGGGGCCCCTGGACTGCTGCCTGACTAGCCACCCCCATTAATCCACCACCAGTAGGAGCAATTTAGCACACAAAAAAAGTTAAACTAGTTGCGACATCTTTCTCCCCCAGCATTTCCATCTAAAGAGCGACAACCCTCTCCTGGAGATGTGGAACAGGACAAACAGATACCGGTCAAGATACGTAGACAGGTAGGGGCGATGACTCGTAAAACAACTATAAACATATTTTTTTTTTTAAAAAGGCGATAGTTTAAATTTCCGACTTAGAAAAATATCTATAAAAAGTTAGTAAACTGTTTAAAAAATATTTTGCAAGCTAATTTGATATAAAAGAAAGCTTTAAAATTTATTTTAAAAGTAACTAACAAAACAACCACTGATTAGATATTTAACCCATACCTGTTGATGCCCCTTAATTCAACCGATCACTCCAAAATCAACTAACAATCCCTAATTGTGTGTGCGTGTAAGTGCTTATATCTGTATGCGTAAAAGCATGTATATAACTGACACCTTAACTTTGGGTAAAAAAAAACCTTAACTTTGTGTATACATTCAGGCACCCTCCCGACACTCTACACTGTGCGGTACGATCGAAGAGACGGAACAGCCCCCGCATGTAGACAGCAATGGTATACGTTACCAAGTTATTCAGACGTCGGATGTACGGCAGAGTATCAAAACGTACCGGTGCATCTCCACTCAGGACTGTGGTCCCGGCATCAAAACTCAAGAGTAAGTTTCGATTTCTCAGAAAGCACTGCTTTGTTCCATGTTTTACTGTATTTGTTTTAAGATGTTTTGTAACTCCCACCAAAAAGATTATGAGATCAGTATCTTCAGCAACATATGGAACGACTTATTTAAAACCTCTTAACTACTATACAACACCATAAGTATAAACCTAATTGCTACAGTATTTGTTGCTGTTATTCTTATCAACAACAAAAAAACAACAATTGTAGATTTAGTCCTGCTAGGTAACGATAATCAATAGCATTATTGGCAGTTCTGTTTGTTATCTTAGTTACATCCCCTGTTATCTCAGTCACATCCACCTTTTATCTCAGTCACATCCACCTGTTATCTCAGTCACATCCACCTGTTATCTCAGTCACATCCACCTGTTATCTCAGTCACATCCACCTGTTATCTCAGTCACATCCACCTGTTATCTCAGTCACATCCCCCTGTTATCTCAGTCACATCCACCTTTTATCTCAGTCACATCCACCTTTTATCTCAGTCACATCCACCTGTTATCTCAGTCACATCCACCTGTTATCTCAGTCACATCCACCTGTTATCTCAGTCACATCCAAAAATTATCTCAGTCACATCCACCTGTTATCTCAGTCACATTCACCTGTTATCTCAGTCACATCCACCTGTTATCTCAGTCACATCCACCTGTTATCTCAGTCACATCCACCTGTTATCTCAGTCACATCCAAAAATTATCTCAGTCACATCCACCTGTTATCTCAGTCACATTCACCTGTTATCTCAGTCACATCCACCTGTTATCTCAGTCACATCCACCTGTTATCTCAGTTACATCCACCTGTTATCTCAGTCACATCCACCTGTTATCTCAGTTACATCCACCTGTTATCTCAGTCACATCCACCTGTTATCTCAGTCACATTCTCCTGTTATCTCAGTCACATCCACCTGTTATCTCAGTCACATCCACCTGTTATCTCAGTAACATTCACATGTTATCTCAGTCACATCCACCTGTTATCTCAGTCACATCCACCTGTTATCTCAGTTACATCCACCTGTTATCTCAGTCACATCCACCTGTTATCTCAGTCACATCCACCTGTTATCTCAGTCACATACACCTGTTATCTCAGTCACATCCACCTGTTATCTCAGTCACATCCACCTGTTATCTCAGTCACATTCACCAGTTATCTCAGTCACATCCACCTGTTATCTCAGTTACATCCACCTGTTATCTCAGTCACATCCACCTGTTATCTCAGTCACATCCACCTGTTATCTCAGTTACATCAACCTGTTATCTCAGTCACATCCACCTGTTATCTCAGTCACATCCACCTGTTATCTCAGTTACATCCCCTGTTATCTCAGTCACATCCACCTGTTATCTCAGTCACATCCACCTGTTATCTCAGTCACATACACCTGTTATCTAAGTCACATCCACCTGTTATCTCAGTCACATTCACCTGTTATCTCAGTCACATACACCTGTTATCTCAGTCACATCCATCTGTTATCTCAGTCACATCCACCTGTTATCTCAGTCACATCCACCTGTTATCTCAGTCACTTCCAAAAAGTATCTCAGTCACATCCACCTGTTATCTCAGTCACATCCACCTGTTATCTCAGTCACATCCACCTGTTATCTCAGTCACATCCACCTGTTATCTCAGTCACATCCGAAAATTATCTCAGTCACATCCACCTGTTATCTCAGTCACATCCACCTGTTATCTCAGTCACATCCACCTGTTATCTCAGTCACATCCACCTGTTATCTCAGTCACATCCAGTTGTTATCTCAGTCACATCCACCTGTTATCTCAGTCACATCCACCTGTTATCTCAGTCACATCCACCTGTTATCTCATCCACATCCACCAGTTATCTCAGTCACTTCCAAAAATTATCTCAGTCACATTCAGCTGTTATCTCAATCACATCCACCTGTTATCTCAACATCCACCTGTTATCTCAGTCACATCCACCCTTACTTAATATGTTCTCCCCTACATCCACCCCCCACCTACCTGTAACATTGCCTATGATATCTTATAATTTTCTTGTTTCCTATTCCCCAGTTACCATTGCTCTTGCAGGCAGCTGCATGGACAGGTCACTCTCTTGGTCAAAGACTCCAGCGATCGTACAATCACCATGCCCTACCAATACAAGCGGGGTTGTTCAGCAGAAGTGACGAATATATCTTAGACTTGACAACAATAAAGATGAGTCTTAAAGAGTGTGTCCTTTGTGTGTTGGAGTGGATTTTTTTATGGTGTGTCTCTTATACTTGACCATAAGGGAAAAATGTGAAATCATCAAACAACCATTGAATGTTTCTATAAACTTGTCTATCATCATAACCACACCTCCACATTATAGACTGCCACAACTCCACATTATTCACTGCCACACCTCCACATTATTGACTGCCACAACTCCACATTTAAATGGTCATCCATTTATGACGTCCACACGCGGGGGGGGGGGGGGGGTCCGAAAAAAACTGACTTTTGTGGACGCATATGGACTTTTATAAGGAAAAAAAGTGGATTTTTGTGGACCGGGGGGGGGGGGGGGGAGAGGGGGGGGGGGGGAGGGGGTTTCCAAAATCCCAAAAAATTGTGGACGTCATAAATGGATGACCCTTTATCCTTATTGACAGCCACACCTCCACGTTATTGACTGCCACACCTCCACATTATTAACTGCCACACCTCCACATTATTGACTGCCACACCTCCACGTTATTGAGTTCCACACCTCCACATTATTAACTGCCACACCTCCACATTATTGAGTTCCACACCTCCACATTATTAACTGCCACACCTCCACATTATTGAGTTCCACACCTCCACATTATTGAGTTCCACACCTCCACATTATTGAGTTCCACACCTCCACATTATTGACTGCCACACCTCCACATTATTGAGTTCCACACCTCCACATTATTGAGTTCCACACCTCCACATTATTGAGTTCCACACCTACACATTATTGAGTTCCACACCTCCACATTATTGACTGCCACACCTCCACATTATTGAGTTCCACACCTTCACATTATTGACTGCCACATCTCCACATTATTGAGTTCCACACCTCCACATTATTGACTGCCACACCTCCACATTATTGAGTTCCACACCTTCACATTATTGAGTTCCACACCTCCACATTATTGAGTTCCACACCTCCACATTATTGAGTTCCACACACCTCCACATTATTGAGTTCCACACCTCCACATTATTGAGTTCCACACCTCCACATTATTGAGTTCCACACCTCCACATTATTGAGTTCCACACCTACACATTATTGAGTTTCACACCTCCACATTATTGACTGCCACACCTCCACATTAACTGCCACACCTCTACATTTTTGACTGTAAGTGTTTGAGTTTTCTAGAACTTTCTAGATTATGATTTTATAGATCATCATCTTAATCAATATGCTGGTGTTTGGGGAATTTATTTTTATGAAACGCATACAATAGCTCATTTACATATGATACGCACACTTTGGCATGCATACATATGCAAACAATGGAAACCATACTTACGCCTGTATTAATACACCCGCCAATACATTCGAGTTATTTTTCTTGTGATTTAACTCCCTTTGATGGATGGTAAGGGTGGCTACTACGACTAACATTATCATTGTCTAACTTTCTCTCTATCATTTTTAGGAATTTTTAATGACCACACACACACACACACACACAAACACACACACGTACACGTTCACGCATACACATACGCTATCGCACTCGCATGCCCGCACGCACTCACGCACGCACACACACACAAGGAAGTTTTTATTGACCACAACTCACACACACAAACACTCTCTCACACACACGGATAAACACACACTTATAAAAGTGCTCCAGTAAAAACGGCCGACGTCTAAGTTTGCCGGAATTTCCAGGACTCCGATTAAATCACACGGTTCGCGTTTTACCCACTGTTTTTTTTTCGCTCTCTCTCCAAACCCGGCTCCGGTGGCCAGCGAGAAGAACCCTGGACGGTCACGTGGTGTCACGTGCACGTGATCTAATTGCCCTCATTAACCGTCAGCCTGCAGTGTCACCGGAAACAGAAATATGATGCTTGACAGCGTTGTGACGTCACTCCTTGTTGCTAGCGGTTGGATGTGTTTGAGGGTTTAACTCTCAAGACATAGCTGGGGGGGGGGGGGGAATTAAATTCTATACACAGCTCGAGTTTAACTCTAGACACAGCTGTGGGGGGAGGGCGTTAAATCTAGACAGTTGGGGGGGGTAACTCTAGACACAGCTTGGGTTAAACTCTAGACACAGTTGAGGGTTTAGGTCTCTAGAACAGTTAGGGGTTAAACTCTAGACACATCTAGGGGGGTTAACTCTAGACACACTTGAGAGTTTAACTCTCTAGACACAGTTGGGGGTTTAACTCTGGACACAGTTGGGGGTTTAACTCAAGTACGGCCTCAATTAGAGGTTTGACCATGGGCAAATTAGGTTGGAGATTTAACTAAAGCCAAAAAAATGTTGGAGGTTTAACTGTTGAGCTAGATTTAATGTGAGCAGAGGCGTATCCAGGTTTTCGTTGCAGGGGGAGCGAAAAGAGCAAAAAAAGGCGCCGAATTTTTAACACGTTCTATATACGTGTATTATATATATATATATATATATATATATATATATATATATATATATATATATATATATATATATATATATATATATATATAATTACTAGCTGTATGTCATTTCTCGCTATGATGTAAAATAAATTGAAAGTAGCGCTCTGAAGAAATAAGAAAAAAGGCGCCGAATTTTTAACACGTTCTATATACGTGTATTATATATATATATATATATATATATATATATATATATATATATATATATATATATATATATATATATATATAATTACTAGCTGTATGTCATTTCTCGCTATGATGTAAAATAAATTGAAAGTAGCGCTCTGAAGAAATAAGAAAAAACACACAGTGTAGGCCGACAAAACAAAAATTGTATCAATCTAAACAAAAAAAATATATATACACACAAAACAACCAAAAACAATGAACGTAACACAATCTGTTTTGTAATTCTTGTATAAAAAATTTCTTACATAATAATTCCTGGGAAATTATTTAAGACAAGTGAAATAGGGGAAATAATCACTCTCTTAATATAAATATGTATATATCTTCACATTTAATTATAAATTTCAAAACAAATAAATAATTACTTTAGAATATAATGAAATTGTTTAACACTATTCGTGTTTACAAAATATTTTTGTCTATAATTAGAATTTAATATATCGTTATCATAAATGCTAAAGTATTACAGCATAATGAAAGTTTTTAAATCGAAATAACAGCCTACATTTAAGTAAACATCGGTCTTTTAGTTCAGATAATATATTTTTAATTACCTACTGCTTCTTTGTGTTCTTAAAATATCATTTTTTAACATAGCGATAGGTATGGGTTAGATCACTGTATTGCTCACACACCTTCTTACTGGTAATTGCAAAAACAATATTCACAGTTTTACGTTTAAAAAGCTAATTTTCTGGCGGCATGGTACTTTGGTACATCATTACATGTTTTTCTACATGTACTTAACAGATCAGTTCGGGGTGGGTTGGGGGGGGGGGTTCAACTTCATTCACCACTGTCCGATTACTTTAGGTCAATTATCCAACCCAGTGTATACCTAGGTGTGACATTAATGTCGCTCTACACAATTGTGGTGGTGAGGTGTGTGTGGGGGGGGGGGGATAACCAACTCAGATTGAAGATAGCGTCAGTTTTTAGATGACTGTTCTAAACATACATATATATTACACAAATATATATTACAGAAATAGATTTAAATAAGTAGAAGTGGTATTATGACAATATTTTTTTACAGAGGGGTCCATGGGGGAGGGGGTTGTAACTGTTTCATATAATTTGTAATCGTATCACTATCGCCCAAACTGTAAGAATACTACTACTTCATCGTGCTGACGTTGTTGACCTTGTCAAAATTTCCCCACCACTACACAGTTTGCTCATAAGTAAATTTAAATAGAGTTGCCACATCAGTTGTATTTGTTTCTGTATTGCAATTTTTTTTATAATTAATCACAAGATTCAAACTGTATATATAAAGTAATTATGTGTGAAATTTTATGTATAACATTTTCTAATTCAATTATTCGTAAGCAATTACATTATACAGTTGCCTTAAACTTAAATCCCCTCTTGCCAAGTTGTACTACCCGTAGAGGTTTTTTTTTTAAATTGCAATGCATCGTAATGGTTATTTTTAGAATGGCAAACTGATGCAGTTGTTAATACGTGCTGTAAACGTAGACACTACTATACTAGTACAATAATGCTTAATTGCTGCATCAAAAGAAATCTTGTGATTTACATAGATGTGCCGACCAAAAATGTTTTTTAACAAATATCATTGTTTAAAACTTTGAGTTTAAAAAGTTTCCAAAAAGGCGCCACTTTGCTGAAAATGGCCAGAGGGGGAGCGGCCGCTCCCCCTGCTCCCCCCCTGGGTACGCTACTGAATGTGAGGCTTTAATTTTGAGCCAGATTTAGCCGCTGCTTTAGCTCTAGAGCTAACCTAGGATTTGAGGTTTAACTAGAGCCAAGTTAAGTTGGAGGTTTAACTCTAGAGCCAGACTTAGTTGTAAGGTCTAACTCTGGATCCAGACTCTTTAGAGCCGAATTTAGCGGATCTAGAATTTAGAGCCAGACACATTTGGAAGTTTAACTGCAGATCCAGATACAGTTTGTGGTTTAACTTTACATCCAGAATCAGTTCGAGGGTTTACTCTAGAATGAGACAGTCAGTAAAGGTCAATTTTTAAAAATTGCATGCGTATTCAATATTTTAAAACCTCGTAAAAAAAAAAAAACATCAACAAAAAAAAACATAGCCTCTAACAAGAACTCTACGCGTCAGAATCAATGAGCATCTATCGCCTAGCAACCGTTTCAACTTCCGGCTCCTTCCCGCTCATTGCACGACTTCATTTGTCAACAAAATCTAGTTGTTTCCTGCTCCCTACTCAACCAAGCTCAGAAATATAAAAAATAGTACTCATTAAATGTCTGTCTGCTCTTTGTGTTGCTATAAAAAACGACCATCGTCGCTAGAAGTACCGGAGCTAAAATAAAACAATAACTCATCTCCGTTTCTTGGGAAGAAAAAAACAACAACCAAAACGACCGGAAAAGAAACAAGCTCAGTGAATTTCAAGTGTAAGTTCTGTTATTTTTTTTTTTTTTGTCTGTATTTTGCAATTTTTATTTTTTGTAATTAAAGAACCAGATACATGTAGGTTAGCTAGATCTAAGTTCTGTTTAATCTTTGTAGAGCGAATGAGCGATACAAATAAATGTAGTTTAAATCTGAAGAAAATCGACTACAGTAGAATAATTTTCTGCTAAAATTGAAATAGGAGTTTAGTCTGGACTTTTACCGTCGTATTCGCGACAAAGTGGTATCGATTATACGAATCCTTCACAGTTTATAGGATCAAGTCTTGGTCACGTCAGGTCTAGGGTCAAGTCTAGGGTCGTGTAGGGCCAGGTCTAGTCTAGACTCTAGACTCATGTCTCGGTCGTCTAGGCTCAAAACTAGGGTCGTCTAGGGTTCAGTCTAGGGTCAGGGTTAGGGTTGTCTAGGGTCAAAACTAGGGTCGTCTAGGGTCCAGTCTAGGGTCAGGTCTAGGGTCGTTTAGGGTCAAAACTAGGGTCGTTTACGGTCGTCTAGGCTCAGGTCTAGGGTCATGTCTCGGTCCTCTAGGGTCAAGTCTAGGGTCAGGGTTAGGGTTGTCTAGGGGCAAAACTAGAGTCGTCTATGGTCAAGTCTAGGCTCATGTCTCGGTCGTCTAGGGTCCAGTCTAGGGTCCAGTCTAGGGTCAGGGTTAGGGTTGTCTAGGGTCAAAACTAGGGTCGTCTAGGGTCAAGTCTAGGCTCATGTCTCGGTCGTCTAGGGTCAAGTCTAGGGTCAAGTCTAGTCTCATGTCTCGGTCGTCTAGGGTCAAGTCTAGGGTCAGGGTTAGGGTTGTCTAGGGTCAAAACTAGGGTCGTCTAGGATCAAGTCTAGACTCAGGTCTCAATCAAGTCTTAGGTCGGATAGGGTAAGGCCTAGTCTAGGATCAGGTCTATTTAATACTTCACCTCGGAGTATCATAGTTAGTATTTTTTCTGTCCAGCAAGATATCATCAACAATACTGCCTGTCAACCTAGCCGGGGTATGGGCAGCTAAGCTATTATATTCTGTGCCATCTTCTCAGTTTGACTGTAGCTCTACTAGAGTCAGCCTCGCGATCAAGGCGCCAAATATTTGGTAGTCGACCTTTTTTGAGCTGAACATGCGGAAAACTCGTTACAGAAACGCCAGCACGATGTTCATCTTCTATATTCAAGTTTGACTGTTTTCAATGTGAAGTGAATAAACAATTGAATGTGATCAGCATAGAGTATAACAGAGATGGGAATAACACACGCTTATGCTCGTTGATGAAAATATAAACTGTTGGCAGCAGCTAATAACACGTTGGTGTTTGCAGTAATTGGAAGTTAGCTGTCTATGGATGTTAACTATAGATGAATGTTGACAAGAAAAGGATGTTAACTACAGAAATATGTTAACTACAGATGAATGATGACAACAAAATGATGTTAATTACATAAGGATGTTAATTACAGACGAAAGTTAACTAAAGACGAAAGTTAACTACAGAAGGATGTTAACTAAAGATGAAAGTTAACTAAAATCGAAAGTCAAATACAGACAGAGGTTAAATACAGACGGATGTTAACTAAAAGCGAAAGTTAACTACACACGAAAGTTGAATACAAAAGGATGTTAACTACAGACGGAAGTTAACTACAAACGAAAGTTGAATACAGACGGATGTTAACTACAGACGAAAAATAACTACAGACCAAAATTAACTACAGACAAAAGTTAACTACAGACAAAAGTTAACTACAGACAAAAGTTAACTACAGACGAAAGTTAACTAAAGACGAAAGTTAACTACAGACGGATGTTAACTACAAACGAAAGTTAACTACAGACGAAAGTTAACTACAGACTAAGACCAAGTGATATTGTGCCTGATGGTTTTTTTTGTTTTTCCCCCCACAGGTCCTAACTTACTTCCAGACTTTCTGTCACTCACCTGGTTAACCTGACCTTGACCTTACCATGTTTGACTGTGCAGTTGGCGACACCATGTACACCGTCCAGAGCCCCTATGGCAGCAACCAATCGGACTTTGAGTGCCAGGTGGGCGATACCAAGGTGGACGGTTCCAAGGGCGCCTGTCCATCTAACCTGAAGGAGGTCCCTAGCGACTTTCAGTGCCAGGCCAAAGTCATAACATCTGACTTCCAGTGTCAGGTAGGTCATCATTTCTGACTTTGAGTGTCAGGTAGGTCATAATTTCTGACTTCCAGTGTCAGGTAGGTCATAGTTCTGACTTTCAGTGTCAGGTAGGTCATAACATCTGACTTCCAGTGTCAGGTAGGTCATAGTTCTGACTTTTAGTGTCAGGCCAAAGCAGTGGCGTAGCGAGGTCGGGTGTCACCCGGTGCGGCACTTAATGGTGTCAACCCCCCCCCCCCCCCCCAGAGGCGTAGCGACTCTTCCCGGGGACAAACTTTCAATTTTCGAATTGCACCCCCCTCTCAAATTTTTCTCTATATATTTTACTATTTTTTGCCTTGGTGTCACCCCCCTAAATGGTGTCACCCGGTGAGGTCCGCACCCGCCGCCCCCCCCCCTGCTACGCCTCTGGGCCAAAGTCATAACTTCTGACTTTCAGTGTCAGGTAGGTCATAACTTTAATGCCAGGCCAAAGTCATAAGTTCTGCCTTTTAATCCCTGGTCAAAGTCATAATTTCTGACTTTTTGTGTCAGGTAGGTCATAACTTCTGACTTTTTGGTAAGTCATAAGTTTAGACTGTTTGGAAGGTCATATTCAGTTAAACAGTGGTAGTCGGTAACTCAAGATTTTCGATCCCTAATCATATAGTAAGATAAATCTCGGTTTGTGATGTGTACAAGGCAGTTTCCCCATACTGTTATGTAATTAATACATTGTGCTGCTTGAGTTCTCCTGACTGTTGTGTGTTGACCTGTAGTTTTTCTGACTGTTGCGTGTTGACCTGTAATTCTCCTGACTGTTGTGTGTTGACTTGTAGTTTTTCTGACATGTTTAGGTAAAGAATGTTGCTGGTGATGGACTGACTGAAGGTCAAGGTGAATTCATCAGCACAGAGCAGGCAAGTGCACATTGGACATTTCAAACATTACAATTATTTTCATGACTGTTTGTATGATCGTGTGGCGTACAGGCTAGAGTATACACAACTTCTAATAAAGTAAACGTGGCGCTTCCCATCTCCCACCCCAACCTCTGGTGTGTATGGTGTCAACCATCTTCCCTTCCTTCCATACATACTGCAATCACGTAGCTGTTAAAGATGTGGAACTTTTTATAATTTACGGTGGTAATCTTTAAGACTTTTGCCCTACAACTCAAGATATATATATATATATATATATATATATATATATATATATATATATATATATATATATATATATATATATATATATATATAAATAAATATATATATATAAATATAAATATAAATATATAAATATATATATATATATATATATATATATATATATATATATATATATATATATATATATATATATATATGTATATATATGTATGTCTGCCTACAGATGCAGCCACTACTGAGAGAAAGCACACGTCCTGCCAACAAAGCCAGGTCCGGCCCCAAGACAGGTGAGACCAGAGCGGAGGTCAAGACAAGCAACTCTGCCTCACAGTGCACCATCCTGACCTCCAACCCGTCCGCAGACTTCCAGTGCCAGGCGGGCCGCTCGTGCTGCCAGGGGGAGGAGGACGTGCCGGAAGTGGCGCCGTCGTCGTCTGCAGACTTCCAGTGCCAGGTGGGCGTGGCGCAGTTTGACTTCCAATGCCAGTTCAACGACAACGTGCTGGCATAGGTGGTTGTGTCCCCTGGACAACGTGCAGGCCTAGGTGGTTGTATCCCCTGGCGGATGTTGGCCGGACGTTACGTGTTTGATGGGAAAAACAAGGACATTAGCCATAACTTAACTTAAACCCAATGACTTTAATTAGAAGAGTTTTAATGTTGCGTTCATTTTTATTAAGTACAGTTTAGACGCTTTGCAAGAATTAAAAACGTTTTTTTTTAAAATATATATATTTATACTCTTTATTTAAATCTATTGGTTTGTTAAAATGTTACCTTTGTTGTTTGTTTTTTCATAAATTAACACATACACTATTTACTCAGAACAGAGAAACACATATAATTGTTTGTATGTTCTTTATGTAAAATTTTCAAATTTTGAGATGCGTTGATCTTAAGTTTGGGTCAAGTTTGATATACGTTATATATTCCGGTTAATGTGAAGTTCGAGCTAGTTTGACATACATAAGTTTTTGACTTGATTTGTTTCTACTAAATGTGGTGATCTTTATTTGTTATTGTAAGCATAGGCTGCTGTCTTCCAGTGTGGTGTGTGGGTGGGTGTTGTTGATGTTTAGCCTGTTAGAGTATACTGGCAAGGTTTTAAAACTGAAGGTCGATGAAATCTTGTAGTTGATGTTCGCTGGTAGGGTAGTAGCTGTGAAGTTGTTAACTTGTGGTGATCGATGGGTGGGGGGGGATGGGGTGAGGGGGGGGGAGGGGTCGGGAGTCCCAACGAATGGAGTAACTGGCTCTCAATGTACGTGCAGTGTACTAAAGTAAAAACTCTTAATGTAACTCTACCCTAAAGATGATCAACATGAACAATGCTAATGTCACAACTCTCAATGTAACTTCGATAATGAACACGAACAATGTAATACAGTCACAACTTACAATGTAACTTCGATAATGTACACGAACAATGTAATACAGTCACAACTTACAATGTAACTTCGATAATGTACACGAACAATGTAATACAGTCATAACTTACAATGTAACTTCGATAATGTACACGAACAATGTAATACAGTCACAACTTACAATGCAACTTCGACAATGAACACGAACAATGTAATACAGTCACAACTTACAATGTAACTTCGATAATGAACACGAACAATGTAATACAGTCACAACTTACAATGTAACTTCGATAATGAACACGAACAATGTAATACAGTCACAACTTACAATGTAACTTCGATAATAAACACGAACAATGTAATACAGCCACAACTTACAATGTAACTTCGATAATGTACACGAACAATGTAATACAGCCACAACTTACAATGTAACTTCGATAATGTACACGAACAATGTAATACAGCCACAACTTACAATGTAACTTCGATAATGTACACGAAAAATGTAATACAGTCATAACTTACAATGTAACTTCGATAATGTACACGAACAATGTAATACAGTCACAACTTACAATGCAACTTCGATAATGAACACGAACAATGTAATACAGTCACAACTTACAATGTAACTTCGATAATGAACACGAACAATGTAATACAGTCACAACTTACAATTTAACTTCGATAATGAACACGAACAATGTAATACAGTCACAACTTACAATGTAACTTCGATAATGAACACGAACAATGTAATACAGTCACAACTTACAATGTAACTTCGATAATGAACACGAACAATGTAATACAGCCACAACTTACAATGTAACTTCGATAATGAACACGAACAATGTAATACAGTCACAACTTACAATGTAACTTCGATAATGAACACGAACAATGTAATACAGTCACAACTTACAATGTAACTTCGATAATGAACACGAACAATGTAATACAGTCACAACTTACAATGTAACTTCGATAATGAACACGAACAATGTAATACAGTCACAACTTACAATGTAACTTTGATAATGTACACGAACAATGTAATACAGCCACAACTTACAATGTAACTTCGATAATGTATACGAAAAATGTAATACAGTCATAACTTACAATGTAACTTCGATAATGTACACGAACAATGTGACACAGCCCCAACTCTCCATGTAACTCTTCTATAATGAACACGAACAATGTGATACCTCCACAACTCTCCATGTAACTCTTCTATAATGTGCACGAACAATGTGATACAGCCACAACTCTCAATGTAACTCTTCTATAATGTACACGAACAATGTGATAGAGCCACAACTCTCCATGTAACTACCCAGCCACGTCCAACACGACAGGGTGCGCCCTATGGTCGAGGGAAACCGTTGTCTTGTATGAGCTGTGAGTAAAACTTGGCGGAATCTCTCGGGGTTCGAGTCCGGTTGACGCTGTCGAAGTCGACACTGTAGAGACCAAACTTAGAGTAGTATCCACTGGTCCACTCCAGGTTATCCATCAGGGACCAGGCTGTGTATCCACGGAGATCCACATTATCCAGGCGTATGGCTGGAACAGAAAAAAAAAATTGGTAGTTTATTGGGGGGGGCGGGGGGGGGGGGGGATTACGTTATTTCCAGCATAGATCATATCAAACGTTGGTTAGGTAATTCACTTTGAACAGCTCAACGTACAAACATCTGGCATTACTTTTTTCCAAATTGCAAAATTTTAATAGCATGCTCCACCCATTAAGCGACTACACCATTTAAATAGGATGTCGTACCTTTTTAAAAGCCACAATTTAAATTGGACGTCTCACCACAAAACGAACTATATCTGGGATGTCATTTTACCAAATCATACACATTAAATCTTTCACCCTTCACCAAATTACAATACATTAATGCTGTAGGACTCACATTTGAGCAGCTCATTAATGTAGTACTTGTAGTAGTTAATTCACCACATTAATGTCGTACGACTCACCTTTGAGCAGCTCATTAATGTAGTACTTGTAGTAGTAAATTCTGTCTGTGTCTCCCAAAACGTCCTGACTCGGCCGACCGCTCTCTGTGATGTAGATTGGGGGGTTGTTGAAGTGTTCCTTGGCCCACCGTAGAATATTGCGGACCCCCCACGGATTCACTTTCAGCCAATCTGCTTCAGTGCTGTAAGGTGACCATTCAAGTCAGATTCAATGGTTTGTTTAATAGTTTGAGAACACGGATTTTGGAATTTGTTTGTAATACATTTTAATGGATCATCTTTCACAAGTGTGGTATGGTTTATTATAAAAGTTTTATATTGCTAAGCATACGCTTAAAAAAGACAACAACTCACAAAGGAAATGGGCAGAAAATATGGTAATGCCCTGAGCTCAAGAACGATATAGGCGCTAAATAAGATGACCGGAGCTAACATACATTAACGTATATGATTATGTCTATAGTTCACATACATGCACTTATATGATCAAGTCCCCAGTTCACATACAATTATGATACATAGCCGTATATGGTCAAGCCCATAGCTCACACATGCCTGTATATGGTCATGTCAATAGGTCACGTAACTTCCCATATATGGACATTTCCACAGTTCACCCACAAGCCCTTAGGTGGTCATGTCAAGGGTTCGCATACATGCCCGTATATGGCCATGTCCACAGCTCACAAAAATAGACTGTATGTGGTCAAACCCATAGCTCACACATATGCCTTTATGTGGTCATGTCCATAGGTCACGTACAAGCCCTTAGGTGGTCATGTTCAGGGTTCGCATACAGGCCGTATACTGTCATTTCTCAGTCCACATACATGCCGTTATATGGTCGTGTCCTCAGTCCACATACATGCCGTTACATGGTCATGTCCATAGATCACATACAAGCCCGTATATGGTCCTGTTCACACTTCACATACAGACATGACAAGACGAATCAGGTCCTACCCTGGCCAGCACGGGTCTGCCCTAGTTTCAATGTCCTGGTCCTGTTCATAGTTGGGCTCAGAGTTGGCCCTGGTCCTGTCTGAGACCAGGTTACTCGTGTAGTGGTTCATGCCCAGAAAGTCGTAGGCACCTGCGGGGGTGACACCAAACAAGATTTTACTAAGTTCCTAAACTTAACACTGCGGGAGTGATAACAACAAAGCTAATACAAGATCCGTTAGCTTAACAAAAAGTTGGAAAATCGAGTGTTATTGATCTAAGATTCAGAAGAACACTAGACTACCCGTCATCCCTTGGATAACTGTGGGTTTCGGGGGTCATCCATCAAAAAACATCACGTCTGTCACTCAGATGCATAGCGACCCTTCTCGGCGCCCGGGGACAAACTTTTCGATTTGAACCCCCCCCCCCCCCCCCCCGCAAGATTTCGATTTGCAACCCCCCCCCCCCCCCCCTCAAACTTTTGATGTGCACCCCCCCCCACTCAAACTTTCGATTTGCACCCCCCTCAACCTTTTAATTTATTTTTCCAACCCATTTTGGCGCCCCCTAAGGTCGGCGCCCGGGGACATATGTCCCCCACCCGCCCCCCCCCTCCTCGCTACGCTACTGCAGTGTCACTTATCGTCACAAAAAACAGACCCCACATTCAAAAAGATGTTTTTTATCATTTAAAAACACCGAAAACACCGATTTCGGACTATCCCTTCATATACTGACGTCACAATAGACCTACTCAACTCTACTTCACCTGCCCAGTGTCCCGCCAAGTCTCAGACAACATGTTTTTATCGTTTAAAAAACGATTCCAGCCGAGCATGTCTCTGACCACACTATCCCTTCATATGCTTAGGACAAAGAAACAGATGAACCCTACTTCACCTGCCCTGTGCCCCGCGAGTTCCTGATAGTCAACCTTATCATTCACATATAGGGCTTAAGAAAAAATAATTGAAAACGTAAAAAAAAAAGTTCTATTAATTTTTATGACACTGACTTTAAAATTTAGCCTTCACTCTCCAAAGCAAATTTTAAAATGCTTTTCTGGCATATCTAGCCCTGGCCACCTATACCATGTTTAAATAATGTGAACACCCGCCATCTTGCTCGTGGTAAACATGGCCTAAAAATGGTCCGAAGTCATTCGTCCAGTCCGGACGCCATATTGTTGTTAGCAGCCGACCACGCCTCCAAGTTAGTGAGTAATCCTACTATATCTAGATATAGAACCTAGATTTTAAAAAATCCCATTTATTCTCGAATTAGATGATCATTGAAGCTAAACAAAGATTTATATAAAATAATTAAGGCCTGAAATAGATTCTAGATGTAGAATTTACATTAAGTCTAGATCTAGAATGTACATTGAGTCTAGTGACCTAGATCTAGGCTAGATCTAGATTCTAGTCTAGAATCTAGGCTAGATTCATATAGGCTGTTTGATGAGAATTACAGAATGATTTTTTTATTAAAAATGTATCAATAATAGCTAGAACACTAGTAAACTAAGCTAATTTAGCATATTTTAACTTTCTGTGCAAAGTCATTATTACTGAAAAAAATTCCAAAGTCAGGTCAGCCTGTGGCACCCTCCACTGAACGTGACAGAAGGAAAAAAAAACTTCACCCGTGACCTTCATTAAAACAGAATTTGCTTTTGTTTTATTTTTATTTTTGGTAAACATGTGCTTAATCTTACCCAATAAGTGATAAAAATTTGAAAATTAATTTTAATTACTGTTGTAAAGTGAGATAAACAGCTTAATAAACACATGCTTTCTTGAGGGGGTGTGGCCCGGGTGTGGCACATCGCAATTATAACTTTATATTTCTGTGTTTTATGACTATATTTGTTCACAATTAGCATGCTATGTTTTTTAAATTGATAAAAGGTAAGTATACCAAGTTACAAAATCCGCAATCTAACTAATAATTCATACTTTCAATTTAAAAAATAATAAAAACGATCATCAACGAAGAAAGCGTAAACATTCTATTTTTAGGTATGACATAAAAAACAGTCATAAATCTAGCCAAATGATTGGATTCTTGCGCGGCACACATTTTCCCGCGCCTCGTTTTCACCAAACAAGAATATAATAAAATGGCATTATTACTTACACCCTCAAAAGCATTGTTTCCACCCTAATTATATTAAACAATTCTATTTTTATTTGATAGTAAAGATGATATACAAATTGTATATTACAATAAAGTTATTGTAGAACGCACCTGCTTTTAGTTTATTCGACTTGAAACGCAAGCTAGGTCAGCGTGACTTTCTCTCGTTAAATACAAATAAAGAAATTAGGTCAAGCTGCCATTATTAAAATGTTAATTATTCGCCCCGTAAATACATGGGCAGTTTCGAGTGAAAATCTATCCGATTACGATACAATCCTTAGTTTTAACTATCATGTACTTCATGAGAAAGAAATGATTCGATATTTTATATGGCCGCCCAAAACACGGGTGCTTCAAAACCGCGAGAACGAGATTTCACGAATCGAAAAACCTAATTCATAACTTTCCTTCAACAGCTGATCTTTAGATCTAGATCTAGAGAAATTTATTGTAAAACTAATGAAAAAAGACAGTTTAAAATTGATATAAGTGTTGGAACGTAATAAATACAGCAAACGGACGTATTGTTTAAGTTATAGCCGGCAGAAAATTAGCTTTGTAACGCGTTAAACTTTTGAATGGGCCACAAAGTCTATGATGGAGTCCGCCATTTTTATTGAACCAAAAAAGTAAACACATCAAGGGACGTCACTATTCCCACAAAGTTTAGTCAATGTTTTAACATTTTCTTGGACAGATTGTAGATCTAGAGAAATTTATCGTAAAACTAAATGAAAAAAGACAGTTTAAAATTGATATAAGTGTTGGAACGTAATAAATACAGCAAAAGGACGTATTGTTAAAGTTATGACCGACAGAAAATTAGATTTAGAACGCGTTAAACTTTTGAATGGGAACACAATTTTCTTCGATAGACGCCGCCATTTTATTGTACTAAAGAGTAAACAAAAACATGTGACGTCACGGTCCCGCCGAGTGTAGTGGTCGTTCTAAACTTTTAAAAAAAAATGGGTTACTCTGCGTATGAATAAATCAATAAATTAATTAACGTCTTTAAATAAATGTGTGATTAACAGTCTGTCTTAAAACAAAATTTTTTCTCTACCTACATACTATTTTACAGCTTTCCACGATGAGTGCAACCATGCGAGATAGTCAATCAGGCAAACAAAAAAACAAACAAATAAATATTCAAACATGTAAACAAACTTGACTTTTAGTAGTATACTAGAATACCCGTCATCCGTTGGATAACTGTGGGCTTCGGGGGTCATCCATCAAAAAACATCACGTCTGTCACTCAGAGGCATAGCGACCCTTCCCGGCGCCCGGGGACAAACTTTTCGATTTGAACCCCCCCCCCAAGATTTCGATTTTCAACCCCCCCCCTCCCCCAAACTTTTGATGTGCAACCCCCCCCCCCCCTTCGCCCCCACTCAAACTTTCCATTTGAACCCCCCTCAACCTTTCAATTTATTTTTCCAAACCATTTTGGCGCCCCAACATATGTCCCCCCCCCGCCCCCCCCCTTCCCCCCCGCCTCCCCTCCCCCCTCCCGCCCCCCCCCCCCCCCCCCTCCTCGCTACGCTACTGCAGTGTCACTTATCGTCACAAAAAAACAGACCCCACATTCAAAAATATGTTTTTTATCTTTTAAAAACACCGAAAACAACGATTTCGGACTATCCCTTCATATACTGACGTCACAGGTGACCTACTCAACTCTACTTCACCTGCCCAGTGTCCCGCCAAGTCTCAGACAACAAAAACGATTCCAGCCGAGCATGTCTCTGACCACACTATCCCTTCATTTGCTTAGGACAAAGAAACAGATGAACCCTACTTCACCTGCCCTGTGCCCCGCGAGTTCCTGATAGTCAACCTTATCATTCACATATAGGGCTTAAGAAAAAATAATTGAAAACGTAAAAAAAAAAGTTCTATTAATTTTTATGACACTGACTTTAAAATTTAGCCTTCACTCTCCAAAGCAAATTTTAAAATGCTTTTCTGGCATATCTAGCCCTGGCCACCTATACCATGTTTAAATAATGTGAACACCCGCCATCTTGCTCGTGGTAAACATGGCCTAAAAATGGTCCGAAGTCATTCGTCCAGTCCGGACGCCATATTGTTGTTAGCAGCCGACCACGCCTCCAAGTTAGTGAGTAATCCTACTATATCTAGATATAGAACCTAGATTTTAAAAAATCCCATTTATTCTCGAATTAGATGATCATTGAAGCTAAACAAAGATTTATATAAAATAATTAAGGCCTGAAATAGATTCTAGATGTAGAATTTACATTAAGTCTAGATCTAGAATGTACATTGAGTCTAGTGACCTAGATCTAGGCTAGATCTAGATTCTAGTCTAGAATCTAGGCTAGATTCATATAGGCTGTTTGATGAGAATTACAGAATGATTTTTTTATTAAAAATGTATCAATAATAGCTAGAACACTAGTAAACTAAGCTAATTTAGCATATTTTAACTTTCTGTGCAAAGTCATTATTACTGAAAAAAATTCCAAAGTCAGGTCAGCCTGTGGCACCCTCCACTGAACGTGACAGAAGGAAAAAAAAACTTCACCCGTGACCTTCATTAAAACAGAATTTGCTTTTGTTTTATTTTTATTTTTGGTAAACATGTGCTTAATCTTACCCAATAAGTGATAAAAATTTGAAAATTAATTTTAATTACTGTTGTAAAGTGAGATAAACAGCTTAATAAACACATGCTTTCTTGAGGGGGTGTGGCCCGGGTGTGGCACATCGCAATTATAACTTTATATTTCTGTGTTTTATGACTATATTTGTTCACAATTAGCATGCTATGTTTTTTAAATTGATAAAAGGTAAGTATACCAAGTTACAAAATCCGCAATCTAACTAATAATTCATACTTTCAATTTAAAAAATAATAAAAACGATCATCAACGAAGAAAGCGTAAACATTCTATTTTTAGGTATGACATAAAAAACAGTCATAAATCTAGCCAAATGATTGGATTCTTGCGCGGCACACATTTTCCCGCGCCTCGTTTTCACCAAACAAGAATATAATAAAATGGCATTATTACTTACACCCTCAAAAGCATTGTTTCCACCCTAATTATATTAAACAATTCTATTTTTATTTGATAGTAAAGATGATATACAAATTGTATATTACAATAAAGTTATTGTAGAACGCACCTGCTTTTAGTTTATTCGACTTGAAACGCAAGCTAGGTCAGCGTGACTTTCTCTCGTTAAATACAAATAAAGAAATTAGGTCAAGCTGCCATTATTAAAATGTTAATTATTCGCCCCGTAAATACATGGGCAGTTTCGAGTGAAAATCTATCCGATTACGATACAATCCTTAGTTTTAACTATCATGTACTTCATGAGAAAGAAATGATTCGATATTTTATATGGCCGCCCAAAACACGGGTGCTTCAAAACCGCGAGAACGAGATTTCACGAATCGAAAAACCTAATTCATAACTTTCCTTCAACAGCTGATCTTTAGATCTAGATCTAGAGAAATTTATTGTAAAACTAATGAAAAAAGACAGTTTAAAATTGATATAAGTGTTGGAACGTAATAAATACAGCAAACGGACGTATTGTTTAAGTTATAGCCGGCAGAAAATTAGCTTTGTAACGCGTTAAACTTTTGAATGGGCCACAAAGTCTATGATGGAGTCCGCCATTTTTATTGAACCAAAAAAGTAAACACATCAAGGGACGTCACTATTCCCACAAAGTTTAGTCAATGTTTTAACATTTTCTTGGACAGATTGTAGATCTAGAGAAATTTATCGTAAAACTAAATGAAAAAAGACAGTTTAAAATTGATATAAGTGTTGGAACGTAATAAATACAGCAAAAGGACGTATTGTTAAAGTTATGACCGACAGAAAATTAAATTTAGAACGCGTTAAACTTTTGAATGGGAACACAATTTTCTTCGATAGACGCCGCCATTTTATTGTACTAAAGAGTAAACAAAAACATGTGACGTCACGGTCCCGCCGAGTGTAGTGGTCGTTCTAAACTTTTAAAAAAAAATGGGTTACTCTGCGTATGAATAAATCAATAAATTAATTAACGTCTTTAAATAAATGTGTGATTAACAGTCTGTCTTAAAACAAAATTTTTTCTCTACCTACATACTATTTTACAGCTTTCCACGATGAGTGCAACCATGCGAGATAGTCAATCAGGCAAACAAAAAAACAAACAAATAAATATTCAAACATGTAAACAAACTTGACTTTTAGTAGTATACTAGAATACCCGTCATCCGTTGGATAACTGTGGGCTTCGGGGGTCATCCATCAAAAAACATCACGTCTGTCACTCAGAGGCATAGCGACCCTTCCCGGCGCCCGGGGACAAACTTTTCGATTTGAACCCCCCCCCCCCCAAGATTTCGATTTTCAACCCCCCCCCCTCCCCCAAACTTTTGATGTGCAACCCCCCCCCCCCTTCGCCCCCACTCAAACTTTCCATTTGAACCCCCCTCAACCTTTCAATTTATTTTTCCAAACCATTTTGGCGCCCCAACATATGTCCCCCCCCGCCCCCCCCCCCTTCCCCCCCCCGCCTCCCCTCCCCCCTCCCGCCCCCCCCCCCCCTCCTCGCTACGCTACTGCAGTGTCACTTATCGTCACAAAAAAACAGACCCCACATTCAAAAATATGTTTTTTATCTTTTAAAAACACCGAAAACAACGATTTCGGACTATCCCTTCATATACTGACGTCACAGGTGACCTACTCAACTCTACTTCACCTGCCCAGTGTCCCGCCAAGTCTCAGACAACAAAAACGATTCCAGCCGAGCATGTCTCTGACCACACTATCCCTTCATTTGCTTAGGACAAAGAAACAGATGAACCCTACTTCACCTGCCCTGTGCCCCGCGAGGTCCTGATAGTCAACCTTATCATTCACATATAGGGCTTAAGAAAAAATAATTGAAAACGTAAAAAAAAAAAAAAGTTCTATTAATGTTTATGACACTGACTTTAAAATTTAGCCTTCATTCTCCAAAGCAAATTTTAAAATGCTTTTCTGGCATATCTAGCCCTGGCCACCTATACAATGTTTAAATAATGTGAACACCCGCCATTTTGCTCGTGGTAAACATGGCCTAAAAATGGTCGGCAGACATGCGTCCGGTCCGTACGCCATATTGTTGTTAGCAGCCGACCACGCCTCCAAGTTAGTGAGTAATCCTACTATATCTAGATATAGAACCTAGATAACAAAAAAATCCCATGTATTCTCGAATTAGATGATCATTGAAGCTAAACAAAGATTTATATAAAATAATTAAGGCCCGAAATAGATTCTAGATGTAGAATTTACATTAATCTAGATCTAGAATTTACATTGAGTCTAGTGACCTAGATCTAGATCTAGAATCTAGATCTAGGCCCTAGGCCCTAGGCTAGATTCTAGATTCATAACTTTACTTCGACAGCTGATCTTTAGATCTAGAGAAATAATTTATTGTAAAACTAAATGAAAAAAGACAGTTTAAAATTGATATAAGTGTTGGAACGTAATAAATACAGCAAACGGACGTATTGTTAAAGTTATGACCGACAGAAAATTAGATTTAGAACGCGTTAAACTTTTGAATGGGAACACAATTTTCTTCGATAGACGCCGCCATTTTATTGTACTAAAGAGTAAACAAAAACCTGTGACGTCACTATTCCCACAAAGTTTAGTCAATGTTTTAACATTTAAAAAAAAAATGGGTTACTATACGTATGAATAAATCAATAAATTAATTAACGTCTTTAAATAAATTTGTGATTAACAGTCTGTCTGCATTAAAAAATTATTCTCTACCTACATACTATTTTACAGCTCTCCAGATAGAGTCGAACATATCACAATTTTCGATCGGACAAACAAAAAAACAAACAAATAAATATTCAAACATGTAAACAAACTTGACTTTTAGTAGCATTAAAGAAAAGATAAAGATATAGATAGATAGATAACTAAAGATGGACACAGTTCTGAGACCAACTTAAAAAACAACAAGCAAAGTATTTTTCAGGCCTCATGGGAAGAGGGGCAGTATGAGAACGACCCCCCCCCCCCAGGATGATATAGAAATATAATGATTAAAAAAAAACATGAACTTTAAGCAGTGTCGCCCCACCCCCACCCGGTATTTTCAAGTGCTCCCTCCCCTTTCCGGTGAAAAATGTCCAAAAGAACACCTTGTACAAGACTTATAATTTGCTGACTGCCGTGAAACGTAACTAACCACTAACATGACGACCCAAGTCTAGGCTAAGAAATAGAAAGCTGACCTTTGTTTAGAGACCTCTCAGCTGCCGTGAACTCGGGCAGGCGGCTGGTGTTGAGCCCTTGGCGAGAGCTTTTCTCTGCGATGTACTGCTTCATCACCGCTGGGTAGTCGCCCGACCCCCCGTAGATGGCGTTACCGAACCTGGGACACGGGGTGGGGGAGAGACATCAGAACTTATGAGCTCTAGTATAACATCATTAAGGTGTGACGGCTAACTCACTAGCTACATAATACGCTATCGATTTACACCAGGGTTTCTTTCAGTACATATACCCCACCCCCGGGCGAAGAAGAAAACTGTATTTTGACATAGAAAATAATTACTTTAATCAACGTCCGCGCTACCCCCCTCCACAGAAATGTTTGAAAGAAACCCTGTTTTACACAATTCACATGCTGGCTACCTCAAAACCCAATGACAATTAGACAACTACATAGCGAATAAGGCGGACATGCTACCTTGCCACATTGCAACCTTGCTACATTGCTACCCCGCAAAAAATTACTTTGGCAAAACCCTGTTCCATAACCCTGTTTCATATATTTAGTTAAACTAAAGTACCTAACTCAAGTACCCAACCAACCATAACCCTGACTCTACCCAACCAACCATAACATTGACTCTACTCAACCAACCGTAACCCTGACTCAAGTACGCATCCAACCATAACCCTGACTCTACCCAACCAACCATAACCCTGACTCAAGTACCCATCTAACCGTAACCCTAACCCATGAACCCAACCAACCGTAACCTTAACTCACCACCGAACAGTAGCCCTGACTCTACCCAACCAACCATAACCCTGACTCAAGTACCCATCTAACCGTAACCCTAACCCATGAACCCAACCAACCGTAACCTTAACTCACCACCGAACAGTAGCCCTGACTCTACCCAAGCAACCGTAACCCTGACCCAAGAACCCATCCAGCCGTTACACTTACCCAAGAACCCAACCAACCATAACCTTAACTCACCAGCCAACCGTAGCCCTGCCCCACGAATCCAACCAACCGAAACCTTAACTCACCAGCCAAGCTTAAACTCACCAGCCAAGCTTAAACTCTATGGCACGGTCAGCAGCCAACACGTCATCTAGTGAGTCAGTCAGTGGTTCCTTCCACTCAATGTCAAGTGTGATGCCGACACTGCCTTCAACACGGAAGATATATACATAATATTATATACTATAATTATCATATATAGATATCATTTTATGCCGATATATATATATATATATATATATATATATATATATATATATATATATATATATATATATATATATATATATATATATATATATATATATATATATATATATATATATACATATATATATATAGGCATATAGGCATCAACAACTTTTACTTCATAGAAGATGATTATACTATAGGTCTACATATAAACATATATAAAATGTATATATACATGATATATATTGAAAAAGAATGGGACTATTTTTACCTAAACCTCCCCCTCCCCCCCCACCCCCCACAAAAGATTTTTTTTTTTATTATTCCAGACTATCATTAACAGTAAAAAAAATGCAGGCGGTTGCTTACCTCCATATTTGGCCTTAAAATGGTCTTTGTACAGGTGGTAGGCGCGGCTGTGCGAGCGGATGATGTTGTGGGCCACCCGGTAGGTGCCGAACCCAGGGTCGTACACCCCGGGCGCGAAGACGGCTACACCGTACCCCAGCCAGCTGATGACGTAAGCCTCGTTGAAGGTGATCCAGTGGCTGACCTGCAGGTTAAGGTGAAAGGGAACGTATAACTAAAGACAAACTAAAGGCAGACTAAAGACAGACTACAGACAAAATAAAGATAAACTAAAGACAGACTAAAGACATAACTAAAGACAAACTAAAGGCAGACTAAAGACAGACTACAGACAAAATAAAGATAAACTAAAGACAGACTAAAGACATAACTAAAGACAAACTAAAGGCAGACTAAAGACAGACTACAGACAAAATAAAGATAAACTAAAGACAGACTAAAGACATAACTAAAGACAAACTAAAGGCAGACTAAAGACAGACTACAGACAAAATAAAGATAAACTAAAGACAGACTAAAGACATAACTAAAGACAAACTAAAGGCAGACTAAAGACAGACTACAGACAAAATGAAGATAAACTAAAGACAGACTAAAGACATAACTAAAGACAAACTAAAGGCAGACTACAGACAAAATAAAGATAAACTAAAGACAGACTAAAGACATAACTAAAGACAAACTAAAGGCAGACAAAAGAAGTCTACAGACAAAATAAAGATAAAGACAGACTAAAGACATAACTAAAGACAAACTAAAGACAGTTGCTGCTTCAGGGTTTGATTAATTTTAGCACAAACACAAAGTTAAGTCGACATCTAGATTTTTTATGTGGTCCTGTGAGTGACCTAGTGATGACCTTAACCGGTAAATGACCAGCGGTGACCATACCCTTTTAATGACTTAAAAATGACCTTACTTTGTAAAATGATCTTACCTTGTAAAATGACCTAAAAATGACCTTACCTTGAAAAATGATCTTTCCTTGTAAAACCAAACGATGCCCTTACCTTGTAAAATGACCTAACGATGACCTTACCCTGTACGTGACCTAACAATTACCTTACCCGGTACATGACCTAACAATGATCTTACCCTGTACATGACCTAACGATGACCTTACCCTGTACATGACCTAACGATATCCTTACCCTGTAAATGACCTAACGATGACCTTACCCTGTAAATGACCTAACGATGACCTTACCCTGTAAATGACCTATCAATGACCTTACCCTGTACATGACCTAACGATATCCTTACCCTGTAAATGACCTAACGATGACCTTACCCCGTAAATGACCTAACGATGACCTTACCCTGTAAATGAACTAACGATGACCTTACCCTGTAAATGACCTAACGATGACCTTACCCTGTAAATGACCTAACGATGACCTTACCCTGTAAATGAACTAACGATGACCTTACCCTGTAAATGACCTAACGATGACCTTACCCTGTAAATGACCTATCAATGACCTTACCCTGTCTCCGAACTGCTCAAAACACACCCTGGCGTAGTCCTCAAACAGAGAGACGATGGAATCGTTCATGAACCCACCCTGGTCCTGGAGGGCCTGGGGCAGGTCCCAGTGATACAGTGTCACCATGGGCTTGATGCTGGGGAGAGTAATGTGTCACCATGGGCTTGATGCTGGGGAGTGTAATGTGTCACCATGGGCTTGATGCTGGGGAGTGTAATGTGTCACCATGGGCTTGATGCTGGGGAGTGTAATGTGTCACCATGGGCTTGATGCTGGGGAGAGTAATGTGTCACCATAGGCTTTATGCTGGGGAGAGTAATGTGTCACCATGGGCTTTATGCTGGGGAGAGTAATGTGTCACCATGGGCTTGATGCTGGGGAGAGTAATGTGTCACCATGGGCTTGATGCTGGGGAGAGTAATGTGTCACCATGGGCTTGATGCTGGGGAGTGTAATGTGTCACCATGGGCTTGATGCTGGGGAGTGTAATGTGTCACCATGGGCTTGATGCTGGGGAGTGTAATGTGTCACTATGGGCTTGATGCTGGGGAGTGTAATGTGTCACCATGGGCTTGATGCTGGGGAGTGTAATGTGTCACCATGGGCTTGATGCTGGGGAGTGTAATGTGTCACCATGGGCTTGATGCTGGGGAGTGTAATGTGTCACTATGGGCTTGATGCTGGGGAGTGTAATGTGTCACCATGGGCTTTATGCTGGGGAGAGTAATGTGTCACCATGGGCTTGATACTGAGGAGAGTAATGTATCACCATATGCTTTATACTGGTGAGTGTAATGTGTCACCATGGGCTTGATGCTGGGAAGAGTAAGGTGTCACCATATGCTTTATACTGGGGAGTGTAATGTGTCACCATGGGCTTTATGCTGGGGAGAGTAATGTGTCACCATTGACTTGATGCTGGGAAGAGTAAGGTGTCATCATATGCTTTATACTGGGGAGTGTAATGTGTCACCATGTGCTTGATGCTGGGGAGTGTAATGTGTCACCATGGGCTTTATACTGGGGAGAGTAATGTGTCACCATGGGCTTTATACTGGTGAGTGTAATGTGTCACCATGGGCTTTATACTGGTGAGTGTAATGTGTCACCATGGGCTTGATGCTGGGAAGAGTAAGGTGTCACCATATGCTTTATACTGGGGAGTGTAATGTGTCACCATGGGCTTTATGCTGGGGAGAGTAATGTGTCACCATGGGCTTTATGCTGGGGAGTGTAATGTGTCACCATGGGCTTTATACTGGGGAGAGTAATGTGTCACTATGGGCTTTATGCTGGGGAGAGTAATGTGTCACCATGGGCTTTATGCTGGGGAGAGTAATGTGTCACCATGGGCTTTATACAGGGGAGAGTAATGTTTCACCATGGGCTTTATACAGGGGAGAGTAATGTTTCACCGTGGGCTTTATGCTGGGGAGAGTAATGTGTCACCATGTGCTTTATACTGGGGAGAGTAATGTGTCACCATGGGCTTTATACTGGGGAGAGTAATGTGTCACCGTGGGCTTTATACTGGGGAGAGTAATGTTTCACCATGGGCTTTATACAGGGGAGAGTAATGTTTCACCGTGGGCTTTATGCTGGGGAGAGTAATGTGTCACCATGTGCTTTATACTGGGGAGAGTAATGTGTCACCATGGGCTTTATACTGGGGAGAGTAATGTGTCACCGTGGGCTTTATACTGGGGAGAGTAATGTGTCACCGTGGGCTTTATGATTTTGTGTACTACCACCCCGTCCTCTGTGTGCATAACTACGATTCCCAACACCATCTTTTATGACTATCATCCCACCCCCACCTCCTGTGACCCCATTCCTTACTTATTAGCCAGGAGAGCGTCGATCAAACGGTTGTAATAGTCCACGCCATTCTGGTTGAGACTGCCGGCTCTTCCGTCCGGCAAAACACGGCTCCAGGCGATAGAGAACCGGTAGAAATCCACCTGGGGAACACAGGTATCACGTCTGAGAAGTCGAAGGTCGGTCAATACAAGCTGCGACTTGTGTTTGACCAACCTCACACCCATGCTGAACGTTAAGATTGATCCTATCTTTCACTACAAAACCCACTAAAACCTAGACGTCGTTTTTTTTTCGCCTTACAATGTATATCGAGAGCAGGCTATACATTTAGCCTTAGTGTTTATTTACTGGATTTCAAGCTGTTGTTAGCAAAAATCGACCACACCTTGCCACCATGATCTACAGCAAAAATTTACCCAAAAATTTGGTTTTGAGGTTTATCTACATCTAAAAATTTGACTTAATTTAAAGATTTTCTTCAGATAGTTACCCTAAAATTGTAGTTTAAAATTTAACCTCATGACTTACTCAGACGACTTTATGACTTGCACTAAATATTTACTGTAAAGATTTATCGTGAAATTTCACTTCAAACATTTCCGCTAAAAATTTACCTGTAAAAACTTACCATAAAGAAATATCTAAACTAAGCATTTACCATTAAGCTTTAGGCAAACCTAACCTAACCTTAACCCTAAAACGCTTTGCCTTAAAAAAATCGACCCTATAGATTTACCCTAAAACGATTTGCCTTAAAACATCAACCCAAAACATCTACCCTAAAACGATTTGCTTTAAAACAAAAATCGACCCTGTAAATTTACCCCTAAGGTTTTCAACATGGCGACGTCCTCCTGATACAGATGGTAGCTGTCACAGGCCACGTCGCCTGTCTGACCACTGGCCAGCTTGTTGTTATGGGCGAACGTGTCCCAGATACTGGGACCTTTGCCTGCAAGAGGATACTGGACCTTTAACTGATAATACAGACACAGGGACCTTTAACTGATAATACAGACACAGGGACCTTTAACTGCTAATACAGATACAGGGACCTTTAACTGTTAATATAGACACAGGGACCTTTGCCTGCAAGAGGACACTGGACCTTTAACTGCTAATATAGACACAGGGACCTTTAACTGCTAATACAGACATGGGGACCTTTAACTGCTAATATAGACACAGGGACCTTTAACTGCTAATACAGATACAGGGACCTTTAACTGTTAATATAGACACAGGGACCTTTGCCTGCAAGAGGACACTGGACCTTTAACTGCTAATATAGACACAGGGACCTTTAACTGCTAATATAGACACAGGGACCTTTAACTGCTAATACAGACACAGGGACCTTTAACTGCTAATACAGATACAGGGACCTTTAACTGCTATACAGACACAGGGACCTTTAACTGCTAACAGAGACACAGGACCTTTAACTGCTAATACAGACACAGGGACCTTTAACTTCTAATATAGACACAGGGACCTTTAACTGCTAATATAGACACAGGGACATTTAACTGCTAATACAGACACAGGGACTTTTAACTGCTAACATAGACACATGGACCTTTAACTGCAATTAAAATGCTGGAACATATAAACAGCTAATAAAATCCTTGTGACCTTTTATTGCAAATAACAATTTAGACCTCACTCACTGGCCCTTGAGTCACAAGCATGGAACTTTATAGCGAGCGTTTAAAAAATCACTAAAGGTGAAAATGATTATTGCGCAACGTAAAAGTTACCGTCTAGATTCCACGCCCCCTCCACTTGATAGGCAGACGTAGCCACGCCCCACTGAAAATTGTCAGGAAACGTGCCGTAGTAGAATTCATCTCGGTCAGCGGGGTCTGATGACGTCACAAACATAGGCTGACACTGATATTACGGGACTACTAACGGGTAAGGATGGGGGGGGGGGGGGGGGGGGGGGGTTGGCGGAGGGGGGGGGGGGGGTTTGGCGGAGGGGGGGGCGGAGGGGGGGGGGAGGTTAATGATTACTAACACTTTTTATACTGGAAAGGTAAATTTTGAACTAAAAAGGGCAGATTATCAAGTTTTTTTTTTTTTAATTAAAAAAAAATGAAGGATTATGACGTTTTGTCATGAAAGGTACAAATTATAGATAGCTAGCCATATTTACATATCGTAGAAGGATCTTTTTTTAAAATCATTACAGACCAGGGTTTCTTTCAGGCTCTTCCCCCCACCCACTCCCACATTTCCCAGGAGGTATACGTATATACATTCTATGTATATAATGTATATATTTTGTATGCAAATTTAATATTTCGTCCGAGGAGGTGACAAACTACCCATCCCCGTTCCCTCGGGAGAGTTGCCTGCAAGAAACACTACACCCCAAATAGCCACTGACAAGCGCGGTAACTCCTGAGCTCCTGATCCAACCCCCTGGCCTTGACCAGAGCCCTGTAGAAAGCCGCGGACGACCGGGGAAACCTCGGCCTGTCCGCCTGTCCCATGTCCACGTAGTACAGCCCCGTCTTGCTGCTGGTGCCTCGCTCCCAGTCCCAGCCGTCCACCAGTGACCACACGAAGTAGCCGCGGACGTCACTTCCGGCCTGGATGGCTGGAACCAGATTAGGGATGAGATATAAGGATTGTACACAGGGGATATATAAGGCTTGGGCACAGAGGAGATAGAAGGGTTGTATACATGTGAGATTAAAGGCTTGTACACAGATGATATATAAGGCTTGTACACAGATGAGATATAAGGCTTGTACACAGATGAGATATAAGGCTTGTACACAGGTTATATATAAGGCTTGTACACAGATGAGATATAAGGCTTGTACACAGATGAGATATAAGGCTTGTACACAGGTTATATATAAGGCTTGTACACAGATGAGATATAAGGCTTGTACACAGATGAGATATAAGGCTTGTACACAGGTTATATATAAGGCTTGTACACAGATGATATATAAGGCTTGTACACAGATGATATATAAGGCTTGTACACAGATGATATATAAGGCTTGTACACAGATGATATATAAGGCTTGTACACAGATGAGATATAAGGCTTGTACACAGATGATATATAAGGCTTGTACACAGATGAGATATAAGGCTTGTACACAGATGATATATAAGGCTTGTACACAGATGATATATAAGGCTTGTACACAGATGAGATATAAGGCTTGTACACAGGTTATATATAAGGCTTGTACACAGATGATATATAAGGCTTGTACACAGATGAGATATAAGGCTTGTACACAGATGATATATAAGGCTTGTACACAGATGATATATAAGGCTTGTACACAGATGAGATATAAGGCTTGTACACAGATGATATATAAGGCTTGTACACAGATGATATATAAGGCTTGTACACAGATGAGATATAAGGCTTGTACACAGGTTATATATAAGGCTTGTACACAGATGATATATAAGGCTTGTACACAGATGATATATAAGGCTTGTACACAGATGAGATATAAGGCTTGTACACAGGTTATATATAAGGCTTGTACACAGGTGAGATATAAGGCTTGTACACAGATGATATATAAGGCTTGTACACAGATGAGATATAAGGCTTGTACACAGGTTATATATAAGGCTTGTACACAGGTGAGATATAAGGCTTGTACACAGGTGAGATATAAGGCTTGTACACAGGTTATATATAAGGCTTGTACACAGATGATATATAAGGCTTGTACACAGATGATATATAAGGCTTGTACACAGATGAGATATAAGGCTTGTACACAGATGATATATAAGGCTTGTACACAGATGATATATAAGGCTTGTACACAGATGAGATATAAGGCTTTAACACAGGTTATATATAAGGCTTGTACACAGATGATATATAAGGCTTGTACACAGATGATATATAAGGCTTGTACACAGATGATATATAAGGCTTGTACACAGATGATATATAAGGCTTGTACACAGGTGAGATATAAGGCTTGTACACAGGTTATATATAAGGCTTGTACACAGATGATATATAAGGCTTGTACACAGATGATATATAAGGCTTGTACACAGATGAGATATAAGGCTTGTACACAGGTTATATATAAGGCTTGTACACAGGTGAGATATAAGGCTTGTACACAGATGATATATAAGGCTTGTACACAGATGAGATATAAGGCTTGTACACAGGTTATATATAAGGCTTGGACACAGGTGAGATATAAGGCTTATACACAGGTGAGATATAAGGTTTGTACACAGGTGAGATATAAGGCTTGTACACAGGTGAGATATAAGGCTTGTACACAGATGATATATAAGGCTTGTACACAGATGAGATATAAGGCTTGTACACAGGTTATATATAAGGCTTGGACACAGGTGAGATATAAGGCTTATACACAGGTGAGATATAAGGTTTGTACACAGGTGAGATATAAGGCTTGTACACAGGTGAGATATAAGGCTTGTACACAGGTGAGATATAAGGCTTGTACACAGATGAGATATAAGGATTGTACACAGATGAAATAAAAGAGCAGTACACAGGTGAGATATAAGGCTTGTACACAGGTGAGATATAAGGATTGCACACAAGTGAGATATAAGGCTTGTTAACAAATTACCAGACATAAGATCAAACGCCACGAAAGTCTTGACAAAATAAGACAACCTGACAGATCAGACAGAATACTAAGAAAGTCTTGACCCAAATTACCACGACAAAAATATCACGAAAATCTTGTCACAAATTACCACCCAACAGATAGGACAGAATAATAAGAAAGTCTTGACCCAAATTACCACGACAAAAATATCACGAAAATCTTGTCACAAATTACCACCCAACAGATAGGACAGAATAATAAGAAAGTCTTGACCCAAATTACCACCATACAATTCAGACAAAATACCATGTAAGTCTTGACCCAAATTACCACGACAAAAATACCACGAAAATCTTGTCACAAATTACCACACGACAGATAGGACAAAATACTAAGAAAGTCTTGTCATAAATTACCACCATACAGTTAAGACAAAACACCGACAACACCAACGCCTAGACTGACCCTGTAGGACATAGACTGACCCTGTAGGACTGTAGGACATAGACACACCCAAACCAAGGACATAGACTGATCCTGTAGGACATAGACTGACCCTGTAGGACATAGTTACTGTACTCCCGGATGTACTCGATCCTGTGTTGGTCCTTCAATGTCCCGCAGGACCCCAGCCCACTGTGTGTGACGTAGATGGGCGGGTTGTTGTAGCTGCTGGTCAGTGTGGTGAGTAGGTCCTTGAGGTGTGACCCCATTAGGCGGCGCTCACTTGCAGGATTGGTCTCTGGACGGTACTCCAGGCTGAAGAGCAGGGGGGGGGGGGTATGGTATTGTTTCAATAACCGGTTACTTTTTCTAAATTACCAGTTATATGAAGTATCCATTTAAATACTGGGACGGTATGGTCGAGTGGTAAAGCGTTTTGCTGCTAATCCTGAGACCACCCAGCTCTGATGGGTACCTGGATTACGTTGGGGAAACTAAGGCGGCTGGGCATAGTGCTGACCACATTATCTCCTTGTATGTTGAGGGTAAACGAAACAGATTAACTTTACTTCATCTGCCCCTGTCTTCAGCACAAACGGGAAAAGATCCATTTAAATTGGATATAAAGTATCTAATTACCTATAATATAAAGTATCCACTAACTTAGAATATAAAGTATCCACTAACAAAGTATATGATGTATTCACTAACCTTGGATAAGAAATATCCACTTACCTAGAATATAAAGTATCAACTAGCCTAGTATATAAAGTATCCACTAACCTAGGATATGAAGTATCCACTTACCTAGTATATTAAAGTATCCACTAACCTAGTATATAAAGTATCCACTTACCTAGTATATAAAGTATCCACTTACCTAGTATATAAAGTATCCACTCACCTAGGATACGAAGTATCCACTAACCTAGTATATAAAGTATCCACTTACCTAGAATATAAACTATCCACTTACCTATTATATAAAGTATCCACTTACCTAGTATATAAAGTATCCACTAACCTAGGGTATGAAGTATCCACTAATCTAGTATATAAAGTAGCCACTTACCTAGTATATAAAGTATACACTTACCTAGTATATAAAGTATCCACTAGCCTAGTATATAAAGTATCCACTAACCTAGGATATGAAGTATCCACCTGAAGTACTAGCTCCTGATCCTGATAGAAGCCAGGTACTGTGGAAGTGCTGAGACTCTCTGAGACCAGGTACACGCTTGAGTAACTGATGCCGACAAAGTCCATGGCACCTACAGAGCACATTGTTGCATATATGCACGTGGGACTAGCAGTGGTTCTAAGGTAACATTTTGAAGGGTTCTTAATTTACAAGATATACAAGGGGTCTCAAATACATACATTTTGAAATTACCAACGTTGCAAGCTTGTAGTATGCTTGTATGAATCAGCCCCAACTCTTAGTTGTGACCATCCCCCTCCCAACACTGTCACCTTACCCTCCCCTCCCAACACTGTCACCTTACCCTCCCCCTCCCAACACTGTCACTTTATCCTCCCCTCTCAACACTGTCACCTTACCCTCCCCCTCCCAACACTGTCACCTTACCCTTACCCTCCCCCTCCCAACACTGTCACCTTACCCTCCCCCTCCCAACACTGTCACCTTACCCTCCCCCTCCCAACACTGTCACCTTACCCTCCCCCTCCCAACACTGTCACCTTACCCTCCCCTCCCAACACTGTCGCCTTACCCTCCCCTCCCAACACTGTCACCTTACCCTCCCCTCCCAACACTGTCACCTTACCCTCCCCTCCCAACACTGTCGCCTTACCCTACCCCTGCTCAATATCTCTCTCGTTACCCTCCCCAACACCCACCACACTCAGTGTCTGTCTCTTATATACCCTCCAGCCTCACCCCCAGCTTCCCCTACCCCCCCCCCCCCCCCAGCGTCTGCCCCTACCCTACATCCCCAGTGTCTGTCCCCTTACCCTTACAACATCTGCCCTACCCTCCAGCTCCATCCCCAGCGTCTTCCCTTATTCCCTCCCACCCATCCCAGTCTGCCCCCCTCCCCACCCTAGCGTCTGCCCCCCCCCCCTTACCCTGAATCTTTATCCTCTCATCCAGTGTGAACTCCTGCATCTTGTGGTCAGGGAACCCTTGTGCTGACCTCTTGAGGGCCACCCTCTCTTTCATCAAGGTCGGGTAGTCGCCCTTGGTCAGAGGCTCCAAAAACCATCCCAGCTGAAAGGTCAAGGCTCTTTGTGCCGCGGTCACATCTGCGACGCTGGTCGAGTTTTGAACGAACCAATCAGAATGGAGCGCGATGCCCACCTGACCTGCAAAGTACATGTGAACGAAATCTATTTTTACATCCGAAGTTTGAAAGGACTTTTATAAAACTGTATGAGGTATTGGCACGAGTTCTTCAATAAAAGGCTTGGGGTTAAATAATTTGGGTTCTATTGCCCTCTGACGTTTAACCCCTATACCACTGTAAACTACTAACACGTTTAATGAAACAATTATACTCGATATTTTTACAGGAATCTTCGCTTTTCTATGAGGACTAGAACCCTGCACTTTTACGTTTTTCCTTTGGGTGACCCTTAAAATGCACAACGGAAAACTGCACAAACATGTGAGCAAAGGAATTTATTTTTACATCGATCGTTTATAGTATAGGGCTAGCCATAAATTACCACATGTAGGCTACATTGTATAAAACATACATTATTTTTCTACAAAATTGGACACAATGAAAGTGCATTAGTATAATTAGTATTCCGCTGCGTATTTTCCGTTTGCGCATTTTTTTCCGGGGACAGCTAATTAAACTGTACTTTGGGGATATCCTTAGGGACCGTGACACTACACATATTGGGGACATACATTTTTAGGGACTTTTTTTTTGGTACCAGTCGACCTTGACCTACCGTTCTGCGTGGCCTTGAAGGTTGTCTTGTAGAGCGTGTAGGCGGCCGCGTGTGCCAGCAGCAGGTTGTGGCCAACCTTGTACAGCAACCCGGGCTGTTTGATGCCTGGGGCGTGGGCGCCGGTCTCGTAACCTTTGTAGGCCAAGGTCACCGGGTCGTCTATGGTCGTCCACAGCTTGACCTTCGACACAATTTTTTTATGAATCAGTTGCTAGGTCGGTGGCAAGCTCGTGTGATACTCTTTGACCACGACACTTTCCGACGTTTTTCGCCCCCCCCCTTCCCCCGAAAAGATGCCTGGAAGAAATTCTGATCGCCTCTGGTGATATGAAACTGTTCTTGTTAACATAGAACTGCCGTTTGCAGTGTTTGTTCTATGCATCTCTTCGGGGGGGGGGGGGGGGGGGGCGGAGCCTCACCCCCCCCCCCCCCTGAAGAAAGTCTTCCGCCACACACCCCCCTCCCGAACGAAATGGAATTTATATAGAAAGTATTTAGTTCCCCCCCCCCCCCCCCGGAGAAAAAAGTCTGGAAGTAACACTGGCTGTTTGTGCTACTTGCTATTGAAATGTTCTTTGTGTTATAGAGCTGTTCTTGACGAATGAAATAAAATATTTTTAAGTTATTGGGCGGGGGGGGGGGGGAGAAGGGGGGGGGGAATGGGCTATTCAAGTTTCCGAGGGGGCGGAACTTTAACCAAAGTATGTTGTGCGACTGTAGAATATTAGCAAGAAGTGGGCGTACCAGTAGAGATAAACGTAACCGCTAGAACATCTGTTTTTCAAATTGTTTACTAATTATTGATCCAACTGAATTTTTTTTTGGTTGTAAAATGAAAAAAAAAACAACCCAACTATTTCATTAGCTAATACCCAACTCCGAATCAGTTATTTAAAAAACAGGATGAAACATTATTTGTTCTGTACAATGTGCTTTTTTTTGTCACCGCCTCTGTTAGCCCTATACTTAGATGAATTGTTTACCATTTACCAAAAGAAGACGAAGTTTGTTATTCAGTAACGCGATATGCTGAAAAACTAAAAAAAAAAAGCGCGGTTCGAAAGTTCTAATTAGTCATCAAGACAAAGTTCAACCGTGTTGCATTTCTCCTCAAAACTGGTTTGTTATTTCAGAACGCATCCTTCATTAGCCTATTCTGTCTATAGCCATATATTTTTTTTATGTACAACTATACCATCAAACTCATAACACCGACCCAATGGTAGCTGTTTGAGTTCAATGTGAATTCATCTCACTGATGTGACGTCGTCCTCAAACCCACGTGTTCCCGCCCCACACGCACAGAACAAATTATCTACTTCCGGTCGTGAACCGGGCTCCAAATGACATGCGCGGCGTAACGGAAGTTGTACTGGAAATGACCGGTGCTATCCCCTCCATCACAATTCTCAGCGGTCTCGCTTTCTCGGACTGTGCCGGCCATTTGTCACCTGGGCAATTCTCGTCCTTTCAAAATGGCGGCGTGTGTGGAAACACGTGGCAGACGGCCGTTATGACGTCACACGTCAAATTTAAAAAAAATTCATTACGTTATATTTTTGTACCATCGAAAACATCGCCGCGAAGGCAAGTTGAAGTTTCTCACCATTGCGCATGCGTACCTTTTTTTCCGGCTAGAATCGGCCATATTTTTATACTGCTTAATTTTTCTTTAATTGATTAGTTTCTGTAGCATGGCTTGTGTTGCGACTTAAATCCGCCAATTAGTGTAATTAATGTTTACAAATCTGTCACTATTTGTGTCAATCGTCTGCGTGTCTGTCGCTACAGCACAAGCATCTCGTGTTACCATCAGGTATGTGTGTGTGTGTGTGTATGTGTGTGTATGTGTGTGTGTGTGATTCTGTCACTGTCATCTTCATGTGGTTTATGACATACACTTACCATTGTCACATGTTGGCCCTTGCCATATATACGTCAATTATCACCTCCCAGCATCACTTGCATAACTTTTATATGTACGGTCGTTACCGCATATGAATTTTACCGTATGACAGTTACCCTAACATGACATATACCCCGTATGACCTTTACCCCTTAAGACCTTTACCTTGCTCCCGAACCTTGTAAAACAGAGCTCAGCGTAGTCCTTGAACCAGCCGACCGAGTCGTCCACAGCCCACCCCCCTCTCTCCTGCAGGGCCTGCGGCAGGTCCCAGTGGTGTAGGGTCACGAAGGGCTGGACATTGGCCGCCAGCAGCAGGTCAATCAGCTGGTTGTAGTGGGTGAAGCCGGCCTCGTTGATGTGGTCCAAGGTGCCGTTAGGCAGGAGACGGGGCCAGGAGAGGGAGAACTTGTAGTGGGACACCTGATGGGTGAGCAACAGGTGGTGAGACAACTGGATGGTGAGTGACAGGTGGTGAGACATGGGGAGTGAGCAACAGGTGGTGAGACATGGGGTGAGGAACAGGGGGTGATACATGCGGGAGAGCAGCAGGTGGTGAGGCATGTTGGTGAGGAACAGGTGGTGAGACATGGGGGTGAGGAACAGGTGGTGAGACACTTAAAGGTGAGCAAAAAAGTGAGACATATGGGTGGGCAACAGGTGGTGCGACATGAGGGAGAGCAGCAGGTGGTGAGACATTTGGGGTGAACAACATAAGGTGAGACAATAAACGGTGTTGAGACAATAAGGGCTGAACAACAGGTGGTGAGACGTTTGGGAGTAACGTGTGGTGAGTTTGATAGGGTGAGCAATAGGGGATAAAACCGCCAGGGTGGTGTGATACCTGGGGTGAGCAAAAGTTGGTGATACACATGTAGGAAGAGAAACATTGGTGAGATACGTGGTGAGACAACAAGTAAATGAGCAGTTGGTGAGCTGGCAGATGGTAGGATGACTCATAGAAGGTAGTGACACAACTAAAGTTTCAGCAACAGGCGGTGAGACAACAAAAGAATGATCACCAGAAGGTGACACCTAAATGGTGAGACACAGGAAGTAACAAGCCCTGGATGAACACCAGGTAATGAGATACCATAGTGAGTTATACGTATTTTATTTTATTATACCTTTTTACTTTCTCGTATATACGTAGTATAGAGAAAGTATTGTAATCGTGCAAAAAAAAAAAATCGAGATTTTTACAAATCTCGACGTTTTACACCTCACTGATACGGAAAAACATAATTTTGCAATCTTGTCCGTATGTCTGTGTGTGTGTGTGTCTGTCTGTCTGTCTGTCTGTCCGTGTGTAAACACGATAACTTGAGTACCGTTACAGCTAGGTTGATGAAATTTCATATATAAGTATTTTATCAAAATCGTAGATCCGTATCAACTTTTGAGCGATTTCCGATAACCGGAAGTGGTACTTTTCCTACTTTGAATTTTTTAAAAGCCTATAACTTGAGTACTATTTCAGATAGATAAATGAAATTTCACATGTAAGTAAAAGATCTAATTCTCTACCTTCTGTTAAATTTTGAGTAATTTCCGTTGACTGGAAGTAGTAATTTACGCTACTTCCGATTTCTCAAAAAACTAATGTAAATTTTTAAAGTACTAATAATATTGCGCACTATTATACGCGTTTTTATTCGGCGTTTGCTTGGTGCGCAATGTTTTTTTTATGAGATTCTATTCTATTTTTAAAAGTTTAAGTATTTAAAATGGATTAAAAATCATAACTATATCCCCAGTTACCATCCCCTGTTGTTTTATATAAGAATATTCGAGAAAGTTTAGGGGAGATCACTACCGGTTTATTTCCTACCAATACTACCTTAGGTACATTATCACAAATGTGTACTCACACCGAGATCTTTGATACGCTGGACATCCTCCCTTGTCTTGTGGTAGCCATCAGAGGCTACACTGCTATCTCCGAGACTTGGGTTATTTTTAGCAAACTCGTCCCAAATACTTGGGCCTTTCCCTGTCAAATTATAGGTCAACTCGGTTTAATTTTAGCCCTTATGTTTTGGCTGGCGACGTATCGCATGTGTTAAACAAATGGTCAACTTTAAAGACAGTTTACATAACAAAGGTGATGTATTGACGCGCGGGTCTAAAATATGTAAACATTCGAGACGTACGCCCATCCGGCAACGACGTATGACCCTTATTCATCACTTCCTAGACCAAATGTCATCAAACTCTAGACCTACCTCCGTCACTCCCCTAGACTTGATTGATCACTACCCTAACCCTACAACCATCACCCCGAGACCCCCATCACTCTATCAGGCCCCTATACCTACCTGCATCACTCCCATATAGCTACCCCATCACTCACCTAGACCTCCGCCATCACTTTCCAAGGCCTACCCTATCACTCCCCATACACCAACGCCCATCACTCCCCTAGACCTACCCCCATCACTCCCCTAACCCCATCACTCTCCTATCCCCATCACTCCCCTACCCCCATCACTCCCCTACCCCCATCACTCCCCTAGACCTACCCCCATCACTCCCCTACCCCCATCACTCCCCTAGACCTACCCCATCACTCCCCTAGACCTACCCCCATCACTCCCCTACCCTCATCACTCCCCTAGACCTACCCCCATCACTCCCCCATCACTCCCCCTACACCAACCCCCACCACCCCTAGACCTATCCCCATCACTCCCCTAGTCCTACCCCATCACTCCCCTTCACCAACCGACATCACTCCCCTAGACCAACCCCCACCACCCGTAGACCTACCCCCACCACCCCTAGACCTATCCCCATCACTCCCCTAGTCCTACCCCATCACTCCCCTTCACCAACCGACATCACTCCCCTAGACCAACCCCCACCACCCGTAGACCTACCCCCACCACCCCTAGACCTACCCCCATCACTCCCCTAGACCTACCCCCATCACTCCCCCTACACAAACCCCCACCACCCCTAGACCTACCCCCATCACTCCCCTAGACCTACCCCCATCACTCCCGCATCACTCCCCCTACACCAACCCACACCATCCCTAGACCTATCCCCATCACTCCCCTAGTCCTACCCCCATCACTCCCCCATCACTCCCCCTACACCAACCCCATCACCCCTAGACCTACCCCCATCACTCCCCTAGACCTACCCTCATCACTCCCCCATCACTCCCCCTACACCAACCCCCACCACCCCTAGACTTATACCCACCACTCCCCTAGTCCTACCCCCATCACTCCCCTTCACCAACCGACATCACTCCCCTAGACCAACCCCCACCACCCCTAGACCTACCCCCACCACCCCTAGACCTACCCCCATCACTCCCCTAGACCTACCCCCATCACTCCCCCTACACCCACCCCCACCACCCCTAGACCTACCCCCCATCACTCCCCTAGACCTGCCCCCATCACTACCCTTCACCAACCGACATCACTCCCCTAGACCAACCCCCACCACCCCTAGACCTACCCCCACCACCCCTAGACCTACCCCCATCACTCCCCTAGACCTACCCCCATCACTCCCCCTACACCCACCCCCACCACCCCTAGACCTACCCCCCATCACTACCCTTCACCAACCGACATCACTCCCCTAGACCAACCCCCACCACCCCTAGACCTACCCCCACCACCCCTAGACCTACCCCCATCACTCCCCTAGACCTACCCCCATCACTCCCCCTACACCCACCCCCACCACCCCTAGACCTGCCCCCATCACTACCCTTCACCAACCGACATCACTCCCCTAGACCTACCCCCATCACTCCCCCTACACCCACCCCCACCACCCCTAGACCTACCCCCATCACTCCCCTACCCCCATCACTCCCCTAGACCTACCCCCATCAACCCTAAATCAACCCTCATCACTCCCCTAGACCTACCCCCATCACTCCCCTACCCCCATCACTCCCCTAGACCTACCCCCATCACCCCTAAACCTGCCCCCACCACCCCTAGATCTCCGCCAGCACTCTCCTACCCCCATCACTCCCCTACCCCCATCACTCCCCTACCCCCATCACTCCCCTAGACCTACCCCCATCACTCCCCTACCCCCATCACTCCTCTAGACCTACCCCCATCACCCCTAAACCTACCCCCACCACCCCTAGATCTCCGCCAGCACTCTCCTACCCCCATCACTCCCCTAGACCTACCCCATCACCACTAGACCTACCCCATCACTCCCCTACACCAACCCCCATCACTCCCCTACACCAACCCCCACCACTCCCCTTCATCACCTACCTTCATCACGTGATGCCCCCTCCGTAGGAAAAGCTGAAGAGCTGACACCGAACACAAAAGACGCAGGAAACTTGTCCAGGACCAACTCAGCCAGACCTGCCTGCACACTCACGGCAAGGACAAACACAACTGCACCAAGTCTAGACATGTTTGCCCAGACTAAATATATTGTCACTCTTTAATGTATTGTAATTACCACTACATAGAATATATCACTTTTCACAAACAATCACCTTTCAAAGACTATCACTTTTAGAAACTGTCACTTTTCGCAAACTATCACTTTTCACAAACTATCACCTTTCACAAACTATCTCTACTCTAAGAAAACCTTGTCCCAATCTAATCCCAGTAGCAAACAAACAACTTGTCTTGGACTTAACAAACTGATAAGAAAATTGTTGATTTAGTGCAGACGTATCTACTATGTGTATCTGTCGTGTCAACTATGTCATGTCAATAAACTTTAAAAAAACAAAATCAAACATCTCAGTGCAGCTGTTAAAAATGTTTTGGACTTAAAGCGAGCCTAAAATTCATCATACTTTCCAGTCACTTTCAAGTAGATATTTTTACATGACTGGATTACTTAACATGAGTTTTATTGAGTTTAAATTTATTTAGAACTTTACAAAAGAAAAAAGAAAGACAACTCCCAAGGTTGAAATGGTTCGTTGTATATAGAACATAAAAATATTCTAGTGTTTCTTTTGTGTAGAGTGGTTGAAATCACTTTTCGGCATGTGATTTAATAATCTTTGAGTATTTCTATCAACACAGAGTTTAAGAACAGACATGGGTTCAGACTTTGACAGTTTTTAACCAATTATTTACTGTCTTCTTGAGAAAAAAAATCTTTATCTTATCTTTCCTTTACTTGAACTTAAAAGGGAAAAAAATATGTAGAGTAGGTTATAGCGGGGAAAAAAATGTAGAGAATAAGCTAGATAATTTTTAAGAGGGAGAGCGTGAGAGAAACTGGGCTGAATCATCAAATAAGGAAGACAGACATCTTCGCAATTAGGCGCATTAATTAATCGACATCAGGAGAGAACTAACGATTTTAACACGTCTGTTTTATTTTTAGAAAGAGGCATAGTTGGGGGCGTCTCGGTGCGGAACCTTAAGGGTAGCCAGATGTTCATCGACTAAAAAAGTTAGGTTACTAAAATATAAACTGTACACATTAGAAATCTTGTCTAGAATTTGTTGTATAGAGACAAACATATTAATGCAAATACACAAGCACGCACGCACACTACGCAAAGACACACACACATAGGCCCTACATACATGCAAGTTTGTCGAATAGGTCACTACGCCAAGTTTTTGAAAGTGACAGCGGCTAACTTTATTTTACAGCACCCGTATATACAGACACGTATATATATATATATATATATATATATATATATATATATATATATATATATATATATATATATATATATATATATATATATATATATATATATATATATATATGTATATATATATATATATATATATATATATATATATATGTATCCACACTCCACCCACTCCACCAGACTCTACCCACAGATTATCCTTAGCTCTAGGATTTCCACACTCCACCCACTCCACCAGACTCTACCCACAGATTATCCTTAGCTCTAGGATTTCCACACTCCACCCACTCCACCACACCCTACCCACAAATTATCCCCAGTTCTAGGATTTCCACCACGCACCAAACACCCACTCCACGCTCTACAAAAAAAAATCAACCTATCGTATTTTTCCATTTTGTCACCAAACACGTGACCAACTCCATCAATCCCATTGGTTGGCAAAAGCCGCATCAGAAATTACTGGCACTACAAGACTTGGCTGGCCTAACAAAAGTTGTCTGTCCCTGCTTGCTCACACTCCGGTACCTTTAGCCTGGTGAGTTTTTTTAAGAATCTATTAATGCTAGTATTTATTTCTTAATGTGCTTTTTTGAATAGAGAAGGCTTAAATCTTCCCATGTAACAGAAAATTGTATGGTTTTATATTCTATAATACATTTTAGGCATAGATAGAATACCGCCAAAAACAGACTAATTGTGGACAAAAAATGCCGCCCAATAATATATATATATATATATATATATATATATATATATATATATATATATAGATATATATATATATATATATATATATATATATATATATATATATATATATATATAGATATATATATAATATATAAAGCTCAGTTCTGTATGTAATGCATATGTTTGTCGATGGTCTTCGTTGAATTTAAGTGTTAGAAAATTATCGTGCGCATTTGTCTAAATTTATGAGCTAAAAAAATTACTATTGAAAGTGTTGGGAAATAATTTTCATTTTTCAAATTATAGTAATAATTGTCGGCATGTTCATCAAACATAAGTTTAAAAAAATATCATCTTTTAGAAAAAATTCTAATTATGTCTTTAATTAGTCCTATAGCACTTACTTCCCTTTGATAAATTAGGAAAACAAAATTACTTCCCTTTATAAAACCATTGCATTAGTCGAAAATAATTTACTTTTTAATTACTTTGTTTTGGTGTTGGGAAAAAAAAATAATTACATAATTAACGGGGATTGATCAAGTGCAAATGTTGTAGGTATTTTACGGATAAGCTTGGAGTATTAAAATTGTTCATCAAATTGAAACAGGCGCGTTCGTTTAAGTGAGTGCAAAAGACTATGAATAAGTTGGGGTACTATAGTCGTTCATTAAACTAAAACAGGTGATTCCGCCCCGGGCGTTTATGTTCGCGTTAGTGTTTTCTTTGTGTTTAGGTGGGTTTGCGTTAGTGGTTGCGTCTTTCTTTTTTCGTTTTTGTTTGTGTTTTTTTGTTTGGGTTTGTATTTGTGTTTTTGGTTGGTTTTGCGTTTGGATTTGGTTTGTTTTCGTTTGCTTTTTCGTTGTTTTTTTTGTTTGTTGGTATTGGTGTTTGTGGTTGGGTTTGTTGTTAGGTTTTTGTTTTCGTTTGCTTTTTTGTTTTTTCTTTGTGTTTGTATTGGTGTTTGTGGTTGTTTTTGGGTTTGTTGTTAGGTTTTTGTTTTCGTTTGTATTTGTAATTGTGTTAGCGTTATGTTTGCGTTTTGTTGTTTTGGTTGGTTGTGGTTTGGGTGGGCAATGCCGGGTTTATGATGATTACTAAACACACAGGTAATGGTCTTTAACAGAAAGGTTTTTCACAGAAGCCAGAGCAGGGCCTGGCCGGGACGGCTAGTATATATATATATATATATATATAAATAAATAAATAAATAAATAAATAAATAAATAAATAAATAAATAAATATATATATATATATATATATATATATATATATATATATATATATATATATATATATATAAACAGGTTTCTATAATATGACGACACTTATGCCCCATAAATGTAGAATCCAATTCTGAGCGTAATAAATTACAATCTAGTCTTTATTGTCTATATCTAAATCCGCCGATTGTATCTGTCATCTAGAGCTAAATCTCTGAATGTCTCTCTCGTATATCTCTAAATCCGCCGATTGTATCTGTCATCTAGAGCTAAATCTCTGAATGTCTCTCTCGTATATCTCTAAATCCGCCGATTGTATCTGTCATCTAGAGCTAAATCCACTGAATGTCTCTCTCGTATATCTCTTAATCCGCCGATTGTATCTGTCATCTAGAGCTAAATCTGCTGATTGTCTCTGTCGCGTGAATCGAACTGGAGACTTTAAATTAGTACTCGTGCGCTTGGCCGTTCGATCACACCATCTAATATATAAATGTATAATATAATAATATACTAATTTTTTTTGCATGTATTTAAAAATTAAACTATCATCAAGTTTACTTCAAAATAGAATTGTCTCGTAGAAATTTGTTATTGTTTTTTTTTCTGTTTGTCTTCTATAAATTGTATATTTAATATTATTAAAAGGCCAAAAAAAAAGAGATAAGATGATACTTATAACGCTCTCTGACGCTTTATGGAGATTTCTATGTTAACTTGCCACTGACCTCTGCTAGTAGATGTTGACATTTACTGTGAGAAACAGTTTACATTTAGTGTAAGAGTTGACATTTACAGTGAGAAACAGTTGACATTTACTGAAGAAACAGTTGACATTTACTGTGAGAAACAGTTGACGTTTACTGTAAGAAACACTTGACTTTTACTGTAAGAAATAGTTGACATTTACTGTTAAAAACAGTTGGCATTTACTGTTACAAATAGTTGACATTAAAAGTTTAACGTTAAACCTATTGGTGTTCAACTTACCCGCCCTATCCAGACTACACCCGATATTCATTAAGTTAATGTCAGAACAGATAGTAGTTAAATCTCCTTAAAGCCACACCTGACCGGGGGGGGGGAGGGGGGGGGGAGAGCTGAGTCGAACCTATCAGAAAGTGAGTGTTTTATCTCATTCTGTGCTAAGACTTTCCTAAAGTTTTTGCTTTTCTAAAATTCAATACAATATGTGTTCGTATGTCTTTGTACATTTTCATTGAAGTCTTTCTCTTTCCCAAATTTCATAGACATTCCTTTGTTGTGTTCATTTCTCGACAGATAAATTTTAAAAAAATATGTTGCTTTATGGTATCATGATTAAAAATTATTAGATTTTAAAGACTTTTGAGAAATCGGAAATAGATTCACTACCATTCCCGGTACTGAAAATCGCTCAAACGCTGATAGAAACATGCATACATGATGTAAAACGTATATTCAAAAATTTCTTCACCTCACTGAAACAGACTCACCGACAGTTAGACAGACGGACGGCCAGACAGACAAAATTGCAAAACTGGGGTTTTCGACTCAAAAATGTGTTAAACGTCAAGATTTGTAAAAAAAAAAAGTCGTTACTTTTTTTTTTAACGGCTACAATACTTCTCTTTATTCCGTATGCGATAAAGTTATAAAAAGGGGGAAAGTACAGCGAGTCATGTTGGATGAGTTGTCTGAAAATTCTTGACGTTTTATAATTTTAAAAGGGAGAATCAGGCTAGAAAACTTATTTTTAAAATAAAAACCTGTGATGTCTCAGTTACTGAACACTCTGAACTTTTGTTTAATAATGAGGTGTGTAGCGCAAGTTATCGGGTTCAAATGTAATATTATTTGCGGTGAGTGGTTCCGTTATAAAATTAGAACAATTTGCTTAGAATTTTTTTTCAACTACTAGATTCTAGTATGAACATCTGAAGCAGTAGCGAAACCAGTTGTGTCGATCAATTGCTTTAAATTTAACGAACGATATATATCTCGAGTCGTTTTACTTTTAAAAATTAATGTTCTATTTTTGTTTCAAAGCTACGTTTTTAAAAGATTTTTTAAAA